TCCACTCCTCTGTGTTTACTCTTGCTGTTGATATAGGATTGCACTCAGCTTTGCCAGGTAAATTATTCTTAGATGTTAGACCTTTCCTTTTGCCTTTTGGATTACTATGTGACAAGCTCTCTACTGCCAGGTCTACTGTGCTCCTAACTGGGTTCCTTGGTACTGGAACTCTTTCTTTCTGGCTGTTTGCATACCTTTTTCTTTGACTTGGAAGCTCTGAGTTTTGCTTATGGCATACCTGGGACTTTTCCTTTCAGGATTTCTTTTAGGAGGTGATCTGTGGGTTCTTTTTATTTTTACTTTTCCTTTGAGTTTTAATGGATCTGGGCAGTCTTCATTCGTGATTTCTTGAACTATAATGTCCTGTGTCTCAATGAATGATTTCTCTTTTGTCTATTTTAGTTTTCAGGGAGTCTATTTCTTGAGTCTCTGCTTGCAGTTGTATGTAGTTACTTGCCACTTCTCTTGGGAAATCTCTAGATTTGTAATAATTTTTGGTAATGGTTTTCTTTGGAAGATTTACTCATCTCTCCAGACTTAGTTCCTGAATTAGGACTTTCTTTGTACCAAGGCAGGTTCTGCCCCCTCTGCTACACTTTTATGTGAGGTGATCAGCTCTGCTTGGTCACACATTTTCTTTCTCCTGTTTTATTATTATTGCTAAGATTTGTGGAACTATGTCAAGTAACAGGAAGGAAAAGGGTCAACAATCTATTTCCACTTCCCTTTCAGACTCCTAAGATTTAGAACTGAAAGGAACATTAGAGATTATCTAGTTCAACCTCTTCATTTTACAGATAAGGAAATTGAGGCCAAAAGAAGGGAAGGAACTTGCACAAGGTCAGTATTACAACCTAGTTCATCGTTGCCTTCCACTACACTGCACTAATTAGCTATTAACTGTAGCAGTCCTGAAGTTCTAAACATTTGGTGAGAACAGTCCTGGGGCATGGATTTTTTTGAGAATTTTTTCTTTTTTATTTATTTTTAGTTTCAACATTCACTTTTTTTTTTTTAGGCAGTTGGGGATAGGTGACTTGCCCAGGGTCACACAGCTAGTAAGTGTCAAGTGTTTGGTCTGAGGCCGGATTTTGAACTCAGGTCCTCCTGACTTCAGGGCTGGTACTCTAAACACTGTGCCACCTAGCTGCCCCATCAACATTTACTTTTATAAGATTTTGAGTTCTAAATTTTTTCCCCTCTCTCTCATTCTCTCTCCCCAAGACAGCATGCAATCTGGTATAAGCTATACATGTATAATCATATTAAACATATTTCCACATTAGTCATATTGTGAAAGAAGATTCAGAAGAAAAGGGAAAACCCATGAGAAAAAAAAAGAGAGAGAAAATAGTAGCTTCATCTACATTCAGACTCCATAGTTCTTTTTCTGGATGTGGATAGCATTTTCCATCATGAGTCTTTTGGAATTGTCTTAGATTATTGCATTGATGAGAAGAGCTAAGTCTATCAAAGTTGATCATCACACAATGTTGCTGTTACCATATACGATGTTCTCCTGGTTTTGCTCATTTCACTCAACATTAGTTCATGTAAGTCTTTCCAGGTTTTTCTGAAATCCTCCTGCTCATTATTTCTTATAGAACAATAGTATTCCGTTACATTCATAGACTACAGCTTGTTCAGCTGTTCCCCAATTAATGAACATCCCCTCAATTTCCAATTATTCGCCCTTACAAAAAGAGTTGCTACAAATATTTTTGTACATGTGTGTTCTTTCCCCTTTTTTATGATCTCTTTGGGATACAGACCTAGTAGTGGTATTGCTAGGTCAAAGGGTATGCACAGTTTTATAGCCCTTTGGGTATAGTTCCAAATTGCTCTCCAGAATGGTTGGATCAGTTCATAACTCCACCAACAATGCATAGTGTTCCACTTTTCCCACATCTTCTCCAACATTTATCATTTTCCTATTTTGTCATGTTAGCCAATCTGATAAGTGTGATTGAGGTACCTCAGGGCTATTTTAATTTGCATTTCTGTAATCAATAGTGATTTAGAGCATTTTTTCATGTGACTATAGATAGATGTAATTTCTTCATCTGAAAACTGCTTGGGCACGGGTTTTGAGTGTGAGAATGTTGTTTGGGGAAGCAAAGAGCCTCAGAAACCTATTACCAGAGATGTGCTCACTGGAAGAGTGACTAGTTTCATCCTAGTCTCACCCTTAGAACTGTAATCAGCTTTGATAGTTTCCCAGGTTCTGTCTCTTACTCACAACAGAAGAATACAGTCTCATGCTGAAGGAAGTTCATCTTCTTAGGTACACATCAATAGCATATGTCCTTAGGTCCATTGCAGGGGTAGCAACCCTCAGGAAGATATGTAAATAATAGATAGGCAGGAATAATACTAAACAAACAAAAACCCTTATGTTTCCATAGCGCTTTAAGGTTTACCAAGTGCTTTCTTCATAACAACCCTGTAAAGTAGGTAATACAAATGTTATTAATCCTACTGTACAGGTAAAGAAACTGAGAGAGTTTAAGTAACTTGATCATGTCACATAGCCAGGAAATGTCATAGCTGGGAAATCTACTCATCTCCTGCCTCCTCGTCTAGCACTCTCTCTTCTCTCTTCATCTCCTTTCTTTTTTCCTTTCCCTCTCCCTTTCCTCCTCTTTTTGTTTCTCTGTCTCTGTCTGTCTGTCTCTCCCCCACCCTTCTCTTTCTTAACAACAACAAAATCAGCTTATTTTTATTTTATAAAAAACACAAGCAAATATAAAAGTACAGCTAATTTATAAAAATAGAGCTAGCAAATAAACAAGGTTTGAACAGAGCTGGAGACTCCCGACAGCAGTAATGCCAGTTTGCCTGCAGCAATGAGACAGAGAAAGAGTGAAGAGAGAATAACTTGACCACGTCTTACAGGGCAACAAATAGGTACATTCAGGCAGATCATTCCTTAAGAGAGTCAACAAATCAGATAAGGCTCCAATTGCTCATAATTATATTTCATTTGGGGGAACAGTGTTCTTCCTGGCTACAGGCTCACACATGATGCTCTTCCACCTTGCCCCTCTCCTCCAGGAACAAAATTTTCTGGGCTTCTACAGCACTCTTTCTACTCTGTTACACTACCTCTCCCAGATGACTAGGTTAATGACAGACAGTTTTCCGGGCGGGATGGGTGATGGAGAGGGAATCACAGTTCTGAGAGAACTCTCAGGCTCCCTCAGCATGCCATAGGGATCCACAGATCTCCAACAAAGCAGCTGCTTCTTTCATCAGCCTTTATACCCTGGATAATAAATAGGTTCCTGGGAGAGAAGCAGGGAATCAAACTGACAACTTTCCTTAAACCCTGAGGAATATCATGATTTTGAAGCACACGGACCTTACTAGCACAGACATTGTAACTAATATGAATCTACAGGGCCTTTCTCTGGCTCTGATAATGACCAATTATTTCCTTTTTATGTACCTCACATTTCCCTGCAAGAATCAGCATGGCATGGTGGCTAGAGGGGGATAAATTGTAGACTGACATCAGTGGAAGGAGTTTCCATACTATGAATTCTCCCATAATGAAATGGCAGGTCCAAAAACTTTTCCTCAGGTTCCACTGCTAATTTCAAGAAGTTGTAGTGAGATCACAGAGGTTGTCATCAAAAGAGCCCTGAGAGACACAACATGGCACAGTGGATAGAGAGCAGACCTCCAGATCAGGAGGACCTTGGTTCAAGTCTCACTTCAGACACACACTCGTTGTATGACCCAGGGCAGGTGACCCAACCTGTCAGCATACCAACAACTCTCTATGAGTAGGAATTATAGAGGAAGTACCCATCTGCATTGTTCTAGAAAATTTAATCACTTGGAGTTTTATACATCAATGAAATCATAGGTCTGGTCCAAGAAAAGGGAAAACAACAACAACAATAGAGAGAACATGGATTAATATTCAGAAGACCTAGGTTTGAATTCAGGCTCTACCACATCTGTGGTTTTCAGCAAGTCCCCTGTCCTTTCTAGGCCTCAGGGCCCTCATCTATAAACTGAGGGGTTTAAATGAGAAGATCATAGGATTTCAATCTGGAAGGACCTTAAAGGTTATTTAGTCCAATGCCTTCATTTCACAACCGAGGAAATTTAAGCCCAGAAGGGTAAAAGAACTTGCCCATGTTCACACAGAAAGGAAGTAGAGGACCCAGGATTTGAATCCAAATCTTCTGACTCCAAATCCAGTGGCCTAAGTTGGTGACATTGAGGTGGCTATTGGTTTTCCATCACTATCTACTGTATGTATTCTTGATTATACATCATTCTTTGTTGTTGTTCAGTTGTTTTTCAGTCATGTCTGACTTCACTTGGGATTTTCTTGGGAGAGATACTGGAGTGGTTTGCCATTTCCTTCTCCAGCTCATTTTACAGATGAGGAAAATGAGGCAAACAAGGTTAAGTGACTTGCCAGGGTCACACAACTAGTAAGTGTCTCAGATCATATTTGAACTTGAGAAGTTGAGTCTTCCTGACTCCAGACCTGGCACTCTATCCACTGTGCCACCTAGCTGCCAACATCATTCTTAGCTATCTCCAATTTGATTCCTAGAATCATACAACTTCAAAGGAGAAGGAATCTTCTCTCTTGGGCAAAACCAACATTAACTACCAAATATGATTGTGGGAATAATCTGCCAGAGGACACAGGAGGGGATAAGAGCAGGAATACATGTAGAAGGGTTGGTCTTAATGGAGGATGATATCAAGGATTTTGAAGATGTAGAGAAGGAGAAAAGGAGCTTACAGTCGGTAATATCAATTTTCTCAACACAGTGTAGAACTGTGTGACAATGAGGTGAAACCAATCATGCTTGTAGAACCTAGGATGAGCAATGTAAAGATGTTACCTTGATTAGACCATCTCAAAGTCCCTTTCCTTCTCTAAATCATATGAAAATGTTTTTGTCTATATGGTTATCCCCATTTGATGAAAGTGAACCAGCAAAATAAAATCTAAACTTGTTTTTCCACAGGAATTTAAACACTACTGGACAGAACTGAGAGGAACTACCCTTTTTTTTTACATCGACAAAAAAAATCCAACTGTAAGTAGCTCAACTTACAGGTCATATAGTAATAATAATTAATGACAACAATGACTAGCATTTATGTAACACTTTAAGGTTTACAAAGCTTTTTACATGTGTTATCTCCTTTGATCCTCTTAACAACTTTGTGAGGTAGGCACTATTATTGCCCCATTTTGCAATTGAGGCAACTGAGTCTAGAAGAGTTTATATGACTTGCCCAAGGTCACATAGCTGGTAAGTGAATGAAGCAAATCTTTCTGACTACAAGTCCAGTACCTCTATCTTTTGTGCTCCCTAGCTGCCTAATCTAGCTTTTGAGTAGGTGTATCACTAAACCATACAGTATTGATTCACTTCAACTCTTCAAGAGATTTATGATTTCATCAGTATGGGTATTCCCTCTGCTGATGTAGATTGTAATACCTCCATTCCTTAATAGACCATTTCTTGAGTTGAACTTCTCTGAGTCTAGGTCTGCTAGTTTTTGGAGGAGAATTCAATTAAATTCAATAAACATTTATTAAAAATTTGTTATACATGAGATACTATGTTTGAGTACAGGAACACAAAGATGAGAAAAAATATTGTGTCTACCTTCTAGAAGCTTATAATTTAGTAGAGGAGATAAGACATATGCTCAAAGAAATATAATGCAAGATAAAATACATTAAGGGCAAAAGTGGAGCTCTTAATTTAGAGTCTGGGAACTTTTTTTAATATTCATGTAACTATTTTTCTGAATCTTTTCATGTTTATTGAAACACTAATACAAAACACTAGTGTGTGATTTTTTTTTGTACATTCAGTAGCTTAAATGTGAAATTATTTTAACCTAAGTTAAAATATAATACATGGAAAACAATGGAATTTCAGCATTAGTTTCTGAAAGCAAAAACTGAAATTAATTTTTTCCATTTCATCTTTCAGTCTATTATTAGTCTGGATGCTTATGCTCTTGTCCTGGAATTAGCCATCAAATACTTTCAGTCCAAACAGTAGCATACATAGTAAAACTAACTAAAAAGAATAAGGAAAATGCAAGCAACCAGTCCACACTTTTCACCAAAGTGCTTGGAAGTGGGCCCATTTGGTCATCTTTAGTCACTACCACATCATTCTTGGCTTCTCTCCTTGTTTGGATTAAAAATGAAGGCTTCTAGAGTTTCCAATGTGACTTGTTTTCTTTGTAATCCTGTGTATTTAATTTTATGCATTTAATAATGTTATTCTGAGAAGAGATCCATAGGCTTCACCAGACTGCCCAATGGATCCATTATACAAAAAGAGGTGAAGAATAACAGGGCTTAATAAAATACTGTATGAAATTTGGGGAGAGAGAGATCACTTGCAGTTGAGAGATGGAAGATCTGGAAATACTTCATGAAGAAGCTAATACTTGACCTGGTCCTGGAAGGAAGAGAAGGATTTCCATATTAGGAGGTAAAGAGAAAGTCCATTCTGGTATGCCTTCAAAAATTCAAAAAGTTTTTAGAAGCCAGAAAGAGATTAGGACATAGAAAGTAGGCCAGTTTGTCTGGAATGTGAAATAACGTGAAGCTTAATGGAGTGAAATGAGGCTTGAAAGTTAAGGTTTAAGCCAAGTTGTGGGGGGCTTAATTGCCAAGCTAAGGTATTTGGAGGTTATCTGGTGGGCAAAGGGGAGCCATAAAAGATTTTTTGGCAGGACAGTGACATTGTTAGACCTGTGCATTAGTAAGATTACTTGGTAGTTGGCAAATCAATCCATAGCCCTTTATTAAGCTCTTACGACTTAAGCTCTTATAACTTAAGATCAGACATGTCTGTGCTAAGTGCTGAGAATACAAAGAAAGGCAAAAATAGCACCCTAACTTCAAAAAGCAGAAGTGGGGGAGACAGCATGCAAACAACTATGTATATATAAGATATATATGGCATAATGGGAGGTAATCTCAGAGGGAAGGCATGAGCAATGGCTGGGAGTTGTAGAAGGATAGGTGGAGACAAGGTAGAATTGGAGCTGAGACTTGAAGGAAGCCAAGGAAGTTAGGAGACAGAGGGAAGGAGGGAGGCATTCAAGGCATGGGGGAGAACTAGTGAAAAGGCGTGGAGTGAGGAAATGGAGGGTTATATATGAAGAACAACAAGGACAGTGACCTTGGATGTTAGAGTATTTGGAGGGGAATAAAGTATAAAAAGCCTGGAAAGTTAGGAAGGGAACGGGTTATGGAGAACTTTAAAAGTCAAACAGGATTTTGTATTTTATACCAGATATAATAGGTACCCACTGGAGTTTAATGAGTAGGAAGGGAATATGCCAATGAATGACCATAGTTCTAGAGGACCAATGATGAAGGATGTTGCCCACTTCCTGATGGAGAATGGCCTCGGGATACAGAATAAGACTTATTTTTCTTGGATACAATCAATGAAGGAATTTATTTTGTTTGACTATGTACATTTGTTATATAGATTTTCTTTTAATGAGAGGAGGTGAGAGGGAGATAAAATGTATTTTTATTAATTAAAAAAGTAAAATAAAAATTTTAAGAGATTGTTTAGCAGTTCTGTGAATAAAAGATTAGAGAGGGGAAGAAACTGGAATCAGGAAGGCCAGTTAAGAGTCATTACAGTATTCCAGATAAGAATGGAAAGGAGATGGATACAAGATAAAATAGGGAAGTAAAGTTGATAAAACTCAATAACTGATTGTGTGTGGGAGTGAAAAAAAGGAAGAATCAAGATAATACTAAAGTTTTTAGCCTGAGAAACTGTGTATATTGCACTACCATCAACAGAAATAAGGGAGTTTGGAAAGAGGAACAAGTTTTGTGGGAAAGATAAGTTTATTTTTTACACATTGACTTTGAAATAGGACACCCAGGTAGAGATGCCCAACAAGCAGTGAGAAATGCAAAACTCTCTATATAGATTTGGATGTCATCTGCATTGAGATGATAATTAAAGCCATGGGAGTACATAACCTCTCTCTCCTGTATTAGAAGGCTTTCAGCTTGCTAGTGTTTGGGAACAGAACCCAGAGTCACTTGACTCTATGGTGAAGCCTAAGAGTAGGACTTTCATGGCACATATTCTCTATCCCTTTTGTCATTTTTTTGTAGTGCAATAATATTCCATTATATACATGTACCATTGGCTTCCAGGTCTTTGCCATTATGAAAAGAGCTGTTATAAATATTTTGTACTCATGAGTCTTTTTCCTCTTTCTTTGATCTCTTTGGAGATAGAGGCCTAGCACTAGTATCATTGGGTCAAAGAGTATGCACAGTTTAGTAGATTTTGAGGCATAATTCAAATTATTTTCCAGAATGGCTGTACTAATTCACAGTTCCACCAACAAGGCATTAGAGTGCCTATTTACCTGCAGTCTCTCCAACATTTGCCATTTTCCTTTTTTTAAAATCGTCTTTGCCAATCTGAGGAGTGTGAAGTAAAACCTTGGAGTTGTTTAATTTGCATCTAATTTTCATATGGTTCTTGATAGCTTGCATTTCTTCCTCTAAAAGGAAAGTTCAAATCATCTGACCAATTATCAGTTAGAGAATTGCTCTGATTACTACAAAATCAAATTGGTTCTTTATATATTTTGTATATGAGACTTTTTCAGAGAAACTTGCTACAAAGATTTCTCCCAGTTAATTGTTTCCCTTTTATTATAACCCTAAATAATGAACATGAGCTCGGACAGACCTCAAGAGATAATGGAGAGGATAGTTGGGTCTGGTGTGCTATGGTTTATAGGGTCACAAAGAGTCCGACACAACCAAACAACTCAACAACAGCGATGGTTTTATTTGTACAAAAAGTTTTTTATTTTATGTAATCAAAGTTGTCCATTTTGTCATCTGTGATCCTCTCTATCCCTTTTTTTGTTAACAACTCTTCCTCTCCATATAGTTGTAAAGATATTTTCTTCCTTGCTTCCCTCATTTATCATGTGACCTTTTATATTTATCATGCTTCCTTTTGGAGCTTATGCTCATAGGTTTTTGGACTGTATTAAATTAGCTTAGGTCTCAGGTCATTGAAGCATATTTATTTCTATCTCCTAGGGAAAAAAAAAGTGAAACATTGTGTGTTGTGTGGTATGGTGCAAGACTTCAATGTAGTACTTCATTTTCATTTGGGCATTTTGTAATTCTGTATCAATTCCATTCAGCATAGCAATATTTTTATCAGAATTCATTCCCTTAATGGTTAAAAGACACCCAGGCCCACTGGAAAAAAATTTTTTTTATTAAAACATTTTTGGGATAGATATTTTATAGTTTAATGAAGATGATCAGGTTTTAGAGGCTTACCTGGATTTCTGATAATGGTTTTGGTAGAACCTTGAATTAAAAAATGAGTTTCATGAGAAAAAAAATACTTTTCCCCAGTTTTTGGTACTTCATTCTTTGTATCGTGTTGGCCATGATGAACCTTTTTTTCTTCATAACTGCAATTAGTAGTTGTTCTTTTTAGTGATCTTCTTGCAGTTCTTCCAATTTTAAAAAGCCTATGCCATTATAGAGAGTATTCTAGGATTGATCTTGCATAGGCTAGATCACTCTGTTTGTTTCATGGGGATTAATTTGGCAGTTTCACAGCAACAGTGTCAATTCGTGTTATTTTTCATTTTTTTTTTTAGTCAATTAGTGTTAAGTGACTTGCCCAGGGTCACACAGCTAGTAAATGTCAAGTGTTTGGTCTGAGGTCAAATTTGAACTCAGGTCCTCCTCACTTTAGGTCCTGTGCTCTATCCATTATTCGTGTTATTTTTAAAATTTTTAAAATTTGTGTTATTTTAAAAAAAATTTTTAAATATTTTACCTCATTTTCCTTTGTACTACAGTGCAACAATTTTTTTGTGTGTGTGGGCTTGGTTGATCCTTCCAATTCCTGATTTCCTCATACCAACAGCTGTTGCAGTATCTCTGATAGCTATTGAATTGTGCACTTAGAGGGCTACAACTTTTGAATGTTTCCTTGGGGTAATGTACATTCTTTAAAATCTTAGAATTAAAAGTGTAACAAAAAGCTTGAAATTCAGCATACAATTGACTAAAAATTAAATAAAGGTGGAAAAACCAGCTCAATACAGTTATGGTCCGACATTCTGCGTCAGCCTAGTGTCAATAGAAGCACACACACACGACCATCGATGTCACAAAATAAAACCATATCAAAATTATTGTTCATCTCAAGTAATTCATTCATCACTGTACTATTCAAAAGGGTGTGATGGAGGCATACAAGACCAGGCAGATGGTAAGATGGCCCAAATTCATGGCTAGATTGGGTGTGAAGGTAAAGGATAGTCCAGTGACCTGGAGTCTGGGGCCTGGGGCCAGTCAGGTATAGTGGACTAGGTAAATTTGCATTCTCTCAGCCACCAGTCAACCTAGCTGGGCCCCAGGAAATGAGTTTCAAACATGAGAGGCTTATCTTCCCCAGAAACTGAGAGTAAGGATTTTGGAGCTTTCATGCAAAATAAGCATATTTACAGGCCAGGGCAAAAAAAAAAATCACATCATTGAGACAATAGTAGAGAGGAGAGTTGAGAGAATATACTCAGATATCCTCAATCTAAATAAAGTAGGAATCTAGAACATTTGCTGAAAATGAGGGAGAGAACCTGCCCTTGGAGACTTGAAGAGTCCTGAGTAAAATATAATTTAAAATTCCTTTTAAAAGAAGCAGTTAAAGCTCTTGTGAGGACTGTTCATGTGTATTTTCCATTAAAAAATTGAATGTCATTTTCTCTTATTTCTGCAGTATATTGACAAATTAGACCTGACAGATCTTACACGCCTTACTGATCAGAATCCGACTGAGAAGTGCTGTGCAAGGTTCCTTTTGGTACTGCCCAAGGAAGAAGTAGAACTGAAGGTAAGGGATGACCCTGACGGTAAGGATGAGGGTCTGACTTCTATTGGCTGCCTCCATCCCTCACCCCTGCAACTTCACCTGTTTTTTCTATTTAAAAAAAATTTTTTTTGAATTTAACAATTGCCAGATCAAATGGGTATGAAACTGCCTATCTCCTTTATGTACAGCTTGCTTTTCTTATATAACATATTCATCACGTAGCTTTCAAAGAGGTCCTGCTTGTATATGCTTTTTCCTGGACTTGTTTCTGCTCTCTTCCATCCATTTTTTTTTTAAAAATGCCTCAATCTCTTGCTTCCTCCCTTCGTCTCTTCCTCCTATCCTTCCTTCCTTCCTTCCTTCTTCTACCCTCTCCCTATCCCCCTTCACCCTATATCCAATTGGAAAAGAAAAAGAAATTGTTTGAAATATATAAGGGTATATATAAGGTAATATATATAAGGTAAAATATATAAGGTAAACCAAATTCTCACATTGACTGTGTCCAAAAATATACGTCTTATTCTGCATCTTGGGTATATCACCCCTCTGTCAAGGAGTGGGTATTATCACCTTCTTTTTACAAGTTCACAGCTGAAGTAGATTGAGGGGAAGGGCAACAGGACAGGAGTGCCAAGAACTTGCTCTTTGTTGCAATATTTTAAAGTTTACTGAAATCTAAACTGTAATTGTGTTTCTTGTCTCTTCCTTTCTTCCTCCCTCCCTCCCTCTCTTTCTCCCTTCCTTTTGTCCCCTCCTTTTTTTTTTAATGTGGATTATTTTGGTTACTTGTGTTTGTTTCGGAAATAAGCTGAAACCAAGTACCTCTTTCTTCTGACAAACTCAAGGTTTCAAATTGGCCTCCCTATTATATGGGCTAATTAAATTAAACAAGCAGCTAAAATTAAGGTTTTTTCATTTCTCTCTCTCTCTCTGTCTCTCTCTCTCTCTGTCGCTCTCTCTCTCTCTGTGTAGGTGTGTGTGTGTGTGTTTGTGTGTGTGTAGCTTTTGTAAAAAAAATACACATTATCAACTTTTTTGGGTTACCTGATTTATGATCTCATTGCCTTAGGAAACACCATTTGAGAAACCCTCTACCAAAGTAATTCAATCCCTGCTATGTAACTTCTAGCCTTAGTTTTCTGGGGGCATTGAGAAGTTAAGCAATTTCCAGAAAGTCGTTTAGTCAGTAGGTGTCAGATGTAGAATTTGAACCCAGGTCTTCCTGACTCAGAGCAGTTTTCTAACCACTACACCATATTTCTTCTCAATGTGTAAGTAAAAAATAAAAAATATGCTGAGGGAAACTTGCAGCTAAGAAAGAACTAGTCAGAAGTCTGACCAGATGTAGATCATATTCATAGTGTTGATAAATCAGGAAATAAGAATCAAGAATCCCTAGGGGCAGCTAGGTGGTGCAGGAGGACCTGACTTCAAATCTGGCCTGACACTTATTACCTGTGTGACCCTGAGCAAGTTACTTAACCCCAATTGTTTCCAAAAAAAGAAAGAATTTGGAGCCCTTAAGAACCAATTACAAGTGTTTCATATGCATACCTTCTTTAACAATGCCTTCATTATGTACTGGAAATTTGAAAGACTCAGTGTTTGATCTTTGTAATTAAAATTAAATATAATGAGCAAAATGGTGAATATGAATATTGGTAATAATAGTTTTAAACTTGTAACCCTTGGGCCAATAAACACAAAGAATAAGTTAAAAGTAGAAATTAATAGCAATAGCCAATGCTATGCAAACTTTCAGGTTTGCAAAACACTTTTTATCTTTTATTTCACGCCATCCTCATAACAATCTTCTAGGGTAAGAGCTATTATTATCCTCATTTTACAGCAGAGGAAACTGAGGCTGAGAGAGGTTATGTTAAGGTTAAATTACTTATGTAGGCCCATGTACCTAGTATCTAAAACAAGATCTTATTCAGGTCTTGCTGACTCAAAGACCAGTAGTCTGTCCATGGAACCAAGGACTGTACCCCTTTATTTGCTGGAAATAGATTAGTTACCTATTTCTGAATTGCTTAATCATATTGCAAATTCATGAAAACTGAAACCAAGAGCAGATTTCAGATTAGATTTTAAAAGTTTGTGATATTCAAGGAAGAAGATCAGACATAAAAAAGTTTATTCCCACCCATATTCTTAGCATATACTACTGGTGGTGAGCATATGTTTTATAGTTCACTCTACTTTTTAGGGTTTGTATGTTTCTGTCTAGGTATTGAGGTGGACAGATAACTGGTATTGAAATAAGCAAGGCCAGGGTTCAAGTCCTGTCTCTGATATACTTAGTGGTATGATCATTGTAAGTTTTTGCCCCAGGAAACTCTGTATCAGCTATTGAAGTTGATATGTGCTGGTATAATGAGTTTCTATATTGCTAAATTTCTGTACTATTGAAATCACAACTCGAGCCCCAAATTATATGTTTCTGATGCTTACAAACTAACCAAGACTGTCGTGGTATAGTGTGATAGAGAGCTGGCCTCAGAATCTGTAAATCCTGATTCTTATCATATTGGCTCTGTGTCACTGGACTAGTCACTTAACTTCTCAAACCCCTAGTTACTCTAAAACTGTAAGTAATAGATAAGATACATTAATAGAGGGAGTTTCTGTACCAGACAAGCCCCATACCAATGACATCACAGGACTGGTCCTAAAATAAAATTTAAAAAGCAAATTAACCAAACAAAATAACAAAGATGATTATAGTGTATTTATATGTTTAGTCCCTCATTCACTTTTTTCTTCCTTTTCAGACAGAGAACACAGAAAGTGGGGAGGAGTGGAGAGGCTTTCTTCTTACTGTTACAGAGGTAAGAGCTACCTGCTTCCCTTTGTCTTCCGAACATAATATACTGGCATTCTTGCTCTTTTTCATAGCTCGTTATTTTGGTTTTCAGTAGCACATTTGAAAAAAATAAAAGGCTTCTAGTGCTTTTCTCAAGCACAAAAGAGTTCTCTTGTCACCTACGGTTTCCTGGCAACTAGCAAACAATTTAAATTTTTTTAAAAATCTAAACTTTAGGGGCAGCTAGGTGGCACAGTAGATAGAGGACCGGCCCTGGAGTCAGGAGGACCTGAGTTCAAATCTTGCCTCAGACCAAACACCTGATACTTATTAGCTATGTGACATTAGGCAAGTCACTTAACCCCAATTGCCTAAGGAAAAAAAAAATCTAAACTTTATTCAGCTACTTCTGTAGTAAGAAACACAGATTAATAAGAGAAGCTTACTCAATAGTCATGTTATATAGAACCGGAAAGAACCTTGCAGATCCATTCCAATCCCCTCATTTTACAGATGAGGAAACTGTGGTTTAGGAGAAAATTTTCATTTATATGAACTGAACTAACTCGTATGTGGACAGAATCCCCAGACAGGTCAAGTGAGTCTAAAGATTGAACAGGGTGGAGATGCTGAAAGGGTGGTGGAATGACATTTGACTTGAAATTCTTCAAATACACAGTATTCCGCAGAATGGTCCTTATTGTCTCAGAATGTGATTGCTAACATTTAACCTTGGGTTACTTTTCTAAGACGTCAAAGTTCCCTGTTGAACTTGTGCCCGTACTCTTTCCTCTTGGAATGGAGTGGAGTGGAAGGAAAGCCCTGGTTTCATTGGTGGACAAACTCACATCCTAATCTTAAATCAGTCTCTTCCGAGGCTATTGCCTGATCTTTGACAAGTTGTTTTAAGTCAGGTTAGTAAAATATAAACATGATTCCTAATTTGAAAATTGGCTTAGGACTGTTCATAGAAAAGAGTTAACATTTAAATGGTTCCTCATTCACTAAGTTTCTAGAAAAGATCTCAGTTCTTGACTTTAGGGGACTTAATGATAAAACATACTTTCCCCCCTTCTCAACAGAGGGGTACTGGACTAAAGGCCTGGAATAAGGCATATATTCTCAAATATGGCCACTGTATTGGATTGTTTTGCTTCACTGCATTTCTTTGTTAAAAGAGAGGATTCTGTTTTGTGGGGGTGGAAGAGAGTGGAAGATGGGAGGAAGCTGTGGTCACTGGAAAATGATAACATAATGGGAAAAAAAACTTCTGTGCAAAAAATAACTATGTACTTATCTAATGTTCTTTGACACATTTTATCAGAGGAAAATAGCTTTACTGCTAATAATAGTTCATTAAGTGTTGGCAGTAAGATAACTTATTTTTAAAAAAAACTATGTAATGACTGTCATCAAAACAATATCGTTCTGATAACCAGCATACAACATAGGGACATAAGGCTACAATAAACTGTAGTGCTTAGAGGACACCCCTCCCCAATTTCCATATTTTTGGATTAGCTCCTAGTATCTCATTTCTAAGTTAAGTCCTTGTTGTCACATGAATTAAAAGAATTTCATTGAGATGATGAACATCTTCATCATTGATCCTTATCAAAAGAAAAGAGGTATTGGGAAAAACACTAACCAGGGAGTCAAAAGATCATAGGCAAGTTACTCTAGGCACTGTTAAGTTCTCACTTTACACATCTGTAAAATTAAGTGTCCAAGCACCCCTACCTGGTAATGATGACATCTCAGGTGTCTTCTAACTTTAAAATTCTATGATATATGAATTAAACGAATGTGAATTTTGCAGGATTTGTTTCCATACTAGATAGTAATTGTGAGGATAGTAAAAAGCAAAAAGGCCAAAGACTTGAAGATGGAAGGGACTTGAGAGAGCGAGAAATGGTTGGTATAGATATAAATTGCTTCTTATTATACTGGAGTATACCTATTACTGCTTCTCTAGCTGGGCTTATAAATAAATAGTATGGTCCAGCTAGCCTATTTGCTAAAACATGTTGCTAAGGATATTGGATTCTGTCCCCATATGGGTCAGTTTGCTTCGTATAAATGAAAATTCTCTCTTGAAGTCATATTTTATACTCACCAGTTACAGATGCACACAGTTGGCCACAATAGGGAGTGAATCTGGATGGCTCAGCACAAAACCATCTCTGCTATTAGAAAGTTCATGGATTGAGTGTAGTATATTTAAGAAAAAACTAAACTCCTGCAGCATACATTAATGAATGGTGTCATGTTAACAGTGTTATCACAAAGGTCATCAGAGCTTATGAGAGTACAGCTGGTGAGCCACGTTTATTTATAGTTGATTCGTTGTGAGCTGGCTTGGTGGCCAACTCTGCTGATCAAACCTCAGATATCCTGGGTCGTCCCTAGCCTCCAATGTATTTCCCCAAATAATTTTATTGTGTAATAGAGGAAGGGGGTCTGGAGTATGAGAAGCTCTGCTCTGGGACCACAAAGAGAGAACCCATATTAGGTAATTCCAGGCCACTCCATTGATTCTCATTGGCTCAAAAGTGATCCCAAGGGATACAAATAGAACTGAAATTCCCTGCATCTTCCACTCTTGCCATCCAAGTAAATAAGCATTTATTAAGCACTTATTATGTGCTAGGTAGGCACATTGCTAAATACAAGGAGAAAGACAATATTCTCTTCAAAGTGTCTGAAGCCTTCAGGACCAGACCAAGTTCGCGCCAGCTGTGTATCATCCCCATTACATTGCTTTCCTTAACCTATTTGCCTTATGTTTTAATTAATTCTTAGTTATCAGTCCCTCAGCATGTGTCACTGCTACCTGGACAAATGATCAGACTGCATGAAGTCTTAGAGAGAGAAAAGAAAAGAAGGATTGAGATTGAGGGACCACCCGACATACCTTTGAGAAAAGACAAGCAACCAATCGGGGAGTATGTGGATATCCTGAACCCTATGCCAGCGTAAGTCCTTATTGAATAATAATTCATTTATCATCACTTTCCTTTCATACTTATTTGTTGCTACCAAAGTACATAAACTACTTCTGAAGATTAAGCCAAGGACAGTAAACTACTTTCTTTGGAATAAACACCATATCACTGAGTAAGTGGCTTCCCATTATCTGTCTGCAGCTGAGCGCCAGTGTCCTTTTTCCAATTACATGCTCGATAGCTATACCTACCTGTACTGCTAGTTCTTTAAATTCAACTTATTCAAAATAGAATTTGTCATCTTCCTCTTCCCCACCTTCCCAGTCCCTGAACCTTTCCTTTCTTCCAATTTCCCTATTTCCATTGATGGCATTGAATGACCTCCTAGTTGCACAAGCTTGAAAACTCAAAGGCCAGCTCTGCCCTTTGTTACTTTTCTCTCTCTCACTCCCCCATTCCCTTCCCTGAGCACCCCCCCCATCTCGTATTATCCAATGACCAACTCCTGTTGATTTTTGTCTCTCCCATATCTCTTGCTGTTTGTGCCCTGGAATCAAGGCATAAATTCTCCTTTTCACTTTCACTTCCACTATTCTAGTTCAAGGTCATACTATCTTTTCCCTGGATTGTTTTACTAGCCTCCTATTATGGTCTCAATCCATCCTTTCCACTGCTGTTAAAGTAATCTCCCTAGTTCAGAGACCTGATCATATCACTTCTTGCCCCTAAACTGTCAGTTTATCTTTATTGATTATAAAATACAAACTTCTCAGCCTGGCATTCAAGACCCTCCACAGTACACCTCCAGACAGTGGAAAGAGTACTGAATTTGGAGACAGAGTAACTGGTTAGAATCCAAGCTCTGTCATTTACTAGCAGTGTTACCTGGGGGTAAGTCATATCACCTCTTTGACCCTCAGTTTCCTCATCTATAAAATGAAGGCATTGGGCTAAATGATCTCTAAGGGCGGGGACTGTCTTTTGCCTTTCTTTGTAATCTCATCACTTAGTACAGTGCTTGGCACATAGTAAGTGTTTATTAAATGCTTATTGACCAACAGATTTGAAAATGTCTTTTAACTCTAAATTGTGTTACCAGTGAAATATCCTTTCAGCTTTATTTCATGAGTCCTCTTAAACAGTCATATGCTTTAGCCCAGTCAGGGGCCTTTCCCCAATCAAGCCCCATCCTGTATGTATTTATGCACATGCTGTTCCTTTTTCACAGTACCGACAACAGCCACATTACCTTCTTTCAAGGCCCACATCTGCTTTTACCTCTTTGATGAGGCTTTTTTTCTGACCCACTCTGCCCAGATCTCTCAGGCCACTCTGTTTGATCTTTTCTATGTACTTAATTTTATTCTACCTTGTATTATGCTTTTTGTCTACATGTTTTATTCTCTTCTCCTGGATTGTCTTTGTGTTTCCAGTGTCTTACATATGGTAGAAATGTTTTGTTGAATTGAATTGGAATTTTTGGTTTAATACCACTGTGTTCAACAAATTGAAGATTTCACGAGGCTTGTTTGCTACAGATAATCCACATTTTCATACCAAATGTGAAGCCCTCTCTGAACCCAAACCTCAGAGGAAATAGCCACCAAGAAAGGAAAGTCCAACAGTTTTTAACTTTTGATTCTTATGCTTGCTAATCTGTGCAGCATGGTGGGAACACTTTTTAAAAAAATATATGAGAGATTCCTGTGTAATAAATCAGCAAATATTTATTATGTTCAATGACGGTGTAGACAAAATAGGAGACACAAAAAATCTAAGACATGATCAATTCAATTGTCTCCCTTATCTGTACATTCACTCAAGAAGTTGTATTATTTCTCAACATCGCACATGGAATCACACAGAATCTTAGAGTTGAAAGTGGCCTTAGAGGCCATCTAGTCCAGTTCATACCCAAACAAGAGTCTCATTTATAGCATACTCAAGAGATTGTCAACCAGTCTTTAAAAAGCTCTTGGGAGGGGGCAGCTAGGTGGCATAGTGGATAGAGCACTGGCCCTGGATTCAGGAGGACCTGAGTTCAAATCTGGCCTCAGACACATAACACTTACTAGCTGTGTGACCCTGGGCAAGTCACTTAACCCCATTGCCACCCCCCCAAAAAAAAATTTTTTAAAAAGCACTTGGGAGAGGGAATTTCCCAAGGATGCCCTATTCTGTATTTGATTTGCTCTAAGCGGTGAAGAGTTTATTTTTATATCAAACTAAAATGTGTATATTTGCAGCTTAAGTTCATTGTTGTTTTTTTTTTGTGGCGAGGCAATTGGGCTTAAGTAATTTTGCCCAGGGTCACACAGCTAGTAAGTGTCAATTGTCTAGTCTAAGACCGGATTTGAACTCAGGTCCTCCTAATTCCAGGGCTGGTGCTCTATCCACTGCACCACTTAGCTGCCCCAGTCTGTTGCTTCTAATTCAGCCCCTGGATGTCAAGTTGAACAAATCCAATCCACTTTTATGTGACAGTGAGTCAGATATTTGAAGAAAACTATCATCATCTCCTATACTTGTCTTGTCAAGGCTAAATATCTTCATTTCCTTCATCTGATCCTCACCAGGGGCTCTGGATACTCTCCCTGCTGTCAATATACTTCCTAAAAAGTGGTACTGATTTATTCCTAATGTGATCTGATAGAGACAGAAATATAGTACAGCATAACTCCATGAAACTTTATGCTGCTTCAGGAGTTGGTACACTTTGAAAAAGGAACACACCATGATTCTGATCCTCTTTTAATTTTTTTTCCTGAAGTACTTAACCTATCTAAGAGTGAAAATAGTTTACCGATATTAGATTAAAAATCCCAGTGTAAAGTAGATAGTTCATGCAGCTATCGGAAAGCATTTCTTGCCTGCTTGGTCTATTTAAAGAGTGTCAGCTTGTTCATTTTACCTTGGTGATCAAACTGGTCTTATGAGATATGGCCCCTGGTGGTGTGTGGTGAAATAGTACATGAGAAAAGGAAGGGAGAGTGAGGTACAAAAAGTGGAAGAGTCAGACCCTGCTAATATGAGAATTTGTTTTACTTGATTATACTTATTTGATACATGGGAGGACTTTTATTTTTTGAAGGGGAAGTTGTGGGGGAAATGAGTGGGTAGTGATAGTGGTAGGAAAAAAAAGGTGAAGAAAGAAAAGAAAGGAAATAGCATCAATGATACATTTAAAAATACACTGAAAAGTGCAAAGGAAGTTTAGAAGGGGACACAGGCAGAGAAGTTTTGTTATTATTGTGCTAAATTTAATATATGTATACTTGAAAACCATGTCAGAAGTTTATTATTTCATATGTAATCCTCATTTTCTGGTTTTCTTTGTATATGGAAATATTTATGTTTGCTGATATTTTATAAGCTGCTTATAATGGCACACTCCCCCACCCCCCAAAAAAAATCAGGAGAGAGTGAGGGAGATAGAAAGAGTAAAGTGGATACAGTATATGAAGTAGATATTGAATACTATGTAAGGGAGGAAAGTCTACTAAGTATGGACAACCAGAACCAATTCTGTAATAAAAAATAGGGTGTCTTCAAAGTTGATTTAGCATTGTGCTCCTGGGGATTTGGTTTTAGAGTGAGTTAAAGGTAGGTAATCCCTGATTTTGTAGCCAGCCAAGTTTGTTACAGGCCCTGGGTCCTGTGCTGTGATATCCCCATGGGTAATTGGAAGCTGATAACAAGGTCCTGGCAGACATAAATATCTGGTTGACATAGCTCTGAGCCCCCAGTAATCTGTCTCCAGAAAAGACAGTGCTCAGGGAGAAGCAAAAAGACCTAGACTCGGGATTTGAGCCTAACTGATGGAAGAGGGAATTGCTGGTAAGTGTTTGGGGCTATGTCATCCTGTAGCATCATTCATGATATCAATATAGAATCCTGTCTGCCATCACTTTAAAAAAATTTTTTTTTAAATCAATGTCTTTTGTTTTTACAAAACTTATGTGTTTCAGTATTCTCATTCACTCCTTACCCCCACACAACCCAATAAGCCATCCCTTATGACAAAAAATAAAAAGAGAAACAAACAAAAGATACAGTTTAGTAAATCTAACCAACACAATGAAAAAGTGTGACATATTCTTTCATCATTCTTATCAGATGCTGGGCTATCAAAAGAGAGAATCAAACTGCTTATTTTTAAAAGCTGCTCATATCAAATCTCATTAATTAAAATCAGTTTCTAATTGCCACAGGAGCTATGCAATGTGCCTAAAGGGTGAGTTTAAGAAGGCGTTCAGACATATCCTTAAAGATTAGTTGCTTAAAGCAAACAGAGATGGCTAACAACTCCAGTGCAGCATGAACAATGAAGTGATCTCCTCTCTGGAGAACAGAAACAAATAATATTTATTTAAAAACTTATTGTAAAATCTCAGAATGGAAATGAAACCATTTATTGTCTAATTTCATCAGCTATTCTAGTCCTAAATATTCAAAGAGTGGTTGAGTTTTGCTGAAGGAGTGATTTAAATTTTTCTACTCTCATTTGGTAGGGAAAGGATTGGGGTGAGGGGTAGGGGTGAGTAAAAGGAAGAATTTTAAGTATTAGAATATTCACATAGGGTGACAGGAATGTCACAGGTTATGCCCTGTGGGAATTATAAGATGAATTATTGTGGTACAACCACAAGAGTGGAAAAATCGGTCTCTCTCCTACCAGACATTTAAAGCATTTTTAAAAGCAGTCTTTTGATTAGTTAGATTAAAAATTAATAATTCATTCTGTCTTTTCTTCCTCTATAGGTGCTTTTATTCCGTGTCTCGGAAGGAAGCAACCGAAATGCTAGAGAAGAACCCTTCTTTGGGAAATATGATCCTGAGGCCTGGTAGTGACAGTAGGAACTATTCCATTACCATCAGACAGGAGACAGAGTATGTTGAATTTACAAAGTTTATCTAATACTTAACAGGAATTCTGTCACTAAGACTGCAGAGTCTTATGGTTCATATGATTTTATAGTTAACGTGGAGACGGCAGACTTAAGATAAATACCTGTTATTATAGGAAAGAACAATTAGCAAATATACTAACTTGGGTCCAGTTTCTGTTTCTCTTATCAAAGAAGTTTTTTTTTAAAAGTAAAATATATTTGAAAGTGACCATTTAAAACTTAAAATGAACTTTGTTTATAAGTGTTTTTGAATATCTGTTTTTCACAGCAGTGATCTCAGGCTCCATTATCAAAACTATAAAATGAAATGGCTAACAAATAATTATCCTTCAGAATAAAAGTATAAATATAGCTTTGAATTCCAGAATTTGCTAATTGTTCTACCTTGCTGTAGACACTAGCCACTGTATCTTTTGGTTATAAAATACATATGTAAATAGAGAAAAGAATAGTGACTAAAGGTAGACATAAACAATGAATCAAGCAAGAACATGACCTCAAAATAATAAGAAAAAAACCCCAGCAAGACATGAGACAAGGTAAAAATACTGACTGTGTGATTGATTTTATGTTGAATATGAGCTGAGACAGAGTTGCTTCATAAATTGGGAACTGCCCTGCCTAATACCAGAATTAAGATTTCCCCTATGCCTTAGCCTGTAACACTGATAAAATCTCGAGAATGCAGGTCAAGTCAGTTGAGCAGAAGTACATCTATTGTGCATAATGTGCCCGTTTATTTCTTATCAAATTAATTGACTTGACCACTTGACATTTCAACTTGACAATTTGACATTTCGTTCTTTTCAGTTTCTCTCTTTGTAACTCCTAGGTTGTTACCAAGTGTAGTGTGTTATGATAAACTACCTTTTGAGGATGGTGAGGCCCTGATCAATCATTTCATTAGTGTTGACAAAACTCCCTTCTCCAAGTCATTAGCAATTCATTTGTACCTTATTTTCTTAGTTGCCTGAGGGACTGTTAGTAAGATGTCTTGCCCATGGTTACAAAGGCACTCAGAGACAGGATTTGAACATAGGTCTTCCTGACTATAAGCCGAGGTCTCTAACTACTACACCAGGATGCCTCTCAAACAATAATTTCTACAAGTAATTTAACTGTATCAAGCAAGTTGTTCAGGTGTATCTGACTTTTCATGACCGTAGCATGCCAATGTTGTCCATGGGGTTAACTTGGCAAATATACTGGAGTAGTTTGCTATTTCCTTCTCCAGTGGGTTAAGCAAACAGATAAATGATTTGTCCAGAGTGACATAACTAGTAAGTGTCTGATGCCAGATTTGAACTGAGGCCTTCCTGGCTCCAGGCCCAGTGCTCTATCCACTGAGCCACCTAACTGTATCAAGCAAAATCCACCTTAAATTTGATTTGTTGTTTAGTCTGTCAACAAATTAAAAAAATATATAAAAGTTTTTAAATGGACCCATGTTTTCTAATTTTTAGTGGACTACAATTAAATCTGTTGTATAAACAGATATTATAAACAAAGGTGTCTCTGCGTATTGGACACATGGAGCTCACAGAACTCCTCCCTAATTTATGTATGATTTGAGGATCTTGATAACTTGATTTTTAGAGCTGGGCATAGTTAAGGGACTTTCTCAAAGTCAAAATAGCTAGTTGTGGTAAATCTGGGATTTGAACAAACCTCTTTATCCAGTGCTTTTCCAGCAGCAGAACATTTTTTTTGTTAGTGCCAGCAACAATGTGGATTTAAATAGCCTCTTATGTTTATGAATTGAGAAGTGGTATAGCGGATAGAAAGGCAGAAGACCATACTCAATTCCTACATCTGATACATGCTAGCTAAATGACCCTGGGCAAATCAACTGAGACTTTAAGTTAACAAGAATGTGATGACCTTGCAGGGTTTTTATATCAGTGGAATCACCAGTCTAGTCTCTGACCCTATTCTCAATTATGAACTGTTGTAATTTTGGGTTCACTTTAATATTTTACAAGTCAATGGCAAAACATTCAAAGAAGGAAAAGACCAGGTGGTTTCTATCCCTCAGAGGACAGAAAGTAAGCAGAAATGGGCATTGTGAAGAGATACTGAGGTTACATGGAGATAATTTCTCAAAAATAAATGGTGTTAGTTGTTAAATAGCTGTTAGGCATTGTTGAATCTTTTTCTCTAAAGGTCTTGAAGTTAAAATTTCTCTGATTTCAGCTCACTAATTTACTTTCTTTGTGACTTTGGATCATTTGTTTAAGCTTCTCTAGACCTCAATTTAGCTTCTCTAGATCTCATCGACAAAATCACAACTTCGGGGGCAGGTAGGTGGCGCAGTGGATTGAGCACTGGCCCTGGAGTCAGGAGGACCTGAGTTCAAATATGACCTCAGACCAAACGCTTGGCACTTATTAGCTGTGTGACCCTGGGCAAGTCACTTAACCTCAATTGCCTAAAAGTTAAAAAAAAAATTTTTTTTAAAATGACAACTTTGGAATAGGTGATTGCAAAGTCCTTTTCTAGTTCTAAACTCTATGATCTCATGAGATGATTTAATTATGATTCTGCCATAATTTGAGAAACGGTCGTGTCATGTTTCCAGCCCTGTTGTTCTCTGATGATCATTAATGGCTGTTGACTTTTCATTTTAGTGAACTGTTTAGAATTTTATAGATCTTTTAGCCTAGAGAGGACCTTTACTTGTCAATGATTTTGGCAAAGATGACATTTTTGTGATGATGGATTTTCTCTAATCCATGCATGCGCTCTTGTCCACTTCCCTTGGTAATCGCTGGAACATGTTTTCCAGACAGTTGGGTAGAGTGAGAGATCCTGCAGTCTGTGACAGTAAAAGAGCAATAGTAAAAGTTGTCACCCTTTCTGGGAATGAACCTGAAGCCTTTGCCTCAGAATCACTATGCTGACAAAACAAACTAACCAGCCAACCATAGAACTAACACTGAAAGCTGATTTAAAAGGAGTAAACAAATATAATTTAGCCTGAGAGAGGCACACAAAGCTAAGATCCAAGCACCATTAAGTCACTTGAAGGAGTTTCAGTGAAGCAGTAAGTGGCGATTATCAATAAATGACATTAAGAAGAGTCCTGGGGGTGGGGGGAATAGGGGGATTTGCGTGAGAATTTCCCACTGTAGTTCAGTCTTGTTGGATGGACCTTTCCTACTTGGGTTTTAGTAGAATAGATGCATTAGTTACAGAATGGAGATAATTTATAACTTTCAACTTTCATTTAAAGAAAAAAAATGCAAGTCAAGCAAAATCTTGCGCCTGCAGATAATTTATTTTTATAATTTATCAAAATCTCCTTTCCACCTTCCTAACGAAAACAAAAGAAAAACAAAACCCTTCTAACAAATATGCTTTGTAAACAAATTCTCGCATGGGTCTTGTCCAACATCATTTGTTTCATTCTGCATATTTAGTGTGTCACCTCTCTGTAGGAAGGTAGGCAACATGCTTCATCATCAGCCCTTGGGAATTATGGTTAATCATTGCATTTATAGTTTTTAAGTCTTTCATAATGACTCAATTTTACTCTATTTTCATTATTCTGGTTCTTCTTAATTCAATCTGCATCAGTTCATATAAGTCTCAGGTTTCTATGAACTCATCTCTTTCATTATTTCTTACATTATCATAGTATTTGGTTACATTCACAGGCCAAAATTTTGTTCATTTATTTCGCAATTGATGGACACCTACCTAATTTCCTGTTCTTTGACACTTTAAAAAGAACTGCTATAAATATTTGTACTATATACATATAGAACCTTTTCCTCTTTCTTTGCCAGCAGATTTTTTTAAATGCATGCAAATGACTTTAACATGAAATTAAATAATCAACTAGAGAAATACATTTTAGAGTTTAATAAAATATTGGATTTCAAGAGACTTTAGGAATCTTGTCTTCTACTCCTCCCTCTCTCTCTCTCTTTTTTTAATATGAGGAAAGTTAGTTTAGACAGGTGAGATGACTTGAAGAACCACGCAAAACGAATTCATGTCAGAACAGGGAATGGGATCTAGGTCTCCTGAAAATAGAAATATTTTCTTTCCATTTCCTCAGGCATGCTTGCCTGATCAGTCTGTCTGCACCTGTTTGAAATATGTTATTGCCTTCCTATTTTTAAAATATGTCAGTATTTTTACAAGGCCAAATATTTTATTCTGATTAGCTTCTGGAAATCTTTGCATTGGTTTGGGGATTTCTTCTAGTTTCCATTAATAATGTTATTAGTTACACTGAAAAAAAGTGATGGAATTACAAAATGCTCTCCTAATACATAATATGATTTTTCTCTTCATAAGCCCATTAGATAGGTACAAATATAACAATTCCCATTTTTCAAATGAGATAACTGAAGACCAGAGAGTTTAAGGACTTGCTAAATGCCACACACTAGATTCATTCAGTTCAATTAAACCAGCATTTATTAAGCTCCTGCTGTGTGAAAGGTACTCTGCTACATGCTGGAGATTCAAAGGCAAAACCACAAAGTCCTACTTATAAGGAGCTTGCATTATACTGAGAGGAGAATTCAACATGTGTTTTCATACAAATACTGTGTAGAAACACAAAGTAGCTTTTTTTCTTTTAAAAAATTTATTGTAATTTTTATTGTTTCCTTCATTTTTCAATAAATCCCTGTCCTCCCAGAGAGTTATCTCTTATAGTAAAGATGACAAAAGAAAGAGAATGAAAAACAGTTCAGCAAAACAAACCAACACATATCCCCAACCAACATCATATGCAATGGTTCACATCCATAGTCTCTTTTGTAAAGGAAGAGAGGAAAGTACATTTCATTTTTCTTCTTTGGGGTGATGCTCATCATTATAATTTCACAATATTCAGTTTGTGTGTGTGTGTGTGTGTGTGTGTGTGTGTATGAAAACACAAAGCAGCCTAAAAGGTAGTCTAAAGAGAGAATACTTGTTAACTAGGGAAATCAGGAATTTAATACTCAAGGCTAAGTCTTCTGATTTTAATCCAATTTTCTTCAGATTCCTTCCTTCCTTCCTTCCTTCTTCCTCACCTCCCCCATTTCCTTTCCTCTTCCTTTTAAGAAAAGCTTTGTTAATGCTTTTTCTATTTATACCACTAATTTCTGAATGTATCCTTAACCAGTAAGCCTTCCTTTGCTAAAAAACAAAACAATAATCAACCTAAATCAACCAATATATAGACGATATATGTAACATTCTACACTCATAATCCTCCACCTCCCCAACAGAATGAGAGGCATACCATCTTCTAATTTCTTCTGAGACCAAATTTAGACATTATAATTACAGAGTTCAGTTTTGTTTTGTTGTTCTTTCTCTTTATATGGTTGTAACCATTGTATATATTGCTTTCCTGGTTCTGCTTAATTCACTCTTTATCACTTCGTTTACATTTTTCTTTTTTTTTTTTTTTTGCTCCTCACATTTGTTGTTTCTTACAGTATAAACTACCAATATCCTTTCCATTCTGCCATGCTGCCTCTTCAAAGCTTGCCCAGACTGAGCATTAATTTTCTACATAATTGAGCATTTGGACTGTGGATGTGGTTTTGGACCAAATGCATTTTTAGAATACTGGCCTATCCAGTATGGTTCAGTGTCACAATCTTCACTTACAACTTGCATTATGTTCCCTGTTACATCATGTGAGAGAACTAATCAGGAGAAATTGGTTTTCATCAATTCTACATTATGATACATACCAGGAAATTTCCTCAGTTTCACAAAGCTTTTGCTCTTGATGAACAGAAGATGAAGAAACCAAAAAAGGAGTCAGTAGCAAAGTTGAAAGATTGAGGTTTTTTCAAATTCCTAATTTGAATTAAATTGTAAATTCCTAATCTGAATTTTTAAAGTGTCATAAGTATCTGTATGACAATATCCTTGGGGGAAAATTCTGTTCATTTTGAAGTAGGTTGACAGAAAGCTATTAGTGAACTAGGAAAATGGAATGGTCAAATTAGAATATTCTAGCATCCAAGTTCCTATGTGTACATTTTGACAATTCAGCTGTTTTGTATTTCCAAAGGACCTCGTATTTGCTGCTCTTCACAGTGAACAAAATAATTCTGAAAAATCTGACCCCCAGAACATCTATGTCTCTTCCAAAATCTCACAGCAGATCTTTTAAAAAGATTTAAAAGACATGATTCTGATTGTAATTTCCTTATCTCTGCTGGACAGCATCTAAAATACTGAAAAGTGAGGAAGAGCAATGGCAATGAATCTTAGAATCACAGAATGCTAGGGTTGGAAGGGACCTGACAGGTCACACCTAATCCAGTCCTCTTGTTTTATAGATGAGCAAACTGAGGCTCACAGAGTTCAAATGATTAACTCAAGCATACACAACTAACTAGGAGAAGATTCAGAACTAACTCAGGTCTTTTGTCTCTCAGCCCAGCATTCTTCTTTCTAGCTTGATAGAAGAATATTTAACTTACTCGATCTTACTGAGTCCCTGAGCATGAAGAATTCATTGTCAAGAATCTGGCAGTAATCCAGTGTTAGGAAACACCTGTGTTGTGCACAAAACCAAATCTCTCTTATAGACAGAACAAGAAATGCTGTTCAGTCGTGTGAGTCAATAAGTGTGTCTGGCAAAACAGAAGCAACAAAGAGCACATTGCTTACACAGAAGCAGCTTTATGGAGGCATAAACTCCACCTGCTAATCAATCATGAATTTTAGATTAGGGAGGGACAGAATCACTCTATCCCAGATTATTAAGGTGACCCTTCTCTTAATGGAGGACGTCATTCTCACTGGCCTGTTCTAGGGTACATGGATTCAAAAAGCTGTTCTCCTAATACAACTTCCTGTTTTATTTTTATCTTCTTTAAATTGTTGTTGGTGATTAGCAAGCTAGGATGGTAGACAATTTACCAACAGGTTACATCTTTCTAAGAACTTAGGTCAAAGTCTTAGAACCAGGAAGAGGTAGGATGGTGTGGTAGAAAGAGCATTGGCCTTAGAGTCGGAAGATTTGAATTTGAACCCCAGCTTTGTTGCTTATTACCTGTGTGACCTAGAGCAAGCTACTTCACTATGGGCCTCACCTTCTTCATCTGGAAGATGAGGGGCTTGAACCAGGTGATCTCTAAAGTCCTATCTAGATGGAAATCCCATGAGTCTCAATGCCTTACAAAGTAATTTACGATGTGTGTGTGTGTGTGTGTGTGTGTGTGTGTTTTAAGGTTTCAGCCAGGAAATCTCAAGATAACAATTTGTACCAATAACTTTTTTATTTTAACTAATCCTTGAAAAAAAATGAAAAGGGGGCAGAGAGGTGGCGCAGAGGGTAAAGCTCCGGGCCCAGAGTCAGGAGGACCTGAGTTCAAATGTGACCTCAGACACTTGATACTTATTAGCTGTCACTTAACCCCATGGGCAAGTCACTTAACCCTATGGCTTAGCCAAAAAAAAAAAAAAGTGAAAAAATGATAGGGCCAAGGTGAAAGCCAGGGGCACATGTTGGAGGAAGTGTGTGTTGTAATACCAACTACAAGTGTGAATCCTACTTCCAGTTAATTTTTGCTTTTTTTTCCCCCCTTACACAAAGTTGGGATTCATAAATAGTAACCAAATTCCCCAGGAAGTTTTATGCAGCATTGTGTTTATTGGAACCAGTGATATTTTAAAATGTTAACAGCAGGTGCTAAAGGCCTTTTTCACTCAGAGTGGCACTGTACATAAATAGGCAAGGCTGGGCTTATAGATAAACAGTCGTGTTCAGAGGAACATTGGGAAGCTCCTCCTTTATTTTCCCAAATCTTCCCCACCATCCTATAATTGATGTCTGAATTGCTGCAATTGGGGAGTCATTATTTTAGGTTATACATTGTCCCATGTTAAAGGTTACATAAAAATAATATGCTAGCTAAAGAGTTATTAGGCAGAAACACATTTATGTTAGGTGATTTGTGATATTTTCCCCAACTTGATGACTGTATGAGAGCAGGTGCTGATAGGTTGAGATCATGAGGTGCTTTATAGCAGTATGGTCCAGAGTGGAACACCTTAAACTCTTAAAGAGGGGGAGAGGTTCTGAATCAGGAAGAAAGACATTGAAATGAAATTTCATGTATCATACAGTTTTGCTTAGGAGTCTGGAATTACTAGTTCTCTCAAGCAATTAATCAGAAGCAAATAACGACAGTTAATTTTTCAACATTGGGGGAAAGTTTGGGGAAAGCCATAACCTTTTTAAAAGGGAGCCAAAAAATACAACAAGACAGACATTAAATTCTCATCTTACAGCTTCAGGTACATCTGTTGTTCTTCAGTCATGTCTGACTCTTCATGACCCCATGGACCAATTGTCCATGGTTTTTTTTTTTTTTTTTTTTTTTTTGCAAAGATGTTGGAATGGTTTGCCATTTCCTTCTCCCGCTTTATGCAAACAAGGGTTAAGTGACTTGCCCAGGGTCACACAGCTAGTAAGTCTCTAAGGTGATATTTGAACTCTGATCTTTCCGACTCTAGGCCTTCTCTATTCACTGTGCTACCTAGCTGCTCCTAGGTAGCACCTAATTCCCAGTAAATGGGGCAACTCTGAACATATTTTAAGATTCATCTACTGGACTTGCTATATAAGTACTGGTATGTTTCCTATTTATTGGAACTTTCTGTATAATCAGGTATCATTTGGAAGAGTCATGAATATATTTACATAGAACTAGAATATGAGGAGTTAAACTTCCATAATGTATTCTTTTAAGTGAGTTAGTGGCACTTTTTAAAGTGAAATGATTATTTCTCCCTGCAAGTTTGTCTGGCCCTCCTTGATATTTCATTTTCTACATTCACTTCCATTTATGTGCTACACTGCTGCTAATCATGGCATGGGGGTGGCCCTGGCTTCTTTCAGTCTGTATCAGCATAGTGCAAGCTATAGAAAGGCCTATCAACTTGGGAAGGCTTTAAATATGAACTCTAGATGGGCAAGATCTAGAACTAGATCCAGATCTCCAAGCTCATCACCAGGAGGTGATTGTTTTATTTCAGCCATCCTATTTCATAAAGACCATGACAATCCCTTCACTTGTTACCTTTAAATAGAGTACTGAGTACCTTGATCAAATCACTTAACTTGTCTACTCCTCACTTTCCCTCCCTGTAAAATGGAAGTGACAACAGTAAATACAGTGTTAGAATTGTTGTTAGGAAGATTTGAATTCAAATCTAGCCTCAGACACTTGACCTGGGCAAGTCACTTAATTTCAGCCCTCCTCAGTTTCCTCATATGTAAAATGGGGATAATAATAAAACATATCCACTTAACCTCTTCCTGCCTCAGTTTGCTCATCTGTAAAAGGGGGGAAATTTTAGTTCTAATCTGCTTCTGTAAAATGGGGACAATAACAGCACTTACCTCCCAGGGTTGTAGTGAGGATTAAAGGAGATATTCATTAAACACTTTGCAAAGCTTGAAGTGCTACATAAATGCTGGCTACTATTATATGCCCTGGAGGATGGTTGTGAGAGAAGTACTTTGTGAACCTTAAAAGCACTTGTGTAAATGTGACTTATTCTTTTCTTTAAAGATGTAGAGGAGCTTCAGGCTTCACATAAGTTAGGCCTGAACAACGTGTGGCATGCCAAAGGATGTGCAGGCCTGACTAGTGTGCATCCACACAAATGAAATTGTGAATCCTACAAATATTGAAGGACTAGTCACTATCACTGATCCAGATCCCTACATCACTAGCCTGAAGTAGCCTAGGGAAAGATATGGAGATAGATAAAGGGACTCCCCAGACATTTTTGCTGGGCTGAATGGAAATTTTATTTGTCATATGCATGTTTAGTTTTTATTTTTTCCCCACAACGAGAACAAGTAGGAAAGAATCTTTATTATTATTATTATTATTTTTGCTTTATTTCAGCACTCCAAGAATAAAGCACTACAGAGTGGTAAGCATAGGAGCCAACTACACTATTGAACTGGAAAAACCAGTAAGTCATTATCTTTGTTGTAACCATTTTCATTAGATTAACTCTGCCCAGACTTCTGCTTTCTAGAACTAACTATAAGGAAGGCTGAAAAACAGACAAAAACATATTGCCCGGGAAATTTGTGCTGATGAAAAATATCATGTTAAAGGAATTGAGGCTAGCAGATTCTCCAGGTGGAGAGTGTTGAGAGGGGCAACTTTGGACTGAGTGGTGGAGCAGGGGTAGAAGGGTGTAAAGATTCAGGACGTGATGGTAGCTCTTTCCCTCATCCATTTTGCACAATTCTTTCTAAATATAAATTATTTTTAGGTTGAGACAGAATATTAATTTTGCCAGACATCTGACCTGAATTCCCCAAAGTAAAACAGTTTAAAAGAGTTTGTTTAAAACTAGGAAGAAGTAGAGAAGCTTGCAATTCCTATGCTTTATAAGTTTCAGTTCAATTTCTAATCTAAAGGGAAATGCTTGGGAAAATCTCCCCCCCTCCCCCCTTTACTTCTTTCACCTGCAAAATAACAGTGGAGGGGGTGGGGTAAAGAAATCCCTTCCTTCTTTGTCTGTGCCATTAAGGTGCTTCATCATCAGTGGCTGGGGATACTTGCAGTGTAGTGGTGTGATTCCAGTCTGAGGGAAGGAAAGGAGCTGACTTTCTTTGGGCTGAGATTGAGGAAGGAAGCTAATAATGCTTTTGTTTACAGGAAACTGATAGGTCTCAAAGAAATTTATATTGTTCATCGGGCCTCCTAGCCCCGCCCCTTGCTTTCCCAGGCTCATTGCTTCCAACTCAATGGAGAGGAAGAGGAAAGCCATAGAATTTCCTGTGTTGTGACCACATCCTCTACAGCTTAGAGAGGATGGGCTTCAATTGGAGGCAGCAAAACTGCTGGCAGAATCGTCTCTCATTTGATTTCTAGAACTCTAACCTTCTCCCAGGAGTCCTCGGCTCCTATCCCTGGCCTTGTTTTTTGGAATATTCTAAATGTGTAAAGGCAGATTAAGATTAAGCCCATTGGAATGACTGCACTAACTTCAACCTTTGGGGCAGTGGGCAATTGGCATTGTTTCAGGAGGGCGGGGACCAGCGGAGGAGGTGACGCCACCGGCCAATATTGAAACTATTTATTTCATATAGTGTGTTACTATATGTCATTGATATGGTATCAAATTGTCCTTTTTGTGATTCCTTTTCACTTTAGAGACTGGCCTTGATTTTCACTTTAAACTGATTTCTTAACTTGCACATAAGTGTGTGCATGTGGGTAACATGATCAGTGTAATTTGTCTTACTTAGCTCAAGGCTCCCCAACCCCCCAGGCCAATGGTGGCCTGGCAAACACACATTAAGTCGTGTTAATTCTGTACCTCCTGAGATGTTGCATTATGCTTTATATTATTAGACCTGATGGTTGTAGGGAGCAGATATTATTAGATTGGTTCTGTGGTCATTAGATGTAACCTGCATTTCTCCTCTTGTGTTTTCTGTCTTGTTAATACTCAGGTGACACTACCCAACCTCTTCAGTGTCATTGATTATTTTGTGAAAGAAACTCGAGGAAACCTGAGACCGTTTATATATTCCACTGATGAAAATCTTGGTATGTTTCTGAATGTAATGGTCCAAGTATGAGGTAATGAGCTGAACTGTATCTGTTTGCAGTAGGAATGAAAGTAAGAAATTTGCATCAGTAAAAACTTTTTTCTTTTAAAGAAAAGGATATATTCAAGAAACACTTAGGAGAAAGAATTGATAATATTGGGTAATTGTTTGCATGTGGGGGTGGTGATAGGAGGCCCCCAGAGGTGAGAGAAGGAGTTTGCAGACAAGTACAGAGATTTAAGCCTGGGTAAATGGGAGAATTATAGTACCATTCACAGAAATAAAAAAAGTCAAAATAAGAAGCTGATCTGGAGAGGAAACTAATGAGTTTAGTTTTAGTTGTGTTAAATTTGAGAGGCTAGGGAACAGCTAGGTGGTGCAGTGGATAGAGCACCAGCCCTGGAGTCAGGAGGACCTGAGTTCAAATTCGGCCTCAGACACATAATCCTTCCTAGCTGTGTGACTCTGAGCAAGTCACTTAACCCCAATTACCTCACTAAAAACAAACAAATAAATAAATAATTTGAGAGGCTAGCAGAATATCTAGGGGTCAGAGTTCAGCGGCAGTAGGGAATTCAATGCAGTTCAGTGAGCATTTATTACCCATCTGTTACATTCAGGGCACTCTACTAGGCACTAGGAATGCAAAGTTAAAAATAGAAATAGTCGCTGACCTCAAGGTACTTAACATTTTGTTGGCAATATGAAAATGGAGGTAGAAATGTATATGTGGGAATATTTATAAAAGGGCATAGTTTAATTCATGGCTGCGATGAGTTTAATGAGGTGTAGTAGAGGGCTGAAGACAATCAATCAATCAATCAATAAACTTCTGTCCTTGTGGTGGTTTAGAAACAATTGGATGATAATTTCTAACATAATTGGGCTTTTTTTTTTAACTGCTTAAAGCACTGTTAAAGAATTTTTAGTACAAAATCTTTGCAGCATTATCCCAAACCCACTAACTGGGAACCTACTGAGCTAGAGCAATGACCCTTAGCTTAAGTATCTATTGAAGCTTCTTCCTTTGATTCCCTCAGAACTTTAGCTCTTGGGGTGCTTTGTTACCTTCAGTAGGAGCTGAGAGAAAGGTTGCCTTTCCTATTGGACAAATTCTTCCTGACCCAAAAACCATTACAATTGCCTTATTGTGATTAATTTCAATTTAGTCATATCCATCTGTATACTTTACAGAATTTGACATGGGTGAGTGGCCAGGTAAAAAGTTGTGAATACTGTCTATGCCTCAGAGCCAAGTCTTGCAAGACTTTTCATATTCAATTAAAGTATTCCACCCTCCTATCTTTCCTGGGGTAGAAATGTTTATTTGCACCTGAAAGCTGTTTCCTGTACCTCTTAATGGCTTTGTCTCTTAAGCCTCAGCAGAGCTTTTGTTGAAGTCTTGCTGGGGCATCCCATTTTACAAACGAGAGAATTAACTTGAAGACCAAGTCATTTGCTTTCTCTCCAAAATAAAGATGTAAAGCCTCCAATAGAACATACTTTCAAAGACTACTTTTCTATTTTGTTTTTATATCCCTAGTGACTAGCACATAGCTTGTGTTTAATAAAGTTTGTTGAAGATCAGTTTGGATATGTTATGAAAAATTATTTTGTTTACTAGTCTAATAATTCTTAGAAGTTTCTCTCATATTCCTCCCCCTCCCAAATCGGACTTTTTATCAGATACCTCTTAACAAATCTTTTTTTCTCCCCTTAAAAAGTTTTCACAAATGATTTTTACTTTGATGATATAGTACAAAAAGAAAACCTCCCCTCAGCCCAAAACCTCAGGAGCAGGCACACTCAAGGGCACTATATCATCTAGATCTCTAGGGGGAGTGGGCTCACTCAATCCCTAACTTGGAACGTCGATGCTGAGCAGGTTACAAAACCTAGTGTGGATTACCAGACTACCATATTCCTGGAAATTAGTTGCACTGACTTTTAAAAACTTGTAAGAGCCTCCATCTAGATTAATCTCTTTCACCTAAAACAAAAGAACAAACAGGAAGGCAAAGAACCAGTTGTTTTATAGGGGTCAGGTCTCCTCAGAGACAGGAGGCCCAAGGCCTCTCCCCTTACATTATCTCTCATTTTTATCTCAGTGAAAGTCAAAACCACCAAGAAAGGGAAAAGAATCAACACATTTTGTGGCTCAATCCACATTTTGAGAACCATTTTTCTAGGCTTTGATTGTAAGTGTTTGCAAAATATTTAGGTTATACCTTGATTATGGGTAGCAAGCTACTACCAAAAATACAGTCATTTATTGCTCCTGATGTTTTTATTTAGAAAACTTGAAATATAGCACCAAGAAAATGAGGTTGTCAAGTTATTTCTCTCCTTTTTTTTTGCTCCTTTTGGATTTATAAAGGCAGATTCACCAATCAAAATTTCCCCATGGAGGCAAGAGCAACCTCTTGTGAGACCAGTGGTCAAAAATGCTGTTAGGCCTCATGTGAATGATTACCTGAATGGTAAGAAATACATTTTTATTTTTCCTTTCAGAAATATTGAGAGCTAAATTGAGAGCTCCTTTAGAGTATGGGTGATCTACATTTCAAGTTCCCAAATGTTTTCCCAAGGTAAAAAAAAAAAAGTAATCAGTTTCATCTTGAGGATGGAAGGTTAGCCTATATATCTTCTAGTAATACAGAGTCCCTCTAATAATCTAGAGTCACTGTTACCTATAGGATAGTCATGGAGTACTGCTTATTTCTGTTTTTAGTTTGAATTATATTTACCTTTTAGCACAATTTGGTTTCCTGGACCTTATGATTTCCTTTGGTCTTTCTAATTTCCTGGATTCTCTCAATTTAGGGTTATAAAGTTGTATTCTCAGAGAAACAGTGCCTAGAAATACAATTACCTCTACACCTTGCTCAGTCTGCCTCTTAAGATATGGTTAGCATTTGTAACCAAGATGAATGCTATATAATTATATGCCATGTTAATTCAAGAAGAAAAATAATCTGCTTTCCAAAGCATGAATTATTTAGGAGAAACCAATGTCTTAAATAAAATGAAAAGAAAGTAGCATTTGAATATGCTAAAAAAATAGAAAAAATAAGTTTGGGAGCCAAGAACCTAACTGATATTGAAAACTAGTCTGTCTTTTTCTTTAGGTTATTATTCTTAACTAATCTCAACTTTTCTTCAACAGAATTTCCAGGCCAAGAATCCAATAAAATGAGAAGGCAGAAGGAAATGGAGGAAAAAAGTGGACACTGACTAAAATAAAGTTATAAATCAGCCTGCCTGATCTTGGGAAAATCTATTTCAAAAATTCTTTCTTGCAAGAAGATTCCTTTGTGTCTCCTGATTCTGGGTGACAAAAAGTTACACCCGAGCATTATACATGTAGAATATTGTCTTGGTAGAGTTATCTTCTTACAAGGATGATATAGAATACTACTATGAAGGGTCTTTGGGGGATGCACATATTTCCACATGCTTTTATAAGCTGACATTAATCTCTGTAAATGAACTTTGAATTTTCTCTTTGTGGGGGCTTGGTTAGTCTAAATGAATTTCCATATACCATTTTCCTAAAAGTTTTTCTTTAAACTGTGGTAGTTCTAATACTGTAAAGTTTGATTTGAACTTGAACTTTCCAAGTAGAAACATTTTCATTGACCAGATAGGGAAGCATCTGATCATTAAGATGAAAAAACATTTTGACCAGTGTGAGAGGACCAAAGTTCCTTGTCTTCATTATTTAAAATAAATGGGCCTTACCTACTTTACATTTTTACCCTTCTTATTTTATTATCTCAAAGGATTTCAGACTCATGATGTTAAGGTATTTCAGAGATCAACTAATTCAACTGCCTCATTTTTCAGATGAGATAACTTAGACTGAATGTTTTGACATGTCTAATGTCACATTAGAGAATTAGGTTATCTATAGTTTCTTACCTTATGGCATGGGGTCATTTATAAGGTGGGGAGGGCAATGGAGAGACTGGTAATGGAATCTAAAATTGCAAAGCTCTCTAAAAAGTTATTTGCAGGTGGTGCAAATTCATAATGAGGCACTTTTGAATTCTACTAGATGGATGTCTTAAATTCTACTTGCTTTTCCGTTCTCAAGTTCTATTGTGATGATCAGAGGAAGACTGGAGCTACTGGAAAAAATCAACCATTTGCTGTAGTCAAAGTTATAAAACTGGGAGTTAAAAAATGATGACATACAGCATTGGAGAGCAAGGAAATTCTCTGGGGTGGTGATGGTGCCAAGGGATGAAATTTTAAAATCATTCAGTGGACTGAGTGTCTGCTTGCAGAAGGCACATCTTGAGAAATAGTGGGAGATAAGGCAGTCCTGAGTTAATAGTATGAGCAACAAAAATAAACATAAATAATATCTTAAGTACAGTGTATAGTTTAGGATGCTATATTTTAGTAAGGACATCTACAAATTACCTATCCAGAGCAGTACAATAAGGATTACTGAAAACCACACCATTAGGATTCAGTCAAAAAAACTAAGATGTTTAGTCTACAGAAGACTTAAGGTGGAATAGACACTTGTAAGTATAGATAGGATTTTCACTAGGAGGGAATAAACTTGTTCTCTGCTCTGCCCAGAAGGGTAGAATAATAGGTGTGAAGTTATGAGGTAGATATGAACTTCACTAAAGGACAAATTTCCTAACTAGTAGAATCATTTCTTTGGGTGGTAATGCATTCCCAGGTACTGCAGGCCTTCAAAAAAAGTTTGGATGGTAATTTGTTTGAGATACCATAGAAAAGATTCATACTTTAGGTGAAGTTTGGACTGCATGACCTTTGAAGGGCCTCCAATTCTGAACCAGGGTACCACTAATTGCTCAACTCTAAAAAAAAGAGCCATAATTATGGGTAGTCAGAACCAGTCTAGCTCATCTAGAACTTTCATCACTCTGATGGGCAGTATTTTACTTAACACACAGAAAACTCTTCATAAATCTTGACTGACACACTGGGAAGGGATAGGGTAGATGACAGTCCTGAATGGAATGGCAACAGAATTTTTTTTCTTAGTCAGATCCCAAGCCTTTCTTATTTTGCTCTTCATATCTTTGGGGGCTGGCATAGAGTAGGTCAAAATGTTGAATTGTTAAATTTTTATGACCATCCTGATAAAGGAGATAGTCCTCATAAAAGACATCATAAACTATAACTTCTGGCCAAAAAAAGAACAAAGGTTACAAATTAAATATTGCATTACACAAAATGCAAAAGAAAAAAGAAACTGAAAAACGTTTAACTACAAAACTTTAGGGAAAAAATGTAGACAGTAAGAATAAACATGGTATTTTCCAGGTTATTTATTTTGTTTCTGAATTTTAAATGCTATACTGCCACATCAAAAATATTTAGAAGGCAGGTTCTGAGTCCTATATTGATTTGTAGATCCCAAGAAAGCTCCTGTTTTGCTAGTTGAAGTGATAAAGAAAGGGAATAAGGAAAAATTATTGCCTTTTTAAAATAATCTTGTTTTTTATATCACCTACATTTCTCAATGTGACCTTCCCACCCCCTCTAAGAGAGCCATCTCTAAAGGAAAATTAAAATGTGTCAGCTGATACAACTGGATGAATATCTTCATCATCACCATCATGGATTTAAAACTGCAATTGACTTTAAACATCAGCTATATCACTACTCCTCCCTTTACAGAAACTGAAACTTATGCTGTTTACATAAGATTGTAGTGGTAGAGTTGGGATTTGAACACAGGTTCCACTCCAGTCCCTTTTGTGGCACTATATAATCCAAATAAGACAGTATCTGCCTTGAACCAGAGGGAGTCAATAGAGGCCACTACTGTTGTCGTCTTATAATCAGCACCAATTTTTTTTCTGAACAAGAGTAGGATTTAAGCCTGAGGGCAGTGACAGTTTCTTTTATCTTTGAATCTCTACCAATGAACAGAGTGTTTGGCATCCAGTAGGTGCTTATTTCAAGTCTTAATGGGGTGAGGTGCCCAAAGGCACTGAGTTGGTAGCATCTCCAGGACTAGAACCAGGCCTTTCTACTGCCAAAGCCCAATATTGTTCCACTGAATCAGAGATTGTACAATTTCTGTTTTTTTGTGTGGGCACTATCTCAGATATTCTGACTGGTACAATTTGTGAGTTTCAGAAGTAAAAGTAACTTCTAAAAATGCACTTGAACCTAACCCTAATTAAAGATTTCTCAATTAGTAGAATTAGACTACTGGTACTATCTTCAAAACAGTTGCTGCTGTCTCTGCCAAGGGCCTCATTTCTAAAATAGAGAACTAAGTCAAATTTATTAAGAATAAAAATCATTCCCCAACTGATAAATGGTCAAAGAAAATGAACGGCCAGTTCTCAGATGAAGAAATTAAAGCCATCTATACTCATATGAAAAAATGCTCTAAATCACTATTGATTAGAGAAATGCAAATCAAAATGACTCTGAGGTACCACATCACACCTATCAGACTGGCCAACATGACAAAACAGGAAAATGATAAATGTTGGAGATGTGGGAAAATTGGAACACTAATGCATTCTTGGTGGAGTTATGAAGTGATCCAACCATTTGGAGAACAATTTGGAACTATGCCCAAAGGGCTATTAAGATGTACATACCCTTTGACCCAGTAATAACACTTCTAGGGCTATATCCCAAAGAGATCATAAAAATGGGAAAAGGACCCACATGTACAAAAATATTTATAGTCGCTCTTTTTGTGGTGGCAAAGAATTGGAAATTGAGGGAATGCCCATCAACCGGAGAATGGCTGAACAAGTTGTGGTATATGAATGTAATGGAATACTATTGTGCTATAAGAAATGATGAACAGGTTGACTTCAGAAAAACCTGGAAAAGACTTGCATGGACTGATTCTGAGTGAAGTGAGCAGAACCAGGAGAATTTTTTACACAATAACAGCCATGTTGTACAATGACTAATATTGATAAACGTAACCCTTTCCAGCAATACAAAGATCTAAGACATCTCCAAAGGTCTCATGATGGAAAATGCTATCCACATCTGGAGTTTGAATGCAGATCGAAGCATACTATTTGCTGTTTTTTTTTCTTCTGTTGAGTTTTGTTTCCTCTTTCTGGTGGTTCCTCCTATTGGTTCTAATTCTTACTTACAACATCACTGATGTGAAAATATGTCTAATAGGAATGTATATGTATAGCCTATATCAGGTTGTGTGCCGTCTTGGGGAGAGTGGTGGGGAGGAAGGGGGAGAAAAATTTTAAGCTCAAAAAGCCTATGGAAGTAATTGTTGATAAATCAAAATAAATTAATTAAAAAAAAAGATTCAAACTAATAAAAAATTTAAAAAAACAAAACAAAACAAAGTTGCTGCTGATGCTCCTTCACTGCTTACTTGTGCCACCTTGATGTCCAGTGGGGAAGAGCGTGTAATGATGCCCTAGGATCCCCTAATTAAGGATCTTCCTGTGAGCATACTTAATCTCAAGATTTTCTCACAGAAGTAAGGAGATAACCTTGTATAAATCATGGAATACAAAATGATATTCAGCTTACATTAATGATGGACTAAGACATAGAAAAATCTTATTTTTTAAAAAAAGATACCCATTTTATGAATTTAATTATTTTAATAAGTAAAAAATTACCTGATGGTCCTGTACAAATCATGTTATTCATCTTTACAACTGATATTTGTCACTGATGTATGTAGATCTCACACTACAGAAATGCACACATGTACAATTAAAGGAAGAACACTTGGAAGCTCATAATGGCTGTCTAGTAGGGGTAGAAATGATCAGATTGGAAATAACTTGCAGGACAGGTTGTCTCTAAAGGGACACAGTTATAACCATAAAATGAACTTAACACTGTTAATTTTGTTTATACCTACAAAAGCATTTTGACACCCCTAAAGTATGCATTAACAGAAAAGTTCCATGTTTACTCCTAAAGAAACCATGAGATGGAAACCCCCAAAGCCTTCAAATTACAAATAAATAAATGCATGGTTATCAATAGCCACCAACTGCATAAATTAACTCCTGTAAAACTCTCAGTACTATCTCATAACCAATTTGAGAGTGGCATAAAGGATAAAATCTTATTTTAAAGTTTAGGACAGGGACAAAATAAATCACAGGATTTTGAACTTCCCCTGAATACATTAAATATGAAAATTTAGTTATTTCATTTGGACTAGAAAACAATGGGATGTGAGCAGTGGCAAATACTGATGATTTTAAAAACAATTAATTACTTTTAGCTTTTCTTTGATCACCCTGCCCCAGTTAATAATAGAGACTTATGTAGTGATAGGAATTTTTTGCTCACATATCTGGCCAAAAGGCTATTTTTATGACATCAGATCCTAAAATAAAGGAAAACAAAACAAATATTCATCTCACTGACAAGCAAAATCAATTAAATAATTTATAAGAGGTATAAAGAGAGGAAATAAATATCCCTCATTAAATGCACTAAATTGGGAATCAACATGAGCTAAACCTGATGCAAAATCCAGTTTTTAATAGCTATCTTTGGTAATTTTATTCTTGGCATCTTGAATAGTCTTCTCATATTGATAAACTGGAAAAAGCAAAAAAAATAAAAAAAATAAAATAAAATTTAAGGGTAGCAAGAAGGGAAACAACGGCAAAATGACTGCAATGATGTTATAAACTGTTGGTTGCTTTAGACTGCTATTGATAATTCCAAAATTAACAATCATTTACTGACTTCAAAGACTTTACAATACTGAATAAGTCATTATTTAAAAGACAGTACCTGTATTTATATCTGTTAAGTCTCAGCAAACAAGGATTATGTTGATTAGGGCTATTAAAACAATCTATCCCAGTCCACCTAGTCTTTGGGAATAGGCAGTGAGAATAACAGATTCTCTTTTCATAATCAGAACAAATGTTAAAAATATTACATTTCAACTATTATTTTCCATTCCTTTCTAAGGATGCTCTTCTTTTAAACTTCCTATAGACTGATGGGCTATAGAGGAAATCAGATTTAGTGAATTTCAAATAAAAACCATTATAAAACATCTGACATTTTAAGAACCAGGATTAGTCATATTTTCCATTCAACTCCCTTTAATCTCTAAGTAGGTTGTAGGCAATTGTCAAAATTAGCATAATTATTCCATCAAGGCTAATATGGAACCTTGCCTGATCCTCATCTTACAGTCCATAAGCTGGTGTTTTCAACAGAAGGTCTGATTTATGGGTTGGGCAGATAAATATACTATCTGATGACTATGATGGATGATGACATAGCAGACTGGTCAAAATCCCTTACAAGAAGCAGAAGAGTGCTGCTCGTAAAAAGAATTATTTTTTTACTGCACAATTATAAATTTTCTTTTTTTCTAAGACATCCACAAAATAATTGGTATTTGAGTTTCAAAGCCTAATCATTTGAGGTACTGGAACAAAACAAACACTAGAACAAACATAGAAACAACACGTCTCAAATTTTCAAAGTCCACAAAAAAAAAAGATTTCAAGAAGCAGCTTGTCTGTTTCCACTTTCTAAGACTTTCAATTCTTGATCATTGTCGCTTCCTTAGACCTTGCTTGCATCTGAAAAGGATGACAAATATATTCTTCCTGTTTTCATTGGTTCAGGATAATACATATATTTCTGTTGTGGTAAATGTCATAAAATGGTATTCCAGTTCAGTAACTCACATTCTTGTGACTAGACCAATGCATGAAGAGAATCAGGACAAGTGTACAATAAATTCAATTCTGTTTTACAGTTCTTCAGTGCAGTTTCCTACTGAATTTTCTTTCTTTTTTAAATTAAGGCTTCATTAAAGAGAAATACATAGTACCGTATTGTGACTTTTAAAAGTTACTCAAGTTAAGTACACTCCCATCCAAAGAAGTGGTCCTGGAGTGACTTTAAAATTGTTGTTGTCAATCGTTGTGGCTGAAGTAGTATCTTACGGGGGGGCCTGGCAAATCTTCATCACCATCATTTTCTGGGGCAAATGATACAGTAAGATCTACATATTTCTTTTCAGTTGATGGTTTCACAAGCTTGTGCATTCTATGAAGAAAAATGAAAGATTAATTCTGTAAAGGTACTCAGAGATTAACAATTCTTAAAAACAAAACAAAAAAGCTCTCCTTATTATATCTTTCTACCCAAATGATCTCCCATAGTTTTTTTCCCTCTCTTTCATTGAGGAACTTTTATGAGAAGTAGCCTGTCTCTACTCCTTTATCATCCAACTACTTAACCTATAGCAATTCTTTAGGAAATAAAATGGAATCTGAAGCATATAACTTTACTGATAACCATCTTCCTGGAGTAGGCCTGCACAACATCATGGACCACTTACAGTACACTGTTTGAAACCCTCCAGAGGATTTTGGGCAGCCAGCAAAAATGAAAATCCCTCAGCAAAACTGACTATGCAAAGTTCCCTTAGGGCCAGCCTGCACAACAAAGCTGTATGTTGTATAGGCCTGCCCTAGAATAACAGCATATTCCCCCCCTTATCCTTTTCCAAAGGGTGAAGCATGATAACTGTTTTAAAGTCTTAAAAGAGCAGTCAGGTGAAAAAGGATTAATTTGTCCAGTTTGGCTCTAAAGCAGTGGTGTCAAATTCAAACAGAAACAATCCCTGACAGCTGCATGCTGACTTAGAAAACCACAAATGAACATTATCTATGTTGTATTGTTTTTGTTTATTTTATTAAACATTTCCCAATTATAATATGGTGGGCCTCCAGCAAACTGGTTGAAGATTTGACATTTCTGCTCTAAAGGTTAGAACTAGGAGCTAAAGGTGGATATATCAGATAGCTTTAGGTCTGACTTCAGGAAAAACTTCCTAACAAATAGTGCTATCCTGAGTGAGATAAGCTGCCTTGGGATGGATTCCAGCTTGCTAAAAGTCTTCAAGAAAAGCCTGGAAGACCACTTTTAACCTTAAAGGGATATACAAAGGTCAGTAGTTATTATTACTAAGGATTCTTGTACAAGATGGACTAAAATGACCTCTGAGGTCCTTTTCAACTCTGAGATTTTGATTCCCCCTGCTTTTGTAGTTAATTCTAATTTGCTAGCTACTCGTCTACTTTCTGATATTATAAGGGGAGGTTATTTCCCATGGTCCTAGCTTTAGTTCTATTCTATGTATTCTCTTCTTTGGCAATCACATTTACTCCCTTACTCCCGTGGTTTTTAACTTATTATTTCCATACAGGGGATCTATATTTCCAGCCCTGGCCTATTTTCCAAACTTGCTAGACCCACATCTCTTGCCTCTTGGATGTTCCATAAACACCTTAAACTCAACATCCAAAGGAACACATTATTTCTCTCCTCAAATCTACTTCCTCTGTTCACTCAGTTATATATCTGAAAACTTGGTGTTTATTTCTTATTTTTCTTAATCACTCAACTGTCATTATGCCCCAAAAGTTATATAACTGCGTATATCCTCTGACCTGGCAATGTCGCTATTAGGTCTGTTTTCCAAGGTGATCAGGGAAAAAGGAAAAAAAAAAAAACAAACCCCTGCATCTTCTAAAATATTTATAGCAACTCTCTTTGTGGTGGTAAAGAACTAGAAACTGAGGGGGATGCCATGAATTGGGGAATGGCTAAACAAGTTATGGCATATGACTGTGATGGAATACTACTGTGCTATAAAAAAGGAGCTGTTTGATTTTAGAAAAATATGGAAAAACTTGCATGAAATAATGAAAAGTAAAATGAGCAGAACCAAGAGAACACTGTCTACAGTAACAGCAATATTCTTCAGAACAACAACTGTGAGCAACTAAGTTATTTTGAATATTGCAAATACTCAATTAACTACCAAAGACCTATGAAGGAAGATGATATCCACCTCTAAAGAAAGAACTGATAAATAGAAGTACACATATATAATGGTTTTATATATATACATATAAACACATACACATACCCCAAAATGGTGGCCTTCTCTAGCGAGGGGTGGGGAGGGAAAGAGGGAGGGAGAAAAAAAAGTAAAATTAAAAAGTCCTCGGTAGAGAACAAAAGAAAATTCAGAAGGAAACACAGAAAAGCAGGGTAGTTTTGAGAACAATGTAAAACTGTATTTGTTACAGTTTAAAAAAATAAAAAAGTAAACTCCAAAAAATGGAGATTCATGGTTTCATTCTGAATCCTCTTTTTATGCTGTGCATGTAGAAATGCTTTTTTTTCCTTTTTGTGTTTAAGTTCAAAATGGATAAAAAACCTCTCAATTATCATATCCAATCAAGTCAAGTACTGTTGCATCCATCCCTTCCTTTTCAACCCACTTATTATCATCCCTGGACTATTCTAATAGTCTTCTAATTTGACTGTCTCCAGTCCCTGCCTGTTTCACAGTGCTTCCAGATTAATCTTCCACATTACTCCCTTTTCTAAAATGGGTGGTGTAGCCATAGTGGTTAGTCTGCTTACTATTCCTCAAACGGGACATTCCCTGTACAGGTTTTTGCACTGGCCGCCCTCTATGCTCGGTGTGCTTTCTCTCCTCAAATCTCTGGTTTACTTCAAGATACAACCTAGTGCAACCTTTTACATAAAGTCTTTATTGATTTCCCTACAATTGGCAGTGTTCCCCCTCACAAAAAATCTTGTATTCACGTTGGCTCCTGCTAGAATATGAGCTTGAAGGCAGGAACTATTTCATTTTTTCTTTATATTCTTAGAGCTTAGGCACAGAACTTGGCACAAGGCAGATACTTAATAAATACTTGTTGATTGATTCTATGTTGTATAAGCCCCAGAAAAATAAGATCCTCCCATTGCCTTTTTGACTTCATATTTCCAGTGCTTAGTCCAATGCCTTACACATAATAAACATTCAACAATTATTTGTTCAACTGAACTGAACGTAGACATCTCTTTGCTGTGAATTATTTGTAGTAATTTTTTAATTCCACCAACTATATAATTTACCATTGGTTGAATGGTTTTTGCTAATGCCAATAATGAATATTAATTAATTAAATTTTTAAAAAAACTAACAATGAAAGTCTGCAGGCTTTTACCCACTTAATTAGTTCCAACAGTTTTGGGTGCAAATCTGAATGGGTCAGTACCTTCCCAAAACAAGACTCTTGGCTCCTTATTGCTTTTGTCCCTATGACTTCAGTCATTTACAGTACTAAGCCTACAGAGATATGGAAGCTTCTTTTATAGCATTTATTTGTTAATAACTAGAAATAAGAAGACAGTACGTTTCCTCCTAATGTGACAAAAGAGGGTAAAAGAGAAAGTCATCAAAATTGAAACAACCTTGATTAAGGCTGGTAGTACTAGAGAAGAATTCAAGCTAATTTAACTGGTCTACCAAAACAGACCACTTCTGTGAATTACAAATCAATTCTTCCATTCAGTTTTTTTCACCATATATTTTAGAAAGGAATTTTGTTTTAAGAAAGTCAATGAGCTTTATAGGGGCAAGATGCTTGTTGCTTCTTTGAAGACTGATTTTCAATACAGAAAATTATTAGGACATTTAAGGTGTGCCAACATACTTTTATATACCAACATACTCTGAGTATAATTGCACTGGTGTTAGAAAATCTTCATTTGCTTAGTAAAGATCTAAGTCAGGATTTTAATCCTGGTGGATCTTTGGGGTTAAACATTTTGATACTCACGTCAACTTTAATCTTTTTGTATGACCAGGCATTACAGGAACATAAAGCATCTTGACTCCCTGTACCACCATTGTGGGTTCAATTCCATACTTCTCCTGTGAAGATCAAAAAACTTTTTAAAAAAATGGACCACACCAATGTGGAGTTATTTATTTTAAACATTAAAACTATTTAATCCTTGTGACCAAATACTTAACCACAGCGTCCAGCTCTCTTGAAAAAGTAACAGATTTGTGACAAAGGCAAGATAACTACTGAAAATTATCTGCAACACAACTGAAACTATTTACTTTTGAATCTTATAGAGAAAAAGAAGCATAAATAAGAGTGAGGAAAAGTGCTCTCAATAGAAGATGCTATCTATTCCTCAATTTCCCAACAGGATGAATCAAAGAGAAATAAAAGGTCTCACCCTGACAGCATTTATGAAATCTGAAAGGGTAAATTCTTCTTTTCCATGAATAGTCCATCTGTCCCAGATTGTAAATGTTATTCCGTTCCTGTTATTAAAAGGAAAAATATGTAGGATGTTTATCTTGCTTCTCTTTAATAAAAATACAACAAAGTCCAGCTTGTAGGCAATACTTATCTTTTGTTAACAATTAAAAATGAATATAAGAGAGAAAGAAAGGCTATTTCTTGAATGTTTTAAAATGTTTAAAATCTTTGACTTATGAAAAAGGATTCTGAAGAAAACTGAATGCAGTTTTTTTCTTGTTTTAAGAAAAAAATTGGAAACACAAAATCATCCAATTTTGAATTAGGACAGCCTTAGATGACATTTAGTCTATTCAATTCACTTTATATTTGAAGAGAATTAAGTGACTTGCTCAAGGTCACAAAGCTGGTTAGTAAAAGAGCCAAGACTAGAACCTAAGTCTATTGATTCTCAGTCTAGAGCAGGCCTGCACAACGTATAGCCTGCAGGCCTCATATTGTACAGGCCTAGTCTACAGCTCTATTATCATACACTCTATGTAAGTGCGGGAAATAGGATTATTACCTATGAAATAATGAAAACAATAATGTACAATTAAATTTGCTCAATTATGTCATATATACAGATTGTGCTATTGGGTAATCAAAGAAATGAAATCTCTCTACCTATTTAGGAGTTTCAAAGAATAAAATGGGATTTAGTGGAAGAAATGACAGTAGAGGGTGTATCTATTTCCTTCTAGATGGGAAAAAGGTGAAGTGTGCTTGGTTCTACTGTATTTCAGAATACAGAAGAATCTGAGTTTTTTAACTACTTGTTACATACCGGATTTCAATTTTTTTAACTTCAGCTGTCTCAGTAAACACTATAATTGGAATGGCTAAGTTAAGGAAACAATTTCTGTAGGCTTCAAATGGAAGGCCACCAGCAGCTTTGATCAACTCCAATGTAACCTGCATATAAGAAATAGACTTGATTAAATATTAGATAATATTTAATTCATAATACACTGTGATACCTATTACTTGGCATTCTTCCCATACGTCATTTCAGGCATTTCTCAGAAAACAAAAACAAAATCAATTGCTAGATAACTTGTATGGCTTTTGGAATGGTGAGTATTCACCTTATCTTACCCATATTCAGAGCCACTATGTTACTTCCACCTATATGCAGTATAGCTGTATGAGTATCCTCTACCTCCACTGTCATACTTTTTGACCCTAGCTGAGAATAACCACCAAATCAATACCACCATTCCTGGAATCATCAGCCCTCTCATGCCCCTGTACAAAATATTCCTCCTTGACTACTTAATGACTACCTCTTTCTCCACTAGTATTGTCATCCACTATTGAAATGTAAGCTGCTTTGGAGCACAGACTATTTCATTTGCTTGTGTTTGTATCCCTAGTGCTTAGCACAGTGCATGGGGTTTTGGGGTTTACTAACACTAATATTCATTAGTATACTTTGTTACTACATCTTGCTTGTCCAGTCTGTCCAACTGGTCTACTTACCTATTTTTAAAATCAATATCAAATAGTTTTGGTGTTAGTCAAAACATATGAAATTATATTAAACACAAAGGACTGAGAGCCATTTTCAATAGATAAGGGGTCAAAGATAAAAACCCAGTTCTCAAAAAAATGTTGCAAACTATTAACTACACAGAAGATTCCTTCAAATAACTAATAAGAGAGATACAAATTAAAATTGAGTTGGTATTTGCCAATCGTCAAAGATAACAAAAGAAGGAAAAAATCCATGTTGGATGGGTTGTGACAAGACAGGCACAGTAATATAACATAGGGAGGAGTTGTAAATTGTTCCTAATGTTCCATAAAGCAATTTAGAATTATGCTTAAAGAAAAAAAAAAAAGGGATTGAAGGGAGGCAGCAGTGTGACATAGTGGATAGAGAGCCCTAGAATTAAGAAGATGTAAGTTAAAGTCTTACTTCTGACACATACTGGCTGTGTGACCCCTCAAGCAAGTCATTTATACTTTCAGGACCCAGGCTCACTACTCTCTGTTAAGTTGTGGCACAAATGTTGATTTGCTCTGGTAGAAAGAGTTTCCTATATTAATGAAATCACAGGTACAATTAAGAAAAAAAAAAAAAGAAATCTAGAAGAAGGCCTCCACCATGTCATACCATGTTAGGTATAGCACTGAGGAGAACTTAAGGAAAGACATGGACATAAGACCCCTTAGGACGACATGAACCAATCACATAAGATTAGAAGATGTGGATAGTTTGCACTTTGCATGTGAGAGGGAGTGACCACATCAATGAGACTGTGGATCCATAGAACACACTATTTCAGAGGACAGAATAATGTATATTATGTTCTAGAAAAAAAAATGTTCATCTAAAATAATTAAAGTTTCACTACTTAAAGAAGATCATTATCTGGAACGACACATACTTTCTTCCTCCTACAATGCTGGATAAAAAAAGAGTACTCTGTATAATACGTATATTTATCTCTTGTTTCTCAACTGCTTACAAATCTGTAATAAAATACCAAGTAGGCCCTAATCACCCCAAGAAAATCCCTTTATTTTTCTTTAATTGACTAGCTCCCTCTTGAAAATGACTGACAGCTGTTCAAAACTTTTTTTTCTTTTCAAGTTTTCCATATTACATCCAATCCCCTTGCTTAGAGCAGAGATCCTTACTTTATGCTGAGAAAACAGAGGCTACTTGTAGTAAATTAGGGTGCTGATTTAAGTGAACTAATGAGTTCCCATAGGCTCAATGATCATTTCTATTTAGCTGACCCATATTCATATAGCCAGCCCTAGTCTTTTTCTTGAACTCCAGAACTGTATCACCAGCTGTCTACAGGATATCTCAAAATCAACATGTCTAAAACCAAATTCATTATCTTCCCCTCCAAACCCATTGTTCTCCCAGACTTCCCTATTAGCGTCAAGGATAACACCTTCTAGTCACCCAGGTTTATAACCTCAGAACTATTTTTGATGCTTCACTCCCATTCACTGTATCCCCATCAACAAAATAAATTAACTAAATAAAGACTTTCTTTCTTTCTTTTTTTTTTTTAAAAAGCAAAGCATTTATCATTTTGATACAGAATTGTGATTAGGTCAGTTACAGTACATGAAGCACTTCTATCATTCTAAAATATCTCCACACCTCCAAAACGACATGAAAACCGTTGAGATGTTTTTAGTCATAATTTAAATTCTATAATAGATAACATTCATATTCATCCTTCCTAAAAATAAAAATAAGTCTGGTCAGAAAGGTCTTCCTTGAGAGAATCAAGACACTCACCAAACCAGACACTGCAGCCGTGGATGTTGCTATAGCAGGGATTATTTTCCCAGCAATGCGCTTTGTTTTCAATCGGTCAGCCGGTTCAATGTTATACATCTTGGCTCGAAGATTGGATGCTGCAGTGATGAAATCTATGTGCCCATTACTATCATCATCTTTTTCAAATGAAAGCACCACCATCTGAAGGTCATCTGATTAAAAGTAAGGAAAAAAAAAGTTTGAACCAGATGTCCACATTTTAAAAGCAACAAATACAACTAATGGTTTTTTCTCCCTGATGACTTCTGTTTTGTTTTAAGATGATTTAAGAAAAATGACAAGGTGGGAGATGAGTCAGGAATTGTAGTTACTAAAAGATACAAGGCAAGATTTGTGTGTTGACATGGACAAATGGCACCTAATTTTTTTTTTAAACCAGACCTATGATTTTATTGGTATATCATGAGGAAACTTCCTTGGCCAGTGTACACTGGCACCTTCTCTGCAATTTACAGCTGAAGTTGCCTGGGGCAATGAGAGGGTAAGGTTAAGTGTTTTATTTACAGCAGGACTTGAACCTAAGTTCAAGACTTAGATACCAGCTCTGTATCCATGAGGCCATGATATATCTCTAATCTAAATATTATAATAATGAAATAAATGTAGTTGCACTATGTAAACAAGCAGAATTCAAGCAAATTGCCCTAAATTTGATAAAATTTTAAAAAAAAGGAGGGGTATGGAAAGAGGAACAAGTACATTTTAGATGCATTTCTAAAGGATGTTTACTACTCATCAAGTAGTTGAAAGTCATTAAGACTGTAAATGGTCTAAAAATGTGGCCTCTTCTATATGCAGTGGACTTTTGACTATCAAGACTGGGTGAATACAGGATAAGAGTCAAGCATAATAACATCAGACTTAAATACAGTTTACAAAAGTACTTTCCTCACAAGAGTGATAAGGTAGGTGGTGCTTACTTTATTATCTCCATTTTATAGATGAGGAAATTGAGGTTGAGTAATTTGCTTATGGTCACCTGACTACTACATATCAGGGGCTTTTTCCACTGCAAAAAATTACTTATAAAACAAACAAACAAACAAAAAGATCAGGAATAAAGGAACAATGGTACAAGACTCTCATCTATAACAGACGATTCACTAAAATGTCTGAACAATGGGTTCTGGTTTTACTATGTTTTAGATCACTATTGATGAAGTTTATACTTTTTTCTTTGTACTCTTAGCAAGAGTTAATCTAAAGCATCAATATGGCAGAGGTTGTCTCTAGGAACAGATCTAGATATGTTTATTTCCTAAAGGAAACTGACTAAGGTACAACCTAACGTGATTCCAGTCACTTTTTAATTAGTACCCTTTACCAGCTCATCAGGCAAAATACGTAAGAGCTATGGGGATAGAAAATTGTTATATTAGTGCACTGGAGCTCCTTAAACTCCCTTGGCAGAAAAAAGTGTTGGAATTACTGAATTCAGTTAAGGTTTAAAAGCGAATGATGGATGTTTTCCCCCTTATTTATAGTTAGTTTTCAACATTCAACTTCATAACGTTTTGAGTTCCAAATTTCCCACCCTCCCTTTTGGCCCCCTCCCCAAGATGGCATGCAATCTGATATAGGCTATATATACATGTACAATGATATTAAATATATTTCCACATTAGTCATGTTGTGAAAGAAGAATCAGAACAAAACGGAAAAACCACGAGAAAGAGAAAAACAACAAAAAAGAGAAAATAGTATGCTTTGATCTGCATTCAGACTCTATTGTTCTTCCTCTGGATGTGGACAGCACTTTCCATGGAATCTTTTGGGATTGTCTTAAATCATTGTATTGCTGAGAAGAGCTAAGTCTATCATAGTTGATCATTGTACAGCATTACTGTTACTGTGTACAATGTTTTCCTGGTTTTGCTCACTTCACTCAGCATCAGTTTCATCTAAGTCTTTCTTAAACCTGCCGACTTATTATTTTTTTTTAACACAAAATTTCACCTTTTTATTATAGCACATGGTACAGTCAGATACATAAACAAGAGTGTGACAAACAGGAAAACACTGAAGCTGAAGTATACAATCATGCCATTAACAATTCCATACTATGGACTTTAAAGATACAAAATTACCTTGTATACTGAAAAATTTTACAATGTTCTGAGTTTTGTTTTGTTTTCCCCAGAAAGACTTCAAAATGTGTTGCAAACTTCTACAAGCAGGAATTAATGTTTAAGGGGAAAAAAGCAGACAGCTTGTGATATATCTATTAAATATACATAGCAAGAGGCAGAACTACATAGAATATTAAAAGATATTTCACTACAAGGTCAGTGAAACTGGAGGACAGAAAGTAAAAAACTTACATGGTTATACTTGGTTACAGAGTTAGAAGCTAGTAAGTGATATCTTTTTAAAAATTACAGAACATTTACTTGAGGAAAAATTCACATCATTTCTTATAAAACAGTATTCCATTACATTCATATACCACAACTTGTTCAGCCATTCCCAAAAAGAAGTACTATAAACATTTTGGTTCACGTGGGTCCCTTTCCCATTCTTATGATCTCTTTGGGTTACAGACCTAGAAATGGTATTGCTAGGTCAAAGGGTATGTACATTTTTATATCCCTTTAGGCATAGTTCCAAATTGCTCTCCAGAATGGTTGGATCAGTTCACATCTCCACCAAAAATGTTAGTGTTCTAATTTTCCCACATCTTCTATGTTTTTGTATTTTGTGTAGATACAGCACTATTTAAAGAAAAAGTCACAGTCAAAATTACTTTTATAAAGATAGTTTCCTTACTTTTAGTAGCTTCATTGGATGATATGGCCTTTTCTAATTGGAAAACAGCATTCCTCTCATCTTCACTACTAACAGGAACATGGTCAGGTTTCCTCGCAGTCTCATCTGTTTGCACAACCTAAATTTATACAGGAAACAGAGCTGCTCAGTTTAATGCCATCATTTTCTTGGTCTGAAGTTGGCTCCCACTATATATGTTTTCTATATTTTTTTCTTATGCTAAAAAATAAAACTATAGAGAAAAGAAAAACAGCCATTTTAGTGTAGTTGCATGTAAAAACAATTTTTAACATTCGTTTTTAAAACTTTGAGTTAGAAATGCTCTCCCTTCCTCCCCACCCTCCCTTATTGAGAAGGCAAGGTTACACATGTGTAGTCATGCAAAAACACTTCTATAAGTCATGTTGTGAAAGACTATATTTCCCTCCATCCTGTCCCACCCCCCCATATATTCTATTTTCTCTCTCTCCTTTCACACTCCCTCCTCAAAAGTGCTTTGTTTCTGACTATACCCTCCCCAAATCAGTCCTCCCTTTTATCACCCTCCTTCTCTTATCCCCTTCCCCCCTATTTTCCTGTAGGATAAGATAGATTTCCATACCCAAGTGAGTGTGTATGTCATTCCCTCCTTAAGCCAAATCCAATAAGAGTAAAGTTCACTCATTCCCTCTCATCTCCACTGTTTTTCTTGCCTCTTTCATGTAGGATAATTTACCCTATTCTACCTCTCCCTTTCTCCTTGTCCCAGTACAATCCTCTCTCACTCCTTAAATTTTTTAGATATCATCCCTTCATATTCAATTCACCCTGTGCCCTCTGTCTATATTCTCTCCAACTCCCCTAATACTGAGAAAGGCCTCATGAGTTACAAATATCATCTTTCCTGGTAGGAGTGCAAACAATTCAACTTTAATAAATTTCTTATGATATGAAAGTACAATAAGAAGAAAAAAGTTATCACAAGAGAGATTTTTTCTGGTTGGAGATCAAGGAAGAATAAATGGAAGAAACCCTATGAAGGATGGATAATAATTATAATAATTTTTTGTGAGATTTTTCAAAGGACATTTCAGGAAAGCACATGCTAGAAATAAAACTAAACATATGAAAATATTTTAAAACATACCTTGTTTGAAGGTTTGAATCTTGGAATCTCTATTTTGGAAAGTATACTGTAGAAAGTTTCTACTGACAAGTCCTATTTTAAAGAAAATGATTTCAATAAATGGTATCTCAAAATCTAGCCATATTGTGATAGAACGAGTCCTGAAATTATTTCTGTATTCTAAGATTCTACAAAATAAGACCTTAAAGGGAAAAACAAATGAACAAAAACCTAGATCCAACAGCATTTCAGGCATGTGGAACCAAAATGATTAGATTATGTTGCATCCATTTTAGACATTCACATTTTATTTTCAACAATCATTTCCCCATGATGCAACAGTTCCTCAAACTGAAGATGCATGTAAGTTAACTGATAATCTAACTTTGTAGAGCACTCAATTGAAAATGCATAAGGTGTTGAGTTTTTTTATAATTAGTGGCAGTTAAACTACTGAAGTTTAGGAAGACTGGTGTTCATTTATGCCATTTAGTATAATTTGCTCCTATACCTAAAGAGTATTCAGTAATAAGGAACTTTGTGAGACTTCTGCACCCCCCCCCCCACCTTGGAAGGATATCAGCCCTAGGTAGGGGCTCATACTGAATCCGTAGTTTGACTAAGCTCCTACATCTTTTTCTGATGAGCTGATACTTAGGTCTTACCTTTCCATATACTTCTGAAGTTTCCTTTCTGAATCCAGAATGTCAATTTTACATTGTCTTTATTAAATTTCATACCACTAAATCAATAAACTGATTTTTACTGGATAGTTGTATTTCACTGTTAAGTTTTAGAGTAAATATATTAAAACTTCTGCTTAGTAACACCAGACTTTTCACAGAATGTTTCTTAAAAGAATGGGAAGCAATGATACCGAGTTGATGCCAACATTTACAGAAAAGCTGGCACATGATTAAATTTTGATGTTTTTATCCCTTGTAGTACTTCAAGAACATCTCACCTTTTCCGTAAACGGGATGCAATATATTGTAGCAAATAGCTTTGCTGCAGTGTGTATGAAACTGAAGTGTCTGTTAAAATAAAAAGCAAATATAACAACCCAATTTGTTACAGCTTAAAACAATGTTCTGTTACATCATCAACTTTATAATTATGGCATTATATTTTTATTGCAGGATATAAAAGAATTAAGTCAAAATAGTCACAAGTGGAAACAAGAAAATTACATATTTGTTCTAAAGCACCAACAAAACTCAAGATGCTCATAAGTTTCAAAATCATAAAATTTCCACTGAGAAAACACTGCAAACCCATTAGAAAAATCAATGTTGCCTTATGGAGTACCAAAGACAAAATTAATAAATAATAGATTATTAATAATGCTTTTTTTTAACCCCATGTGGCAATCTGTAAAATGTCGTTAATAAAAAAGGCTAAAGCATACAAGTTATATTGCAAAAATGGCACACAGAACAGAGTTCTCACCTATTTAGGTTTCTTGCATAAAAACAGAAGAAAGGATCCAATTTTACTTCTTTTTATAATAGTTTCCTAAAGAGATATGTTTCTTGCCCTGACAAACTATAATCCAAAACATTCTCCTTTAAATATATTTTTTAAAGTCTATATGCCTTTAGGGAAAAAAAAAATCTTTTTAATACACTGGACACAATTTGAATCATGAAAAATAAGACGTTTGTTTAATTTACCTATTTCCTTGTTTAAGAGTTCTTTTCTCACATTCCTCACTTTACTAGTAGCAACCAACAAAGGAGGGAACACCAGTATAAACAAATCATAGATTTGAAGCTAGGTGAGCCTTTAAAGTTATCTATAGGTGAGAAAACTGAGGTCTAGACCAGTTAAGTATGATTTGCTCAAGGTCACATACAGTCAAAATTCAGACTCAGGTTTTTTCTTTCCACATCAAGCCATCTTTGTATTACAGTGTGGTGGATAACATCAGAATTTAAAACAATCATAAAGAATGTAACTTTCTTAGGGGCAGGTAGGTGGTGTAGTGGACAGATCTCTAGTCTTGGGAGTCAGGAGGACCTGAGTTCAAATCCAGCCTCAGACACTTGACACTAGCTGTGTGACTCTGGGCAAGTTACTTAACCCCAATTGCCTGACCAAAAAAAAGAATGTAACTTTCTTGCTACAAAAGATATTTTTAGGGCACATATAAACTACAAAGAAATATGGAGCCAAAAGGAATTAAGAAGTTTTAGATAAGTACAAGCCAGAACGTACATTCAATTTCTTAACAATGTCCAACACCAACAAAATAAACAGGTGAATCCACATATTAGTTAATTTTTTCCACAAACCTAAAATCCCATGATTCTAGTTTTAATGAATATAAATATATCACTGACTTCTCCTTTTTACATTGGTCAGGTTAGTAAAAAAGTAAGCACTATTTCCTCACAAAATACATGTATTGATTCAGAAATGAAATGCAGGGGCATCTACATGGCATAGTGGATAGAGAACCAGCCCTGGATTCAGGAGGACCTGAGTTCAAATCCAGGCTCAGACACATAACGCTTACTAGCTGTGTGACCCTGGGTAAGTCACTTAACCCCACTGCCTAGCCAAAAACAAAACAACCAAAAAACAACCAAACCGCTCCCCCCGCCGAAATGAAATGAAAATTTAAAAATGCAATTTTCATAATTTTCTCTTCTTGAATACTGCCTAGATCAGGCTGACACAAGAGGCACATAGGCTGTTTGTGGCCATGCCAAAGATTTTGGGTGGAAAATGAGGATGTACAACAGGCCTGCACAACATATTCCCAGGAGCTGCTTTGATGGGCTGCAAGTGGTCCACAGGCTGTTTGTTGTGCAGACCTGACCTAGATCAGTGATCATCTTTTATAATCTTCTTACCTGTTAATCTTCTAATTTTATTTCAAATACATAAACGAGCCCTGTTATTTAAGTACAAAATATTTCTATGGCAGCTTAAAAAAAATCAAACCTATTATTTCTACAAAGAGAATTATTTTATAATCTATAAAAGTTACCATGGCTGAAAAATTCACCACTCTATTGCCAACCCAGTAATGATAATCTCCAACCTTAATTAGGCACATAGTCCATCCTGAAGCCTTTAATTGTGGAGGGCATATCAGAATTTACCCTCTTATTGGTACAACTTTCAAAAGGCTACCAGTAAGAGGAATATCAGTAGTAAATACATAAAAATGGTATTCTTTACTACTGGCTTGGTGCAGATCATTAGTAATCGAGAAGAAGTGTTCTAAAATAGTTTTCAAGTACATTTGAGTAGGGGTTGGACTAAGTAACCTTTAGGTTATCTTCAAAGTTGAAATGTGATTCTAGAATCCCTATTGGGTCTCATAGTAACCTGTAAAGTAGATGAAATCAAGGCAGGGACATTAAATGAGTAGTTATATTGTTATTCAAATACTGAAGTGTTAATTAAAGCTAATTAACTTAATAAATCTAAAGATAATTTTCAAGTAAGAACAATAACTCCTTATATATCTGATAGCAAATATTTCAATAAAGGGATTAGTGACTAAACATTATGAAAAAATATAACTGTACTTAAAATTCAAGATTTCACTGATACAGGCAATCTCACCATCCTCAGAGATTAAAAGCCTCTCTAACACCACAGGGAAATGGTATTTGTTAGTAGGTCAGTAGGCTATCCTGTGGCCTTTAATGCACCTCTCCAAATGTGGATAGGCTGGTCCTTGTCTGACAGACAAATAAGTCTGATGTGAGGTCTGTATAAGAAACCCTTAAAACTTGGTATAACCGGCAAGAACTTGTGATCTACAGGAATAAACTTCAAGAACCCAGATTTAATTCCTGCCACTGATGAGGCCGAAAAGAATTTTAATGAAGTAAAATTTTTTACAAAGCAAAGAAAAAATGGGAATCTTTGCTTTCAAGTAATACATAGTTTGGCCAATAGCAGAAGAAATTACATCTATTATGTGTGGTCCAATACTTACAAAGGATCATTAAATTCAAACTTGACTGGAGAAGGTGGCCTCTTTGGGGACTGCCAAAACAAACCTAATAATGACATAAACAGTGAATTTTTATGTAGGCAACCATTAATAAAAAAAGAACTACATTAAAGTGTCCTTCACATGTTCAGTAATACTTACTGCCATCTTTTAATCGTGTGTCCAGGGGAAAACAATGAAGAAGCTGAAGAGCCTGGAGAGTCAGGGAGGGGAAAGGAAGAAGGGGGGTCAAAGAAAAATATGATTAACATTAAAAATAAGGTTGTTATACAGTTCTTTTCCTCAAAAGAAAAACTAACAAAAACCAGAAGACCATTTTCTTTCGAATATATTGTTCTTAGTCCAGATGTAGAGCCCTAAGGTACAGCCATAAATATGGCAGGGGAAGGAGGTGGGGGTCGAGAGAGTAGAACACAAAGAGGGAGCTGGTTTTGATGATGTTTCAAAGGAAACTGAGAAAGGGTAACCAGGAGAATCAAAAAAGAAGAGTGTCAGGAAAATCCAGAGAGGAGAGAGTATCCAGTCAATCAATATTTATTAAGTGCCAGGTACTTTGCTAAGCACTGGGGTCACAAAAAAGTGACAAAAGATAGTCCCTGCCCTCAAGAAGCTTACAATCTGATGGCAGAGACAACATGCAAACAAGTATGTACAAAGAGGGTTTTTTTAAACGATATCAGATATTGAATCATGTTTATAACTTGCAACAAAAGATCTATATTGGAAGACATTTTCTACTAAATTATCCCAGTTTTCATTATTACTAATAGGTCTTTACCTTGTCTTAAAATATATCTTAAAAATATCTTAGTTATTCATCATTTTTTACAAAAGGATCAGCATCAAGTTATAAGTAGACTTGCACGTTTTCTTTTAGCAGTTTTTCATTTGACTCAATAGTGCTTCCTTCTCCCTACCTTCTCTTCAGTTTTCACCTTAACTATTTGTAAACTTCCATCTATTTTCTGACCCTCCTCACATTCAAACTATGTCAGAGGTTTCTCAGAGGCAGTGGCACCTGAGTTGAGATTTGAAGGAAAGCAATAATAAGTACGGGGGAGAGTTTGTAAGGACAGAGTGTCAAGTTAAGGTAATTTTTGGTAGTCCCTTGACTAGAATGTAGGAAAGTATGGAGATGCAAATGTGAATATGCAGATTTTCGAGTGATGATAGTTGAAACTACGGAAGCTGATGAGATCAGTAAGAAAGAGGAAAGACCGAAGAAAAGAAGGCCAAGGACAGAACCTTGGGGGACACCCACAGTTAGAGGACAGAAAAAGAATCAGAGTCCAGTAAATGAGACTAAGAAGGAGTGGTCACATAACTAGGAAAGAGCACCATATTAGAAACTGAAGAAGAGAGAATATCTAGGGGAAAAGTGATAGTCATTAGTAATAAAAGCAACAAAGAGGTCAAGCAAGATGAGGATGAAGAACATGCTACTGGATTTAGCAGTTGGTACATCTTGGAATAGTTAAATAAGAGCAGTAGAGTCAGAACTCAGGTTGCAAGTTGTTGATACTTGAGTGGGAGGTGAGGACGTAGAGTCAAAGAGTATAGGACATCTTTTCTATGTATTTGGTTATTAATAAGATGTTATCTTGAGGAGGTGGGCAGGGTCTACTGAAGGTTTTTTTAAGGATACACAGACCTGGGGGCAGCTAGGTTGCACAGTGGATAGAGCACCGGCCCTGAAGTCAGGAGGACCTGAGTTCAAATCCAGCCTCAGATCAAACACTTGATACTTACTAGCTGTGTGACCCTGGGCAAGTCACTTAACCCCAACTGCCTTAAAAAAAAGATACACAGACCTGGACATGGTTATGGGCAGCAGAGGAAGAGCCAGAGAGACTGATCATAAAAAAAAAATTATCAAAGAGGTAAGCTCCAGGAAATAGAAGGAGAGCCAGGGATTAAGAGCACAAATAAAGGGACTGGCCTTTGGCTATAAGAAAGGCCACTGCTTCTTCAGAGATCAAAGGAAAAAATGGGGAAAGATGTAGAACAGTTCTGATATTTGGATTAGGGGAGAAAAGGAAGATTATAATAGCTGGCCTCTGTCTTCTCAGTAAAGTAGGAGGTGATGTCACTTGCAAAAAAGAAGACGGGATGAGGTATGGGATTTAAGAGAAGGTCTGGAACAGCTGTTCTGGAGAATGCAAAGACAGAATCAATCAGGAAAGAAAAAAAGGATTGTTGCATGGCAGTGAAGACCTGGTCAGCATGTATGGAACTTTCTCCAGCAGTGTTAGGCTGAACTCAAGTGGGAGTGACGATGGCAGAGACAACTGAGGAGTGGGACTTAATAAGGAATGAGCAATGAAAGAACAAAGATTCAAGGGATTTGATAGAAGACTGTATATAGCTGAATTGACCAACCACAGGGAAGGGTGGAAAGATTAAATGTGACAATGAGGATGAAGAACATGTTAATGACTAGTGAAATCTGAGACAGAAAATGAGGTTATAAATGTAGAATGGGATTTAAAAACTCAAGATCATGGAGGTGAAATAGCTATGGATGACAGACCATAAGTACAGTCCTGTGACAGGCTGAGTGAAAGCACAGGTCTTGGGAGTTGAAAAGGTTGATGAAATGGAAGCTAGGGTGTTCAGTACATTGATATATTTAACGACGTCACTAAATATGAGGGCAAGAATTGGGCAGAGGATTAGGAATTTTATGTACACTATACTCCTTAAGAAAGGAGGGAAAATGCAGAGGCCAGTAGATAACTGCAATGAGGATTTTTGGGATGGCAGAAAGAGGGTCTGAAGCTAGCAGTAAGCAGTATGCCTCCTGGCTCAGCAGTGGTGGTGGGGAGAATGAGAAAAGGAATATTCAGTATTGCAGAAGATAGCTAGAGAGTGGTGTCTTCTGGAATAATATAATCAGTTAGATATAGAAATCTAACTTGCCCTATAGGCAGTAGGAGGGAAAACGGAAAAGAAAAGGGAGGGGGCTAATAGAAAGGAGGTGGGACTGTGAGAAGGGAAAGGGAAAAAGAAATGCATAAACGGGGGGAAATAGGATGGAAAAAAAGACACAGATAGTAATCATAACTGTGAATGTGAATGGGATGAACTCTCCCATGGAACGGAAGCAGAAAGCAGAATGGATTACAAACCATAATCCTACAACATGTAGTTTATAGGAAACACATTTGAAACAGAGGGACAGTAGAGTAGAATATATTATACTTCAGTTGAAGTAAAAAAAGAAGGGGTAGCAATCCTGATCTCAGACAAAGCAAAAGCAAAAATAGGTCTTATCAAAAGAGATAATAAGGAAGGGAACTACATCCTGCTAAAAGGCACCATAGACAACAAAGTAATTATTATTACTAAATATATATGCACCAAATGGTATGGCATCCAAATTCTTAGAGGAGAAATTCAGGGAGTTATAGGAAGAAATAAATAGCAAAACTATACTAAAGGGGATGTCAACCTCCCTCTCTCTGAACTAGATAAATCCAACCACCAAATAAACAAGAAGTTAAGGAGGTGAATAGGATATTAGAAAAGTTAGGTATGGTAGACCTCTGGAGAAAACTGAATGGGGATAGAAAGGTATATACTTTTCTCTCAGCGGTACATGGCACATACACAAAAACTGACCATATACTAGGGCATAAAAACCCCACAATCTAATGCAGAAAGGCAGAAATGCTTCCTTTTCAGATGATGATGCAATAATAATTATATGTAATAAAGGGCCATGGAAAGTTTAACTAAAAAATAATTGAAAACGAAATAATCTAATGCTAAAAAATGACTGGGTCAAACAACAAATCATAAAAACAACCAATAACTTCATTCAAGAGAATGACAATAATGAGACAACACACCAAAATGTATGGGATGCACTGAAAGCAGTTCTTAGGGGAAGTTTTGTATCTCTAAATGCTTACTTGAATAAAATAGAAAAAGAGGAGATCAATGAATTGGGCATACAACTAAAAAAAAAAAAAACTAGAAAAAGAGAGTGGTGTCTTCTGGACGAAATGAGATTTACATGATGAGCAAAAGAAAACTGAGCAGGTTCTAAGTGAAAGTTGTTTCTTTGATGATACAGTAACTTTAATACTGCCTGAGGAAAAAAATCATCAAAATTATAGCAGGAAATCCAAACTTAGGAAATCACCATTCAACTATCAAATGCAAAGAAGCAGCAAAAATTTAATTTCATGTGTTCTTTTGCTTTTTTCTTTCTTCTGTCAAATCCAGTGATACTCACGCTTTTCCTATGTAACAGTCATTCTTTATAAAAAAACCTAAAATCCAATGATACACTTAAGAGGAAGGGATCAGTTAAGTCTATATCAGTTAAGGCTATTAGGTCAGTCAAAAACTTTACCAAGCGCTTAATGTGTAACCATCACTTTGTAATTCATTGTGGGGTTCTGCAAGTTTTTAGATAACGACAGGAAGGTATGTTCTCCAGGACTTACTATTAACAATGTTTCCTTGGAAAATATATGTTGGATATTTTTTGCAATGAAATCTAGAAAAATCTTTCTCAGACTTAAAATGTCACTAGATTTGGAGTCAGAGGCCATGAGTTCAAATGCTATCTCTATTAATTACTAGCTGGGTGACCTCTTTAGGTCTCAGTTTTCTTTCCATAAAGTGAGGAAGATTATACTAGATGGCCGCTGAGGTCCATCCCTATTCTAGATCTAGTATGTTCAATTTTTTTTTTTTTTTGGCTAGGCAATGGGGTTAAGTGACTTGCCCAGGGTCACACAGCTAGTAAGTGTTATGTGTCTGAGGCCGGATTTGAACTCAAGTCCTCCTGAATCCAGGGCCATCACTCTATCCACTGCGCCACCTAGCTGTCCCTAGTATGTTCAATGTTTACTCAATTAAAGCTTAGATTTTGTCAAACATTTATGCAACACTTAGATTCTAAAACACATACTTACCTTATGGTTAAAATATTTTTCAAATTTCATTCTTGCTAATTCCACACACTGGGACCAATTTCTAGGTCTTCTACTAAGTGACTTAATAACCTGAAAGCAGCCTTCTAAACTCTCTCCAGACTGTATCCTCTAGAATGAGGTAAAGGAAGATGGAGGAAAAAGGAAGAAATACAAAATAAGAAAAAATAAATATAATTTCTAATTAAGCAAATAAAGTTTATATAAATTATAACAGTGAAATACAGGATCATAGAACGTTAGATCTAAAAGGAACTTTATAGATCATCTAGTATGACCTTATTTCACATATAAAGAAACTAAGGTGGCAAGAAGAAGGGGATAAGTATTTGTATAGTGCCTATTATGTGGCAGGCTCTGTGCTAAGTGCTTTTTACACATATTATCTCACCTGATTCTCAAAACAACCTCTGAAGTAGGTGTTATGATTCTAATTTTGTAACTGAGGAAATTGAGGCAAACAGAGGTTAAGTGACTTGCCCAATGTCACATACCAAGTGTTAGAGGCTGCATTTGAACTCAGGTTTTCCTGACTTCACATGCAATGTTCTTCCAATTGAGCCTCCAAGTCTCAGAAAAACTGCCCTTTCAGGCCTCAGTTTTTTCTCTTGTTAAATAGCTTGGTTAGATAAATTTTTCAAATTTCACCTCAGACTTCAAGTCTTAGGCTAAGTTTTCTTGAGTTAGAACACATCAATTACTTCAGAATGATTATAGCACTAGAGTGTGTATGTAGAGCCCGAGTTCTAGGACTGGGTCTTCCACTGACTAATTAAGTGACTTCAGAGAAACCACTTGGTCTCTCTAGACTTGTTTTCCTATCTGTAAGATGGCTGGACTAAATAATTTCTAAGAAGCCTTCCAGCTTGAACATTCTTTGTCTCATTAGTCTTTCTGCACACAGTTATTCCTTGATAGTCCTTACTACGAGGAAGTATAGTTTATTTCTTATTCACAAAGTACTGGCAAATAAAAAGCAGATCTGAGGGAGACCTTATGATTAGAGGAAAAGAAGCAACCACTGACAATGATTTCAGTAATTTTTCAAATGTTCTTACTTAGCTTGTCCAGGTTTTTCGCTTGAGTATTTGGAATTTTATTTTCATTATGCCTATACACTTCAGTAAGTGTAAAATATTTTACTGAATTTTTACATCAGAATTCAGAACCTTGTAATCTACATAGCATTTATAAGTTGAAGACTAATCATTTCTATAACCTTCAAATTACAGAAGTAATGAGGGTCAGTCTTTGAGGGAAAAACAATTAGATGTAGTTTCTAAAATTTAAATCAATCTAAAGCACTATCTTAATCCATTTAGAAACCATATTGATTCTTACTTGCAAGACCTCTTCTGCAGATGAGTAAGTTTGCCAAAATTTGTTGAACAATGAAGGCTTATGGGAAAACGAGCTTTCAAACTGCATATGGGGGAGGAAAAAGACAAATTTAAAAGAATTTTTTAGGTAGTCTAGAACACTTTCTTTTCTACAGAGAACTAAATATATCCAAAGAAAGATGTTTACCTTATCTCTTGCCCACTGAATAGTATGTTCAATAGCAGCTGGAAAAGATTTTAAAGTGCAAAATGGTATTTCTTCTTCTGGTGGATCCCGCTAAATTAATAAGTACAAAAGTAAGATTATATCTCATTGAGGATATCTATTTGAGATACTCCTGTTTTTGAGATCATGTTTAACTCTGGCATTATGTACTTCAAATTGTAAAAATAAGCAAAACCTGAATTTATCTTTTTCCTCTAAAAAAGGAGGAAAGTGGGAGACTGTCATAACTCCCTGCTCTTCTTTTTCTGATAATGAACTCCTTTAGCATTAAGTCTACATCACACATTTTCTACTTCTATGCTGCCTTATATGCTGTCAACTCTCTAACTAGAATGTAAACTCGTAGAGCAAGTATTACATTATACTCTATCCATTTCAGTGTCTAGCACACATATGTGTCATAAATACTTGCCTCCTTTCCATATTGCTTTTTCAGTAAAATTAAGAATTTTTATAACTACCAACAGTTTCTATAAGGGCCAGAACACATAACAGGGACACTACTTGCTCTTCCTCAAAAACAGAATGAAGAAATTCTAATCTTAAGATTTTTCTCCTTTTTCTTAATACTAAGTATATATTTTGCTTGTTCTTTAAAAATGGAAAAATTCATTAATGTACCATTGAACATTTTAAGTGATCAAATGCTGGTCACTGTGTGAGATTTCTAAGACACATGAAAAGTTTCCAAGATCTGAGGAAGGCTGGTGAACAGGAGCAACACGAGCATGTGGAAGACACTAACATAGGCAAAGTGCTACAAAAGTAATCCCAGGATACTGCACAGTCTATTATGACTCTTATTTCCACATAGGTTTTTTTTTCTCTCTGCTAAGTTTTCACACTGATATATTAGGATGACTTTTCTGTACATAAACATACTTCTGGGTTTATAGTAGAAGTGAATGGGAAGAGTAAGTCATTTAAAATAAATTTAGTGGAGAATTTTGCTAGATTACATCTACTTAGCAAAATGAAGGACATTTGCAAATGTAAAAAATACATTAATAGTATTCTATGTCAGAACAATTATTCAGAATGCTTATTTAACATCTCCCAAAGAAAACAATTTACATCTTCTTCTGAGGAAATAGGTATCTAAAATAAAACAATTAACCAAGGTCTCGTCAACATCTTTATCAAATGACTTGACTGAAGAACATACTGACAGAATGTCTATCAAATGAATAGATTATACATAACAGGCAGGGAAAGCGAAAAACACTTGAAGACATTCAGGATTCAAAAAGATTTTCAAAGGCTGAAAAACATACCAAATCTAAACAAGATAAAAGTTAATGAAGATAAAAATAAAGTTCTGCACTTAAGCAGAACCAATTGCTTAAGTATATGACAGGCGTAATGTAGTCAGACAGCTATGCATGTGAAAATGATGAGTTTTAGTTGATTACAAGTTCTATATACCTTATATAGCTTCAGAGGGCAAAATATGGGCTAATGGGTAGAAGTTACAGAGTGAAGAATAATATAGGTCAAAAACTAGAAAGAATTGTTGAAAAATGCATCGAGCTATCTCATACTGCTGAATTTCCTGTTAAAGGACATGCTCAGAGAGACCTCTTTTGGGGAGTTAGACTAGCTACTTCCTAGGTTCTTTTTCACTGTGATTCAGTGTTCATATGTAAAACAGAATGTTTTCCTTTATTCTTTTTATGCTTCCATAAAAATTAGCCTAGAATAAGAACAAATCGGTATGCAGATTGATTATGGAATTATTTATTTTAATTGTCCTTATTAGGTTAATTACCCTTTGCAGTATTTCCAAAACAATAATATAGTTTTAACAAAAACAAAAGAGGAGTGTGTATAAAATTGAAAGTACTTGAGTGGACTGAGTGCCAGGCCTGATGTCAATACTTACTAGCTGTATGACTCTGGACACAGTTAGCTCTGTTGTTTGCCTCAGTTTACTCATCTGTAAAATGAGCTGGAAAAGGAAATGGCAAACCACTCTAGTTCTTTTCCAAGAGAACCCCAAATGGGGTCATAAAGAGTTGGACATGCCTGAAAACAACTGAACAACAATTTTCTAAAAGCATATGGTAAATCTAACACTTTAATTTAAAAGCTGTTCTGACTGCTTGCATCTCCCTATGAACTTCCTTCTATTCTCTTTTGTATAAGAAAAGAAATTTAACATCTGCCCCCCATGTAAAGAATTGTAACACTTACATGACTATTATAGGACTCGGTCAAATGAGGTATAATAGCTTCAGTGTGTCCTTTAGTGCCCATTGTGCCAGAATCTAAGAGCGGACGTAGGTTTGCTAAGCAACGGCTATTTGAAAAGAAAGTTAACAGAAGTATTCAATAAAACACAAGCAAAATAACAGTAATTTTGTTACATAAGAAGGCTAATAACCAGATATCATTAACTGTTTTGAAGTTGGTAATCTCCAAATACACCTCATAGGCATTACTGTACCCCATCTATGCCTATCTCTGTATGCTCTCTTCTTTTTTTTTTTTTTTTTAAATCTTGTGGGTCTTAACACATTATCAAAAAAAAAACTTACTAGAAATATTAAAAAATACTAAATACCAGAAAAAATTACTTACCACTTCCTAAGAACCCTTTTATATTACAACTATGGTAAGTCCTGCTGAATTATGACTGCACTATTAATTCCATGGCATCTGATTCCTGGTTAGTAGCTGCTATGACCCTTCACATAAAGTACATAAGAATGTTTACTATGTAAGATTTTTTTTTTTAAAATTCCAAAAGCCATTCCTCTTTTGTGACTGTAAACAAACCTTACCAGAAAATGTATACATGCATACACACACATTAGTTACTATTTTCTGGATCATCTCAGATAAAAGATACCCCAATATATGCAGTGCTGGACAAAAGTATTCACCCTGTGTATTCACTTATAGAATACTTTAAAGTCTGGAGACTTGTTAGCAATTGAGCTCATGAACAAACTGAATAACACCTTTGTTCCATGTTTTGTTGTGCAGGCCCTTATAGCTACCCGTGTAAAGGGATGGATGGATCCTTGGGCTCTGAGGAACTTATAGATAAATTTTTTGTGGAATCCAGCCAAGGTCATAAAAGTAGGTATCTATTGCTCTGAGGTCAGACTCTTTTACCCACTCAACTCATCACAATTGTCAAAGATTCCAAAACATAAATCTGGCAGAAGAAATATAAAACACCTTCTTTCTCCAGTAATTGCCATCTTATCTTCCTGGGAAGTGAAGAAAACTAATGAAAATTTACTGCCATATATCACAAATGAAACCTTCCCTGTATTAAAAAAAAAGGAAGTTAGGAAGCCATCTTTGTTGAAGCTTTCCCAGAGATTCACAGCATTCCCAATCTCAAGCCCCCTGAAGGCTCTGTCTATAAAGAATAATCCTTCAATAAATCTCATTTCAATATACAAGCTTTTTCCTTTCCAAGAGTGGATAATAATTTACTACAAAAATGAGAGAGATCGATATTCCACTCAATGTGGGAAATAGTATGCACAAATGAGAATGATCACTTCCCATTTCCAAATTATTCTCAAAATAGTACTAATTCAGCTATTCTGTTTCTTATCATTTTGATACTTTGGAGACTCTCATATAAAGTTTATATAGCAATATTTAATGGAAATAGATAGATAAAAAGATCTGGACAAGATCTTCCAAACCAAATCAACAGACATACTTGGTGACTTCAGTGCAACAGTGGGCATAAAGAAGTAAAGGAGAAACATTTTGGAAATTATGGTTCAGCATTAAAAAATGAAATGATTCCAAGATTTATGGAGACTACTAAGAATATCTATATTTCATTAAATATTTTCTTTAAATAGAGTGTGCTGGATGTGACAATACCATAAAAAATAAAACTGACTTCATCTTAACAGACAGGAAACTGATTATCAGAGTGGGAATCATTCCTGAATCACTTTTCAGTGTACAGACAGAATAAGGACCTATGAAAACAAAGGTCAGAATTAACAGCAAATTAGAAAGCAGGGTAAAGATGAGATAAAGACATAGGGTGGGGGCAGCTAGGTGGCGAAGTGGATAGAACACCCTGGATTCAGGAGGACCTGAGCTCAAATCGGGCCTCAGACACTTAACTTAGTAGCTGTGTGACCCTACGTAAGTCATTTAACCCCACTGCCTAGCTGTCAACACCCCCGCCCCCCAAAAAAGACATTGGAGCAGTTTACATTATTTAACAATGTAAACAAACAAGCTACTCATAGTGAAAACTGGAAACAGATAATGGACTAAAGCATTAACATGGATTGTTAATTTCCTATGGCAATTTAAATATACAAAGTAATTTTAACAGTGAGAAAGCCAAAAAAGCCCTGAATTGTAACCAGCAAACACTCCATCTCTTTGCCAAGTAGAAAGACAAAAATCAGCTTAAAAAATGAACCCACCTGTAAAATGTCTTGGAGAAGAATGATGGAAGGTTATAAACAGTACTACCTCATAAAACAGGCAAGGACAATTCCTGGGAAAAGCAAGACTATAGAGAAAGTCTAGTGTGACACCCAACAAAAAGGTATACAAGAAAGAATACAAGGTTTTTCCCTTGGTGGTGCAGTGGATAGAGAATAGCACCTGGAATCAAGATGATCTGAATTCAAATTCTGACTCAGACACTACATAGCTATGCAACCCTGGACAAATCACTTAACCTCTCTGTTTCTGTTTCCTCATCCATGAAATGAGGTTAAAAATAGCACCTACCTCACAGGGTTGTTGTGAATATCAAGTAAGTTATCTTATGCAAAGTGCCTTGCAAATCTTTAAGTGCCATACAAACACTAGCTATTATTATTTCTTAATTATAAAAAAAGCATTTAATTCTGAAGAGAACAGTATTTCTCCAACAAAGTATTTCTAATGCTTATGCTAAGAATATACAAGATTCCTTGATAGTGAAAGCACAGAGATAATTTGATTCAACAACTCTACAATGAATAATTATTAACAGTGATACATTTTGAAAGTTGTGCATCTAAGACTGATGTGAAGGGTACCCTGTACAGAATCCAAATGAAATCAGATTTCCTAAAGATGACGATTCTTAAACCACTGGTATCAAACTCAAGTAGAAATGGGAGGCACTAATCCATACATAAGGATCCCTGCGGCCCATATGTTGACTTAGTTTTAAGATGTATTATGTTGTATTTTTTTTTTAAATTTGTTAGATATTTCCTAATTACATTTTTATCTGGTTTGGGCTGCACTCAGGAATGCTACGCGCCATGTGTTTGATACCTCTGCCTTAGAAGAAAATACCATACTGATTGCAACAGAAGTCCCAGAATACTAGAGCCTCTGCAATGAGATCCACAGCTACCCAAGACACTGCCCTAACAATCCATACAGGAAAAATCAAAGTTTAGAAAATATTCATTGCCCAAGATAGTGAAAGACTGACAATCCACTAAATTGGTGGACTCCTCAGCACCACCATATCATGGATAGGTAGGTCCAAAAATAAACAGGTAGAAGAGAATGTGTTTAATTGAGAAAGCTGGACCTGGAGTCAGGAAGTTTTTTAGTCCAAATCTAGCCTCAAAGACTCTAGCTTTGAGACCCTGGGAAAGTCTTTTAACCACTGTCTGTTTCCTCAAATGCAAAATGGGGATAATAGCACCAACCTCACAGAGTTGTTATGAGGTTCAAATGAGAAATCTTTAAAGTGCTAGTAAAGTTTGAGGTTTATAGTAAATGTTTAATAAATACTTAGCCTTTTCCTCCTTTCTCCTTAATTGCATATGGGAAACTGTTGCACTTTCAACTATTTCAAGCTGCTTCTCATCATAAAAACTACCTTTTAAACACCCAAATATTTTTATTAATATCACAAGGTTGTGAACCATGAGATAATCTGTGAAGAATGAAAACTTGAGGTGATCCAAAGGTCAATGGAAAGGTGCATTACAGGCAGGGACACAATCATCCAGGAAGATGTATGACGGACAAGAGGACAGGCCCATCATGTGGCAAGACCAAGTAAAATAGATGGACAGCTCACATGCTTGCATGATATCCAGCGAATATTAAACAATGTAGATTACTAGGTAGATTCCCATTGGAGGATTTATAGGATGGCAAGAACAAGATTCCACATGACAACAAGTTGTGGATGCTTTGTGATCTGCACCACTGGAGACAGTATAAACACTGATGATCATAATGACAGAGTGAAGTACTTCTTTACAATTTAGAGAGACAGCTAATTGTACAGTGGATAGAGCTCTGGGCTTGGAATTTGGAAGATTTAACTTAAATCTTGCTTAGACACTTACTAGTGGTGTGACCTGAAAAAGTCACTTACCCTCTTAAACTCCAATGAAATTTTTTCTCTATATCAATTGTATGTTTTGTTTTTGCCTTTCTCAATACTTACCGTGACTAAAATATTCCTTTCATGATTTGCCACCTCAAGATCTTTTGTCTTTTGTTGACCTTATTTAAAATGCTGTTTATCAAAAAATCATTTTTCATAATCCCTGACCTTTTTTCCTAACATTTCTCTAGTTTCCTTTTTTTCCTTCTGTATGTATGTATGTATATCAACTCTTGTTATTACATTTCTCTGTTATTTATCTATTCCTATAGGCACTTATGCTCTAATATGTTGTGATTACAGTGTTATGAAAGACCCATGAATCACTATGTAAGTCATTAATTCTTTATCTTACACCATTTAGTAATAGTTTATTTTTACTTTTAGCATATGAATGTAGATACTATAAAAGAAAACAATATTTAATTTAGTCTAAAGAGCTGATGAAATGAGTGGACACAGAAACAAAGTCAAAGGTTTTTTATGACTCAAGAAAAAAAAGTACCTGTCTACGTATCTGCGGGCTTCCACATTGTCTAAAGCTGTAACAATTATATCTTGTTTAGTATAGAATTCATCACTGTATATCATCTCAGTGGCAGGACAAACTTTGTGCAGGTGTGACTCAATCTTTAACTGAGGATTTATATTCAGAGTTGCAGCAGCAGCAGTATAACTTTTAGGTTTCTAAACAAATTTAAAAAATAACAAAACTCTTTCTAAGTAAGAGAACAGATACTAAGTAAAAAATCGGGTTTTTAAAGAGATATAATCGGATGTATAGCTATTACACGTTCCTAAGGTCAGAGACTATATCATGACTAAAAACGGAACGAGTATCATTACATCAGTCATTTCAGAGCAAAATATCACTTATCTGACTAAATGATAAATTTCTGAATAAACCTAATCAACAACAGTGCAACCACATGAATTAACATTAATTAATACAAATACCACATAAAACACAATTAAAAGCATATTTTTTCAGATCACTTGTACTTAAGTTAATCAAGTTTTATTGTATTTAGAATCTATGTAACTGTAGGATATGTGTCTAGAAAAAGTAAAATAAACGTCAGCTATCCAGAAGAAGTTGGGTATGAGTCATTGTGGATAACATATTATTTTGGATTGCCTTACATATAGTAGGCACTTAAATGTTTGCTGAAAACATCAAAATGGATGGGAATCTACATAAAATGCATTAAGTATTTTCTTGATTTCTTAAAAAAGCATTTCAAAATGACAGCTATTGTTACTAATACTAATTTTCAGATCATCCTTTAATATAGTGATATTCTATTGAAGACTTCTAGATTTTTTCTAAAAACTGAAAATGAAAGTCAACCTGCTTAGTTGCTCCTGTAGCTGCTAATGGGTACGTGGGAAAGGCAATGTTTGCTGCAAATCTCACCTCAGGACCAACTGAGGCATATGTAGCTGTTTGCTTTGCTGCTCTATAAATATACTACAGTGCTTTTGAACTCCTCTACTTTTTATATATTTTTCTGTTTTCTCCCATGTTATGAGGAGGTAAGCTGTTACTTCTCAAGGCTTTTCCCCTTCTACTTTGTTGCTTTTAAGTTGTTGAAAGTTTAGAAACTAAAATAAACAAACTTGTTATATAACTGTGTACAAATAAGAATAAACATAGATTGTAAGTTAAGTACACAACCAAGATTAATAGTATTAAAAAATTCCAAGGGCATAGCCCTAACTTCATGTTAACATACAGAAAAAAAAATTTTCATTTCCACACTAATGAAACATAGTACATTGGCTATAATGGTTTATATTAATTAAGACCTTACCCCTTATGTCCAAATCTCAAACATATGTTTTCCATTTAAAAAAATAATTTCTTACTTTTTATGCCTTTCAATATTTGACTCTTTTGGAGTTATAAACAAGAATCAATATGGAAAACAAAATATTTCATTATTAAATTATTTTTGCAGAATAAAATGGATATTGTGAATTGAATAGGCACCATACCTGTATGTGATGCGGTCGAAACAGAAACTGTCTATTTAGGTTAGATTTTTCTATTAAGTCAGGATCTGTAATTGTTACCTGGAAATGAAGCAAAAAACAAAAAGACCTGTAATCATAAATAAACTCGTTCTGCTCTCACTGTATTTCAGTTCCCAAAGTCTACTTTCAGAGGGACAATGGCACAACGAATCTAAGCTACTGGATCATCCTTAGCATGTTTTCCTACACATATTCAGGCAAAAGTATATTTCTGATGTTCTGGGAATAGTTCTAAAAATAATAAAACATCAAAGTTATCTCTAATCTCTTTCACCTGTTCCTAACCCTATGCTAACTTATTAGACTCTTGTAAACCAGTCACAAAAGCGGTGGGTGGGCCTTCTATCAATTACTTCATTTATGTTTAATAGCATGGGGAAGATAATAGAATGTTTGTATTTAACTAGGCTGCAGGATGTTGAGATGTGCAAAAGGTGGAAGAGATGTACACACACAAAAAAAATGACTAATGTCATAAAAGCATGTTCTTTACAATTAGGTTTTAAAAACTTAAACATGATTTGCTTAAGATAATCAATGTACCTTGTATCAGAAAATGTAACAGAAATGGCAATGCACCCCTTAGGAGGGGAAAAAAGTAACATCAAAGAGAAATTTTGCTCAAATCTGAAATTTACATTAGTGACTCATTTTCAAAAATGATTTTTAGTTTTAAAAAACCCTCATATATAAAATTCCAATTTAAAACAACTTGCCTTAACAAAGGAATATGTATTTTAAAATTAAAATTATTCTAATAACTTCTCATAACCAGCTAATGATATAGTGTTGTCATTTCTGATCGTCAACTTTATTACAAGGTGAAAAAAGAAAAATACAATTTTAATTTGATACCACTTGGTAAGGCTACCAAAAATAAAAATTTCAAAGGTCACGCAGTCCAAAGTAAAATTATTAAAAGAAACATATGTGTCAAACAGATCAAAAGGATATATCTTACCATTCCTTTCTCTTTGCCAGTGCCAACCCCAAGAAGTGCAAAGTTTTTTAACATTTCACAACCTATTGCTCCACATCCAACCTACAAAAAGCAAGAGGAACTAAGTCATTTATTTGGGTAATTTTTTTTAAAGACAAGTCCAAACTTTATTTAAAACTACATTTTAACTTTAAAGTTACTAAATAAATCACAAAGAAAAAATAAAAAAGAGAACAGTGCAGCAAGCCTCAAATCTAGGAAGAATCCAGTCTCCAACAAGTGACCTGCCTGAGCAGAAATGAAGGTTACCTATTCCAAAAGGCATTTACATTTTTATACATATGCAAACAAGTTTATTTAGTGCCTATGGAAGATAACCATTGGTGGAGGGGCAGGGGAAGGCGGGCAACTGGAGATCTCTCACACACTTAGGCTGCAACGGTCTTCGGTTCTTTCAGAGTCTGAGAGTACTTCGTCAATTCGTCAGTGTAAGTCACAGCTACTATTCCTCACATAAACAGTTACTCTGTTCCTCTGCTGCCATTTTCTTCATTAGATCTGCCTTGGAATAAATGGTCAGCTTAAAGGGCTACTACTTTCACAAAGTCCTCTTCACCAGACTTTTGACTTAAATGACCAGATTTAGGTGGTTTTTTTTTTAAATGAAGATGTTTCATCATAATGCTCTACAGAAATGAACATTCTAAATAATATTTACATGTTCACCTCAAATTCCTGAATATTATAAAAGTGATCCTAATTTATCTAATTTTTAAAACACAAATGATGAATGATAATTCAATTCCTTATGTGGAAGACAGTATCAGCTTCAAAAATCTCACTTTGAATAAAAGCAAGATAAAGCAAAAAAGTACAAAAAGAGGCACTTAAAAAAATAAAAAGACAAGTTTTTTTCATTTCAAATGCTTCTGGAACATCATTTAAATACAGTAAATTCGTGCACACCTTAAAATTGCTGACTATTTTTTCAGGGACTTAGCACTACAATTTTAGACAAAGTGATGAGGATATGTAGTGATATATATTTTATAGATATGTAAAGTTTATGAAAAATAACAATCTACCTACCTTATTAATTGACCCTCAATAATTTCCTTTTAGCTTTTAAATAAAAGCATGTTGATAGCTATTTCATTTTTATCTTTGTCGGCCATGTCTGGCATAAAGTAGGTCTCAATAAGTGCCTGCATATTGATCATATATGAACACCTAAACTAGGCATTAAATGATTATTTGAACATTTCTAAAAAACTGGTCACTTAAAAAGTACTATTAGCTTTAATTTAAAGATAAATGGCAACCTACCCAGCAAAACTAAGTATAATCAAGGGAAACAATGAACATTCAATGAGATAGAGGACATTCAAATATTCTTGATGAAAAGACCAGAGGTGAATAGAAAACTTGACTTTCAAACACAAGACTCAAGAGAAGCATAAAAAGGTATACAAGAAAGGGAAATCATAAGAGACTTAATAAGTTTAAACTGTTTATATTCCTACATGGGAATATGATATTTGTAACTCATAAGACCGTTCTCATTATTAGGGTAGTTAGGAGTATGTATAGACAGAGGGCACAGGTGTGATTTGAATATGAAGGGATGATATCTAAAGAAGAAATAAGGGGTGAAAGAGGAATGTCCTGAGAGAAAGAGAAAGGGAGAGGTAAAACGGGGTAAATTATTTCACCTAAAAGAGGGAAGGAAAAGCTTTTATAGTGGAGGGAAAGATGGGGGAGATGGTGGGGGAGAAGAACTGGCTCTAAGAGGGAATAGCCTACACACACAACTGGGTATGGAAATCTATCTTACTTATCCTACAGGAATGAAGAAGGGGAAGGGGATTGGGGAAGGGCAGCCGGGGGGAGGGGGTAGTCAGAAGCAAAACACTTTTGAGGCTGGACAAGGAAAAAGCAGAGATAGAACAGAATAAAGATGGGGGGGAGGGAAACAGGATGGAGGAAAATAGTAATAGTAACTGTCAAAAAAAATTTGAATTAAGTTTCTCTGATGAAGGCCTCATTTCTCAAACATACAGAGATTGGTGTCAAATTTATAGAAATAAGAGCCATTCCTCAACTGATAAATGATCAAAAGATATGATCAGTTTTCAGATGAAGTAATCAAAGCTTTCTATATCCATATGAAAACAAACTCTAACTCACTACTGATTAGAGGAATTTAAATTAAAACAATTCTGAGGTATTACCTCATACCTACTAGATTGCCTAATAGGACAGAAAAGGAAAATGATAAATGTTGGAAGGGATGTGGGAAAAATGAGACTTTAATGCACTGTTGGTAGAATTGTGAACTGATTCAACCATTCTGTAGAGCAATTTGGAACTATGCCCAAAGTTCTATAAAACCATCCACACACTTTGACCTAGCAATACCACTACTACTAGGACTATATCCCACGATAAAAAACAAAAAGGATCTATATGAACAGAAATATTTATAGCAGCTCTTTTCCGGTGATAAAGAACTAGAAGTTGAGAGTACATGCATCAACTGGGGAATGGCTAAACAAGTTGTGATATATGATTACGATGGAACGCTATTAAAAAACCAGGAAAGATTTACATGGGCTGATGCAAAGTGAAATGTACTGTGTATAAAGTAACAGCAATATTTGAAGATGATCAGCTGTGAACGACTTAGCTATTCTCAGCAATACAATGATCAAAGACAATGCTGGAGGACTTAAGATGAAAAATGCTATCCATCCCTAGAGAAAGAACTGATAGTGTCTGAATACAGATCGAAATGTTTTTTAAACTTTATTTTTCTTGTGATTTTTACTTCTAGTCTACCTTTTTCTTCTACAGAATGACTTACATTGAAATGTATTTTGCATGACTACACTGTATAACCTATATTGTATTGGTTGCCTTTTCAGTGGGGGGGGGCTGGGGAGGGAAGAAAGGAGAAAATTTGGAAAAATTGTTTTTACATGTAACTGGGAAAAAATAAAACACTAAATAAAAGTTAAAAAACAAAACAAAACAAAACAAAAAAACAAAAACAGGAAAGAAAAGAAAAGATTAGGGTAGCTAGGTGGTACAATGGATAGAGCCCTGGCCCTGGAGTCAGGAAGACATGGGTTCAAATCCAGCCTCAGACCTGTAACACTTACTAACTGTGTGAGACTTTGGGCAAATCACTTAACCGCAATTGCCTCATTTATTTAAAAAAAAAAAAGGATAAATGGCAGAAATGTGTTTCTAGTTATGGAGAAATCCTCCTACCACCCCCCCCCCCAAATTCTAAATACTGCATATAAGGTGTATTTAGTATATCTCAATCTATTTTATTAAATTAGCTACAGGATACAGTTTAATAGTTTGCATGTACCATATATTTCTATCATTTGTACTTACTAAGAAGATATTCAAATTTTGAAGCTTTTGGCACAAAGTGTCACCAATACAGGCTCTTAATGCATCATATCGATCTCCTCTGCAGGAAAAAAACATAACAGAAAGACAAATCAACAACCGCACTGTTTCAAAAAGTTGCCATCTATAAGACTTAAATTGCATATTCAATGTTTCTATAATGCTCACCACAACAGCACCTAAATGACCAGTTTGACATGAGGTCAAAATACATGTCTGCAGTAGACCAAATATAGTGGAAGAAACTTGTATTTTGAGAGATAAAATGACTGGCCAAAGGCATTCATCTAACTTTTTGTTAGGCCGTATGACATTGTCTCTTGTAAGCACATACCCATAAAAATACATAGCAGAACTGTTTACCTTGGGAGGAATTCTTCACAGTTGGATTTATTCAGTGACTCAAACAGATCTGCTGCTTCAATATATAGCTGGGAAAAAAGAGAGTAAACTTATTGTTTAAAGTACCTTATTATACTTTTTTCTTTTAGATTCTCACAAATTACAAAAAGGACTTAATACCATGCAAGAAAAATAAACCATCATATGAATCTAAAAAAGAACAAAGAACAACTACTCTAGAAAATATATGTATGAAGCTAACAAAACTTAGAAGTAACAGATAATTATGTTTTAAAGACATTCACTCTGGTTATTTCAGATAATACAGTTCACCTTTAATAACTTTAATTCCAGCTCTTTTCAGGACCTCAAGGGGAGTCTGATGGCATTACTTAATTTTAGCTACACACTTATATGAATACCTGATTAATTTAACTTTTCTATGCCCAACATTTTATATAAGTGAGATCAAATGATCTAATATATGTAAAGTGTTTTGCAAAACTTAAAGCACTACATAAACATTAACTATTCTTATATTTATGGTTTATTAATTGTAACAAATTACTCTCATAGAGTACTCATTTTACATGTTTCAAAGTACTTTCATATGTATTTGTTCTGATTTGATATGTAGAACTTTGTGAAGTGAGCAGGGCACGAATTATTACCTCCATTTTATAAATGAAAAACAAAAAAACAAAAAAACAAAAAAACAAAACAGAGGCTTCCAGTGGTTGTGGTATGTCCAGCTCAAGTCACACAGTTAGAAATAAAATCAGGACTAAGCTGAAATAATCCAAGTTTAGTAAGAGTTGAATAAATCACGACACTCACTTGCAGTTTAAAGAACTAAATCACTTAATAAACAACCAATTATGGTATGTAGTGCCACGTATGTAATAACCATAATAAAACTGGGGCTGTGTTACATAATTTAATTAATATATCACGTTTCCATGCTGACCATCTTGGGGTCAGGAAGGACTAATTATCACATAATTTTAAAAGCATCTGTAAATATTTAACAGTTGCTATTCTAAAATGTGAGATCCTTGTCCAATGACTGCCTCAATTCATCACTAATAAGTAACTGAACTGTATCAATATTGATATCTTAGCTATAAATAATAGCAAAACACTTAAATAAATTTCAGGTAATCAAAAGGAGGGTTTGCAGATTCTCCTCAGGGTAGATAGACGGGTTGGGTTCAATGATAGCCAAAAATAAGAAATATAATTTAATGGGATAATGGGTCATCTTGCCTTCTGGCCTTGATAATCAGCATAAACAAGAAGATCACCATTAGAACAATCTCAAATTATGTGCCAATATCCCTTAAAAAGGGATGATTGTGCAGGAAACAGAATCTGTGAATTTCATAAGACTATCATATGATTTCAAAGCTAATCAACATATACAATGATATTTGGAAATTTCAATGAGATGATGAAAAATGTTAGAACATGTGTTTTGGAATTATAAAACAAAACAAGTCAAAGACTGGTAGACTATCCAGAAGCCTCATACATGTATATCATTAATGATTTCTTCTGGCAGAGAAGAAGTAGACATAATGAGCACTGGACAACACCACACACACACACACACACACACACACACACAAGCTATATATAACAAGACACAATAAGAATCACTTCTGAATTAGCTCTTGGTGTGAAATAAGATTAATGAATCATTACAATGAATGTCAAGACTAACATCAAACCAAGAGGATAAAGATGAGACACAGACTGTACAATTACAAAAAGTCCAATACAACACATAATAATAATAAGCTATTGAACAATATTATTCAATAATAATAATATTAATAATAATAAGCTATTGAATGTGAGAAATGTGAAATAAAGGAAAAGGCATTGATAAGTATCACAGGATACAAAGAGGCACTTTCAAAAGAGGAAAGGCAAGCTATTAACAATCATAAAAATGCTTTAAATCACTAATAATAAGGTGAAATGCACTTAAAATAACTGAAGTTTTACCTCACATCCATCAGATTGGCAAATGATAAATGAACAAAATTGCTCAGTGCTGGAAAAGTTATAGGCAGACAGGCACATTAATATACTACTGGAGGAGCTGTAAAATGATCCAACCATTCTGGAGAACAATTTATTACATGAAAAAATTACATGTAAATGTATATCAAGGAAGGCAAAGTCAGAGGGAAAGGTATAATATAAAAATATCTGCAGCAGTACTTTTTGTAGTAACAAAGACCTGAAAGAAAGTGGTTGCCCATTGATCAGAAAATGGATGAAAGAATTGTGGTACATGAACCTAAAGGAATATTATTGTACCATAAAAAATAACAGATATGAAACATTAAGAAAAACTTGGAAAACTATTAAATGAAGCAGAATTGCTTGCCTATGATTATCTAATATAAGTGAGCATTTATTGGAGGGGGAGTGCATGTAGGAAGTTAGTGGGAAGTAACAGACATGCAAAAAGAACATCAATAAACCAAAAAATCAAAATAAAAATATTCAGAAGGGAACAGAAAAACAGATTGATGCAGATTTGTTAAATTCAATAAACACTTAAAAACTAAACTGTTCTTTGTATGTTTGCTGATGACTATCAAGTTCCTAATTTTTTTAACAAAAGAAAAGAATTACAAGATAACAATAAAAAGAGTGAATCAATTTTTTTTGATGAGACACTATAACATGGGAAGGAACACAAAAGGGCCAAAGGGAAGGGAGCAATGCATAGGGATCAAATCAAAGGCTGGCAATGAAGTGAAAGTGACCACTGTGGTCCCAGGAAAAGAAAAGCCTAAAGCCAAGTTGGTAAGGAAGGAACATAGGGGGAATACTGGAAAAGAGGGAAATGGAAAGAGGCCTTACTTTGGAGGTTGGAAGAAGTCCAAATGATGAATGCTCCTATGTGTGAAGAGAGATGTCAGTGAAGGAAGATGAAGTCTTTACATTGGACAAAGTTTGGGGGATTTGGTACTTAAAGTCTTTGTTGTGGGAGGAGAGGTGGGGGGTAAACTGGAACCCCTGGGGGCAATTGGTACCTGGAGTGAGAGTCCAGACACAGGGAAGAAATTTATAGGCAAATATACAAAAAAAAGGTCAACATGAGAGGGCATATATCAGTGATGATCTGCATAATCATGGATGTGGTAAAGAGAGGGGCCCTACCACGGGGCAGTGTCCTCTCTGATACCTGCAATAATTGGCATTTTTCTGGGAGTGAGGTACAATGGAAAAGGGAAATATATGGGGTGAGCCTTACAAGGCATTGGCAGAAGGTGCAGAGAAGGGAGAACCTAGAATGTAGTACCTTGGAAGCTTTAACAGCAAGAAGGACACAGAGAAAAGAGAGAGACTAGATAATTATAGGGATCATGAATCAGAGAATGGACATCCACAGTAAATAGAAAGAAAAGATGGATATGAAGACAGCAAGAGAAATTCTTTTTGGAAAGGGGAACAAAAAATTAAATCTAAAAACTAATGAATAGGACTAGCTGAAGTGCAGAAAGAGAATCTACTTGACTGAAGAGGGAAAAAGAAAGTGAAGAAATATATAACCAGATAAGGGTAGCAGAGAAAAAGGAAGTAATAGGGGTAACAAATGAGAAGAGGAGATTAAGGATGAGAGGAAGACAACTAGTGGGAATGGGGCCATCTTAAAAAAAAGTGACACTTTTTGTGATAGTTAAGAATTGGAAACAGAGTAGACAGATGCCCATCAATTGGGGAAGAGCTAAACACATTGTGGTACATGAATGTAATGAAATATTGCTGTGCTCTATCTAAAAATGATGTGTGTGATGAATACAGAGAAACATAGAAAGATCTATTATGAACTGATTCAGTGAAGTAAGCAGTGCCAAGAAAACAATATATACATCAACTAAAACAATGAAAATGGAAAGAATGACACACAAAAAAATCAGAACTATATGTAAAAATATTATAAAGATAAGTGTAACTAAAATGAAGAGATATGACACTCCCAACCTATGTCTTTGGGAAGGTAGGAGGCCTATAGGTATTATACATTGCATATATTTTCAGACCTTTTTCAAGGTACTGACCAGTTGTGCTGACTTTTTTTTCCCCTCTTTCTAAAAAAAATACAGTGGGATGGCTCTCTGGGAGGGGGAGAAGGGATACATAGGATATGATGTAAGAAACAGAAAAATCAATAAAAATAAATTAAAAATATTAATGCAACATAAAGGAAAATAACACTGAAAGACTTCAGGAAAAAAAGACTTCCTAATTCTGATTGACGCAGCAACCAACTGAGTTTAGAAGACGATGGTAAAACATGTATCCTTCTACTTTTTGGCAGGACAATAAATATGTTCATTTGTATTATGTGACTGTACCTGTTCTATTTGGGTGGGTGGGTTGGGGGAGAAATCATTGCATCAGTAAAATAGTTAAAAGTAACAAAAATGGAGAAGTTTAACCCATGTAGTGTAATTGCCACCGTGAAGAAAGCATCAAGGGCAATACTGGTTTGTACTGATTCTGAACTTGTAAAATTTTTAAAAAGAGAATAGTTGAACATTAAGAGCATTACTGGCTTATAAAATAGCAGAGTGTAACAGAAGAGGGAAAAGTGCAAAAAGCTTGCTATGAGATTCAATTAAGTTAGATCATCTTGATATCATCTGAAGATGAAACTGGGAGAATAAAAAATGGGAAGACATCTGCTAGTATTTTGATAGTACATTAATTTCATCATCTATTATAGTGATACCACACTGGAGCCTTAGAACCAACATGAAGTTGGAAGAGAAACTTGACCAAAGGATAGGATGGAAATGACAATTTCAAAAGCACTGTGGGGTCAATTTTAAGATATTTAAAAGGAGAGGATACTAAATATCTGGAAAAATTATCAACTGGAGAATTCCTGAACAAATTGTGCTGTAAATGTAATGGAATACTGCTGCACTATAAGAAATGATGAATATGAAAAATTCAGACAAACACAGAAAGATTTGTATGAGCTGTACTAAAAGAAATGAGGAGTATGAAAAATTCAGCTAAACATAGAAATAGCTGTGTGAGCAAATCAAGACAGCAGAACCAAGAAAACAATGTACCCAATGACTATAATAATGTGAATGAAAATGCTAAATTAAGGCAAATGTCAAGATTACAGTGGATAATTCCAGAGGATAAAACATATATATATGTATATATACATAGTTTTATACCACTAAGGGTCAGGAATGGGCAAGGGATGAGTAGAAGCAGGACCAAATGTGAAAATATTACATGTACTGCCAGATGTAGTTGTCTCACTGGTCTATTTTAACATTATTTTAAAAAGTTAAAAAATCATTTGCGGGAGGGAGAGGAAGGGAATATGAAATAACTGTGATGTTAATAAACAAAATGCATCATTTTAAAAAAGTATATGGACATCTTTCTCCAATAACTTTTTCCTGGCAATACAACAAAGGTTTTTTTTTCTGTTTTTCTTTTTTCCCTTCTGTGCTTCAAGAGTAGTACTATTCCTAATCCTGTAGCCCTGTAGTTTCATAAGCTCTACAACTTGGAAGTGAAACATGTAATCAAAGGTACCTCACATTTATATAATATCTACGTCAGGGGGTCTAAACCTTTTTTCGTTTGTAATATACCTCTTCGGCAGTCTGATGAAACCTATGGATCCCTTTCCAGAATAATGTTTTTAAATGTACAAATACAAAGGATTACAAAGGAAACCAATTAAATTGAAATGAAATGCCCCCAAAATTAAAAAGACCCCAAGAATTCCTGATTTGTTACATGCTTCAATAGTATTGTTATAATATTAAATAGGATGGTAATCTGAAGACTAATATAGTCCAGTGCTGCTGCTGTTTTTTTTTCTTTTTCCTTTTTTGGTTAGGCAAGTGGGATTAAGTAACTTGTTCAGGGTTACACAGCTAGTAAGTGTCAAGTGTCTGAGGCGGGATTTGAACTCAGTTCTTCCTGACTCCAAGGCCAGAGCTCTATCCACTGAGCCACCTAGCTGCCCCAGTCTAGCACTTCTTAAACTGTGGGTCACGAGTGGAAAAAATTTAAGAAGCCCTGAATATATTCAAAGAAACTAGAAATTTTATAACCCCAAGGGGATGGGACAGAAGCCTTAGATTGGCTGTAGGACTGAAAGCCAAAAAGATCTTTTCCTCTACTATACCATTAAAGACTTTATTGCCAAAAATATACTAAAGAATGTATCTTTGGGTCAAAGGGTAGATAACATGAAACTTATCTAATATGTGGGCTAAATTTCAAATACTGTTGCAATTATTTCCATAATGAAAGATTTAAAGATAATTATTCATCTTAAATTTATGTACAAAGAAACATACTAATTTGCTTTATTACAATAATTTTTCAAGTTTGTCAAAAACAAATTATTCAATCTCTTCAGACACAGAATTCTACCAAAGTATTAAAATTTAAAACAGTACCAAAATACAAAACTAACCCACTGGCATAAGGGAGAAAATTTTCCCGTCACAGCTTTCAATACTTCTTGGCTAGCAACCCCTCCTACTGCTGCAGCTAGTGGGGCTAAGAAGCCTTGGGCAGTCCAGGAGAGCCAATTCACAATGTCATCATTTACTTCAGGCTGAAAAATAATCCAGGAAAAAAGATAAACAACAGTATTTTTATAGCACAGATCATTTAAAACTTTACTGACAAAGTGAAAATTACCATGGGTCTACTTCTAAAAGGGTTGCTCAAAACGTCTTCTTTTTTTTTTTTTTAGGTAACTGGGGTTAAGTGACTTGCCCAGGGTCACACAGCTAGTAAGTGTCAAGTGTTTGGTCTGAGGCCGCATTTGAACTCAGGTCCTCCTGACTTCATGGCTGGCGCTCTATTCACTGCGCCACCTAGCTGACCCTTCAAAACTTCTTATAAAAGTACTTTAAAATTGCTGATGTAGTAAAAGTTCTGAATTCACAAAAAAATTCACACAAGCTTGTGACTTATAATGTAAACCTTTTGTACACAGTTAAGTAATCAATAAACCTGTCAAAAAGGATTAAAAACCCATATGGAAGGTACTGTTAGTGAAGTGTTAAAGATACAAAGTCAAAACTGATAGCCCCTCTTCTCAAGGAGTTTACATTCTACTGGGGGTGGAGGGGATTGGGGGGAGGGAACAGAACATGCATAGTTACATAAATAAAAGATGTACACAAAATAAATTCAAAGTACTCTGAGATAGAGTAGGGTACTAGCAAGTGGGAGAAACAGCAAAAGCCTTCTATAGGAGGTGGCATCTAAACTATGCCTTTAAAGAGGCTGGCGTGCTAGGAGACAGAGGTAAAGATGAAGAACATTCCAGGTGTAGGGATGATAGTGTGGAATAACACATGTAGGGAATCTCAGGCAGTCTAGTAGAGTTGGAATACAGTTTACATGAACAGTTCTATGATAACAACTTGGAAAGATAGAATCAAGTCAGAAGGTGAAAGGCTGATTTCCAAAGAGTTCATATTATATTATTCTAAAGGAAATAGGCAGCCTCTGAAGTTTCCTAAGAAGAGCAGAAATTAATAAATGTTGGTTAAATTGAAAGGCTATAGGTAGTAGTTTACAGAAACACTTACCTTCTCTTGCAAGTATGCACTTATGGATGTTGCTAGTTTGAATAATTCTTCAGAATCCTGACGACATCTAGCATGTAACACAAAGAACAATCATTAAAGATCAATACACTTCAGATTCGTATAATGTTTTAAACATGGATTCATACTTAAACTAAATAAGAGAAGAGGCAGTGTGATTGGAAAAAGCACATTGGACTTGGAGCCAAGAGAAGCCTCAGTTCAAATCTTACTGCTGATACTTAATTAGGTGTGTAAACATCTTAATTTCTTTGAGCCTCAGTTTCCTTATCTGTAAAATGGGGATAATACCTTTCCCTCACATGGCTATTGGGGTGCTCAAAGTAGAGAATATGTAAACCTAAACTTTAAGAAAAATATATTAATCTTTGTAAACATTAAAATACTACATAAATGCCAGTTATTATTATTTATGATAAATAATTTAAGTCAATATAATAATTCAACTATTTTTCTAAGATTCCTGAATTTAATATCTGAACATGTCTAATTTCATCAGTAGCACCCAATCATCCGCAGGGGGAAAAAACTTCTCTATTGGTCATTTAAGGCTGGCTCCAATCTCTTTCGTTATTGACTTTACTCTATTCCCATTTATGCACTCACAAAGTAGTCTATTTGCTTTGTCTCCACATGACATTTCATCTCCTGCTTTTGTACTCTTATCTATGTCCTATGCCTAGAAGACTCAGCTGACATTCCACCTCCTACTTGAGACCTTTCTTAACACCTATCAGTTGGTTAGGTGTTTTCCTTTCTATTTCCACTGAAGTTACTTTGTATCTATGGTGTATCTATTTATCTGTGTACATGCCATATCCCTACTATAGAATGCAAGCTCTCTGATAATAACGACTATTTCATTTTTATCTTTACATCCCCAGAACTCAGCAAGACGCTTGATACAAAGGTGCTTAATCAGTATCATTGATTTGAATTTACTCTCCTCATCAAAGGTTAGCTTTGGAAAACTTTATTTAAAGGTTCAAAAAGAGAAAACGTCTGTTACCAAGAAGAGGAAAAAGGACTTTATCTGGGTATCCTGTGAATTTCAGAAAAGGAAAAAGAATACACCAAAATGAGGGTGACACTAATAATTACTGGAATGGCTCCATAATTTGGTCCATGTGACAATTTTCTCAAGCACATCTATCAAATTCAGCCTTAAAAATGTACTCTTTGTACCATAAGGCATTGCCACCATCACCACCACCATTACGTCCTTTCACGTACATTATTCCATTTGAATCTCACAACTTATAAAGTACAGGGCAGGCATGATACAGATTAGGAACCTGAAGTTTAGTGATTTACTTAAAGTTTAATGGAATCATCATTACCAGAACACTTAATATTCAAGAACTGGGATGACATCCAAAAGCCCAATGCTGAAAAGACTACTCCAGATTTGGTCTGACCAGGGCAGGGTATATAAATGATACTATAGGACAACCACATCTGTCAGGTCTTCGAACTCTGAGCCAAAATGCTCCTGCCACTATGCCATACTGCTTCTTTACTGTATTCATTTTAATTTTAAGTTAGCTCTCTCTCATGTGGGTATAGAATCTAATATACAGTTGTCAGAAAAGTGCCAAAAAAAAAAAAAATCCAGAATTTTGGTTTAAACTCATGTGGACTACAAAGCAAAAAAAATAAACAGCTGTATTCTAGAACTTAAAGGCTTATGTATCAGTAGCCACCACATATGGGTACTTTAGAAAATAATGATTCATTGGGCAAAGAGGATGCCTTTTTAAATAGGTCTGTAAACCCTGGCATAGTGCAGGTGATCAGTAAATACCAAAAGAAAAGAACTGATTGCTTTGTTTCACTTTGTTCCTTTGGAGTCAAAAAAAAAGAACAACTCTTTTGTTAGATGGTTAAGTAATTCAAATTTCATTAACAGACCCAAGACACCACTTAAAAAATATTACCCAATATTTGGCTTTCGATTGTACTTTTCCTGGAATTGGTCTAGGGCAAGCATGGCAGCATGGATCTGTAGAGGAGCCTATTCAGAAGAAAAAGGGAACCACAATACAATATCAATACACATTTTTATTCTTAATATTTGGCATTAAAAATGATATGGTGTACAAGGTTAGAATAGGAAAAAAGCAAGCTTTAAGTTCTTGCTCCCGGTTTTATAGATGAGGAAAATGAGCCCCCAAGGCCATCTAGTCAAATCCCCTGTTTTCACCAACAGGGAATCAGAAGTCCAGAGAGTGTAAACTGACTTGACAAGGTCACACAGCAAATTAGTAGTGGCAGATTTATGTCACAGTACTTTATACTTCTTATATTTATCTCTCCCATCCTTTGAGCTTTTGCCTTAGAAGGACATAAGGTCTGTACACTGAGCAGGTCCCCTACCATTATTTTGTCCTTTTATTCCTTTACCTTCTGCTTCTAGTTAGCAAAAAATGTGAACAATCTGAAACTACAACTATTTCCTCAAAGAAATATTTTCTTATACTTTGTATATTTAATTTAAGCTATATATTTGAATCAATAAATATAACAAACAATGATACCAAAATATATAATAAACAATTACACGAAATAAATAAAATAAACAATTATACCAAATGCCTACTAAGCACCTAACAAGTGTTAAGATTATATATGTACATATAAAATAGAATTTAAAAGTGAGTTTGAAAAAAAAAATCACCTAAACTTACTTCATATTTGTATTAAAAAAACTAGGTGACTACCAACACAACTATTTTACGGAAGGCCCAATTTGCACATAAAGCCAGGATTTTGCTTGGAAAATATAAGACCAGTTAAGAATTTCTTGGGATAATATAACATTTACATAAACATGTATATTCCACTTTAAAACAGTACATTCTCCCCCAAAGTATTAATTACCTCAGGTTTGCTAAAATCAGCAATAAGGTATGTTGGATGTTTTATTTGTTTCTCCAGGCATTCCTGACAGGGGAAAACAAAAGATAATTAGAGTAAGGGATAAGGTACTTAAGTTCTACAAAGTATATTGCTATTAATCAGATAATTGTTATCAGTAAGAAAAGTTTCAGAAGAAATACATGTTAATGGCATATAACAAAGGGAAAAATAATACTCTTTTTGTCTATTCTGAGAAATAATTTCTATATAAATCAATGAGACATTGGGTGGAATGGCAGATAAAGAGCAGGTTGGAAATAAGAAAGGGTTCAAATCCAGCCTCTAACATATCCTGGCTAAGGGACTACACAAGTCATGGAACCTCTGAGTGCCCTAAGCAACCTCTCTAAGACTGATATTACTGTCAATGTTTTGGAAGAGGAAATTTCCTCATTGGGAATTTTTTGCACCAATGAAATAATAGGTTGAAACAACAACAACAACAACAAAATCTTTAATTATGTGTCCCCTTTTCCAGGGGTTTGAAAGAAGCTAAGGTTAATTCTGAAAAAAAATATCAGTCCTTCCCATTTCTGCCACAAATGTTCCTTTCTCCTCTTTTCTCTTCATTCTCTCTCTTCGCTCACGGTTAGTATCTCTATCCAGATGACTCTGAAATATACTAGCCTGGCCCTACTCTTTCTCTTGAACTTCCATTCCTCACTGCCAACTGAACCTATCTACCTATATATACCTACCTCAAACCTAACATGACTAAAACAAAATATCTTACACGCTGATGATTCAACCACCTCAATTGTTCTACAGTATGTTGATTGAGGCCATAACTAGCCTTCTCTTAAAAAACAAAAAAAAAACCAAACCAAAAACCAAACTATGTATATTATGAACTGACAAAAAATTATGTATATTATCACTAACAAAAAAACAAACAAACCCAAAGGAGTAACAGTAAAACTGCAAACTTGTTATGTAGTTTGTTTTAAAAAACATATAAGTTTATTCCAATTGCTCAGATTTACAATCTTTGAGTTATCCTTAACTCTTCCTTCTCTCTCACTACATTTATCTGATCAGATGCTAAACTTTGGCTAATTCTATCTCCATACCATCTCTCACATCTATACCATTCCCTCCACAGTCTAATTCAAACCTTCATTAACTCTTGCCTGAGCCTGGACCTGAGCCTCCTTGTTTATAGTCTTTCTTTTCTCCAACAGATCCTCCACACAGATGCCAAAATAACATTCGTAAGTATAGGTATAGGTCTGCCACTATCACTCCCCTCCTTCAAAGCCCTCAGGGGCTTCCTACATTCTCTAGGATTAAATTCTCTTCAGCTTGGCACTTTAGGCCCTCTGCAATGTGGTTTCAGCTTATCTTTTACATCATACTTTACATTACTCCTTTTCAATTCTCTACATTCTGACCAAACCTGACTACTTGCTGTTCCACAAGCTCAAGATGACATGTATTCACATAGGAGCTCTTGGAGGTCTGAAATGCATTACTCTCCTTAAAGCCACCTCTCAGAATTCTTGTTTCCCCTTTAAGATGTACCTCAGGTGCCAGTTTGCCAATCCAGTATATATATCCTAGACTGCAAAATTTTTCTCATGTTAAACAACCATTTTCCAAGTTCCCAAAGTTCCTGACACTGAACAAGTATTCTTCTTGACCTCAATGGAGGTTTAGATACAACAGATTCACATAAGCCCCACCAAAAGACCACTATCCTATTCTCCAAAAGATATATTCCCTGTATTATTCTTTTGTAAGACTTAAGAAAACATTTCAAACATTCGTATTAAACTTATGGATAAAGTTAACTGAAATGCATAATATTACTTAAGTTATGTTTCTGAATAACTTTCTGAATAACAGGAAATAAATCCAGCTCTAGAACCTCCCTGCTTCATCATATTTGGTATGTGTGCTTTGTAAAATGTCTTGGAAATAGAGTAAAACCTTCATTTATTAAAAGGCTAATGCAATGGAATGTTCTAGTTAATAGCGTTCAAACACAAAATTCTTTTTATTTGCAACACAGAACTTTAGTATCGAAAGGGACTTTTTGAAACATCCAAGTTCAAGTCTCTTATAGATAAAGAAACTAGTGATTCAGAAGAGAAGTACCTAACATTTGTTGAAAATCTTTTTAAAAATTTCATTAGCACACTCCTGAAATAATAAGTAAAGTATATAGAATATTATCTCACAGGATATAGAACTAAACTGGGAAAATAGAGATCATTCACATTCTCATTTCTTAATAAGGAAGCTGAAGCTTACACCAAGTTAATTAAATTGTTCCAAGGTATAGAAGTGATATGCACTACAGCCAGGTCCTTGACTCCAAATCCAATTAATGCTCTTTTAACTATACCATGTTGGCTCTTTAGTTCACAATTCAGAATGTTTCAGTGACTCAGGACCACAGTAAAAACACTTATTATTGTCCAGTACTAGAGGAATAGAAGGGAGGATACTGACTTGAATTCAAACTTCTTCCAGAAGATCACTGGCAAAATTTTAAAAAAAGAAAAGAAACAAAAAAGTAAATTCTGGAAACAGTTTGTTTTCTTATGATTTACTTCCTTCTCCTTGAGGTGGAATTATTAAAAAATAAATTATTCTAGTTGAAGCTTCAATTAGCTGTCCAATAATAGAAGATATACTACTTTCTATTTGTTCATTAGGTATTCTTTTAGCCACTAAATATAAATATGTATTCAACAAAAGAAAATACTTACAAAATAAAACGTTTGAGATGTCTTAACTTGAACAGCTATACCTCCATGTAAGTATGGCTCCATTTCAGTAGTATCATCAATACTGAAAGAGAATGGTGACACCACTGGAAAAAAAAAATACAGAAGCAATTATACCACAAAAAAAGATTTATATCTGCATAATCATTTCTCCCCCTAAACTTTATTTCTCTTTAGGTCAAGCATCAAACCAGATTTTTAATTCTGAATTACATTCTATTTTAAGCAATTATCCACTAGGTTCTATAAAAATAACTTATTTCAATGTCAAAGGACGTATTAATTTAAAACAGCTACTTTAAAAATCTGAACATAGGTTATGCTCCTAAAATTCTAAATCTTTCAAAGAAAAAAACTAATATATTTGTATAACTAAAAATAATATCAATTGTAGTACACAAGCATAAGTCAGATTTGGGGGGAAAGTTTGTTCTATATTTGGATCAATATGATTAAAAAAAAAAAAAAGACAGAATTATGTGGAAAACTAAAAGGTAAAAAATAATAGAGATGGCTAACCTGCATTTTAATTCCCTTAAGTACCTAAAGATAAAAGGCTTGAGAAGGAAAGTATTACAGTTCTTGAGTTCAGAAATGGGCATCAGGAGAAGGGGTGGGTCTTTTCTAGATCATCCTAGAAAGAATGTTTTCCAATTTGACTTTAGGGTTTTCTTTCTTCCTTTTTTTTTTTTGGAAAGTAGACAAAAATTGGTATTGTGGGTTTGTTTTTTCTAAAACATTGCAAAAGAACCTGTTTATTTATTTGCAAATAAATTTCTCTGATAAGAAAAAAAAGAGGTCCTCTAGACAAACTCCCTCATTTTCACGATGAGGAAACTCAAGTCCAGTGAGATTAGGTGATTTGCTTAAAGTCACAGAGGTACTAGGTGACAGAGGCAGGATTTGAATCCAGATCCTTGAACTCCAAATCCAGGACTATATCCATAGCATGACTAGGAAGTTTAAGCAAATGAAGTGAATTGTTGGTTTACTGGTAGTTAGCTCTGATCTCCCATTTACACAGGGTTTTAAAGTTTACAAAGGATCTTTTCCCATAGCTACTTAAGAGTGCAAGTGTGGTGTGCCTTGTTTTCTAGATCAGTGAACTGAAGCTGATAGGCTAAAGTGACGTGCCCACAGTCATACAGCTAGTTTAGAGGAGAAACTCAAAACTAGGCATCCTATCTACAAGTTTGGTATTCTTTCCGCTATATTAAGCTGGCCCTCTATTTTTTATGTAATACTTTAACCTGGCTTACTAGGGTTTCTGGTGTGAATCCATTTAATATTAATAATTAATAGCAACATAAAATAGTTAAACAGCACCTAAATTTGAAAAGCCTTCTACATATTATCTCATTTAATCCTCACAACTAGAGTCACAGCTTACAGATGAGGAAACCGAGCCTCAAGAAGATATATATAACTTACTTGATCCTGGTCACAGATCTAGTAATTTCTAGAGAGAGGATTAGAATTCAGGTCACTCTTCTTTCCAAGCACAGAATGTCTTCCCACTATACCACATTAATTTCCCAAATGTCTCAAAATGTTAAGCTATATTTCCTACCAAGTAGGATCCCTACTACCATATAGCGTGGTCTGAATAAACATTTTTCCATCCCACTTATTATTATTATTATTATTTTTTTTAGGCCATTGGGGTTAAATACCTTGCCCAGGGTCACACAGCTAGTAACTGTCAAGTCTTTGGTCTGAGGCTGGATCTGAACTCAAGTCCTCCTGACTTCAGGGCCAGTGCTCTATCCACTGTGCCACCTAGCTGCCCCTCACTTAGTTTTTCTTGTGGGATAATAAGGATAAGCACTTTTGGGTAACGGTGGATATTTCATAAGAAGGCTTTGCAATATTCTCTGGTAGTTAGCATAATGCCACTGCAAACAGGAGCATCTAAAGGACCTCATCACCTATTAGGAGTTCTTTATTCAATTTGGATTCTGTGCCAGTCATCCTCCATGAAAATGGCAAACACCTTTGATGAGCTTTATACCTTGTTTCATATTGACTACATTTAGGAAACTATGTATTGCTTTTAATGATCCCAAATATCTCCTTGAAACAAAGACCCATCTTGCTACACTGCTATTCTACCAATGATGCTATAGGGTTGTACCACAATCTGTAAGGAATGAAGTTGTGGTTTATTGCAAAGATAAAAGAGAGGTAGATAGTAGCCAAGAGTATGCTATAGCATTTTAGCAACAAACTGTAGAGAAGTTATATAAAGGACATTGCATGGAAAAGAAAACAAGTCAGACACACGTGAAAGCAAAACATAAATGATGGATAGCCCACATTTCACTGGTATCCATGAAATATGAACCTACATCAATGAGATCACAGATCTAATTTAAGTACTTAAAACATATGCCATTAGCTTACCAGTTATTTGTTTTGTGGATCCATTTAACTCTGTCATTCCATTTATTTCTCGAAATGTTACCAAATTTCCTGTCTCAAGTTTATGTGGATGATTTTCAAGACAAGTTACAATTCCAGGATTTGCCTAAAAGTAAATTAGTCAAAAGATTAATGAAGAAAGAAAATCTTTCAAAGCACAGCCTCAAATATCTTTAGTCCAAATTCGTGCTGAGTCACTCAAAATTCTTTCAACAGCCAACACAACAAAATTCCAGTGCAGGAAAAGGATATGGAGAATTTCACCTGTAGTTTAATGAACCACTAACCTTTAGAAATATGCTTTTAAAATTTTTTTCCCCTTAAAAACAGGGTAAGAGAAACATCTATTATACATGGATGTGTTTGCAAGCATATAATTCAAATAACAGAAAGTTATAACCCCATTATACTTTAATCAGGTTCTAGTTAATACATGTAACTCTGGTATCCACTTCACACAGAAGTAAAAGAAAGTTACTGGATGAAATAAATCACTGGACAAAAGATCATATAGATGACAATACTAAAAATATGTAACAAAAAGTATGTGTTTATTAGAGCCATTTAAAAAAGTATTATATTTGTGTCTTTTTACCATGGATCTACCAAAGACCAAATTAAAGAAAAGGAAATTTATTGTTAGACAATAAAGATGATATTCCTAACTCTGGGGCTAATTAAAATTGAAATAAGCAACCTAGGAAAATCTGAGAAATTTTATAAAATTATTCATATAAATAATTTCATTCTTCAAAACATGGAAGAGCCAATAGGGGGAAATTCTATCCTGAATCTAGTTCATATTAACAGGCAGAAACTTGTTAGGGTGAAAATGATGAGAACCTTGAGTTCATCGCTTCCTCCTAGAACTTGTGACTGATAAGACGAATGCTGGACATAGGTCACAGAACTTAGTAAATCATATTTCAAAGACCTGTTGTACATAAAGATAGATAAGAATATAGGCAGGATCTATTGGTCTAAAATTCTACCGAGGAAGTCAGTCTAGGAGGAATGAGACACTCTCAAAAATAAAATTCTAAACAGAAAAATTTTAGTAATTCTTAGAAAGAAAAGCAGTTTTCTCAAAAGATCAATGTATATTCACAAAGAACTTACTAACCAAGTAAGATTTTAAAAAGATATACACAGAAGATGAAAGCAAGGGCAGGTAACGAAGGCAAAATATAAGTGTGGTAGTTCTGCAAAAATACTCTGCTAAGAAGAATGATCTTTACCCTGGAAATCACAAAAAATGACTACCTAGGAGGTGATACCCCATACAAAAAAGAACATAGTAAGAGAGTACTTAGTCGCCACCCTTGATGAATTCACAACACACGGCCAGATGTGAAAAAATTAAAATACGTCACTATTTTGTGTTCAGGCTGGGCCTGATTCAGATCAGTTGCCTTGTAACTCAGGTTCAAAACTGGAATGAAATGAGACATCTGAAAATCATTTGACAGTTACAAGATTTACTTAGTCATGACTGGAGAAGAATATTCAACAAGGACAGGGATCAAAGACACCTTGAACAGATTTGGTTGAACCTTTCTATCTGAGTTGCTCATTGTAGTCTACCAACAGCACAGAACTCTTGGAGCTCCATATGGCTGCTCTGCACTCAGGTGATGTCAACAGCCTGAGTTTTAGTCCTTTCAGTCAACCAAGACTCAAGGGCTGTCTCACTACCTTTTAAGGAAAAATTACCCTGACTTGCATAGGGGAGGGATTACGATACTGTTTCTAGCAGTATGCTATCGTCAGCAATCTGTGAAAGACCATGTAAAATAAAAGTTGTAAAAAACTAAGGGAATGGCAAATTTTTCACTTTTCAAAAAAGGGAAGAGATACAGTTTTCAAATTATATTGGTTGGTGAGAGTGCTTTTAATATCTTGAGAGAAGTGGTCATTACAAAGATCCAGCACAGCATCATCAAGTACAGGTCATGCAAAACTAACTTTATGACAAAGTATCTCATGCCACTCATTTTTTTTTTTTAGTGAGGCAATTGGGGTTAAGTGATTTGCCCAAGGTCACACAGCTAGTACTTGTCAAGTGTTGGGTCTGAGGCTGGATTTGAACTCAGGTCCTCCTGACTTCAGGGCCGGTGCTCTATCCACTGTGCCACCTAGCTGCCCCCATTCATTCTTGTATACAAGATGGAAAGATGTATTCTAAGAAGACAGATGGATGAACTTTTTTAACAGGTCAATTGGACAAATTCGGAGTAGTTGTTAATGGTTCAATAAATGTCAATCTGGAAATTCTCCAGTGCAGCAGATCAGGAATCTGTGCTTTCTAATATAATGATCAATGACTTGGATAAAGCCGTAGAGGGCAGGCTCATCAAATCTGAAGAAAACACTAAACTGTCAGCTAGTCAATCGGGAAATGAACATTTATGAAGAGCCTAATGTGTCACATACTATGCTGGAGACATAAAGATAAATGATAGTCCCTGACCTCGAGGAACTCACAATCTAATGGGGGAGACAACAGGCAAACAACTATGCACAGACAAGTTACAAACAGAATAAACTGGAAATAATCAACAGGGGAGAAGGCACTAGAATTAAGGCAGATCAGGAAAGGCTTCCTGTAGCAGGGATTGTAAGCCAGAAGAAAGAGAAGGAAAAGAGTGTCAGACATGAAGGACAGTCAGTAAAAATGCATGGAGTTTGGAGATGGAGTGTCTTGTGTGAGGAACAGCAAGATGGTGAGGGTCACCAGGTTAAAGAGTATGTGGAGGGAGGATGGGGTGTGTTTAAGATATAAACAGACCGGAAAGGTTTGGTGGGAGGGGCAGCTGTGAACATGGTTTTAAACAACAGATAATTTTACATTTGATCTTGGAGGTAATAAAGAACCATTGGAGTTGACTAAGTAGCAGAAAGGTAAGTAGAGGTAACATAGTAATGCAGGACAAAGAATGGAGTTAAACGGGGAGAGTCTTGTGGCATGGAGTCCAACAAGCACGTTTATGCAATAGCCCAGGGGCGAGGAGATGAGGGCTTGGATCAGATTACTAACAGTGTCAGGAGTAAAGATAAAACTGAGGGATAGTTTAACACATCAGATGCAAATTAGGAGTGAAAAAAGACTCTGACATGTGAGAGCACTGGGCTGATATTAAATAAGATCATATTCAAGAGGAATAGCTGTAAGTCTTCAGGTTGAAAAAAATCGCCTTCTTAAGTACAGAACGGAAGAAGCAGATTGGACAGACGCTTGTTGCAAGTCATACTTCTTGGGGTAGAAGTATGAGAAAGCATCAAAAACAGCTAATGTTATCTCGGGCTGCATGAAGAAAGACATAGGATGCTCCCTCTTGTATTCTGCTCCTGTCAAACCACATCTGGAGTCTGACATCCAATTCTGGGTACCTCAGTTTAGAGATACTAATAAGATTGAGACTACAGAGAAAAGGGTAACCAGGATGGTGTAGAGTTTGGCTCCATGTCACATGAGGATTAATTGAAGGATCTGAGGATAGTTAGCCTGGAGAAGAGAAGTCTCAGGGGCAGCTAGGTGGTGCAGTGGATAGAGCACCGGCCCAGGAGGACCTGAGTTCAAATCCAGGTCTCAGACCAGACACTTGACACTTACTAGCTGTGTGATCCCGAGCAAGTCACTTAACCCCAATTGCCTCGGGGGGAAAAAAGTATCAGGGAGAAGAGAAGTCTCAGGTCTTGAAGATCTGATAGCAGTCTCCAAGAGTCTAAAGGGATATCACCCAGAAGAAGAATGAGATCTGTTCTATTAGATTCCATAGGGTAGATTCAGGAATAATGGGTAAAGTTGCAAAGAAAATTTAGGCATAATTTGAGGGAAAAAAGTGCTCTGACAATTACAGATGTTCAAAAGTGGAATCCTCTGCCTCAAGAAGTGGGTTCCCTCTCATTAGAGTTCTTCAAGCAGAGATTGGATGACTACAGTTCGAGTTAAGTTATAACAGAAACACCTTTTGGATATATTTGGATTAAAAGGCTGAAGTCACTTCCAAGTTTAGTATTCTATTTTATTTTCCTCTGTTTTATTTCCTCCTTCCTAGAGTAAGAGTGCTACACCAGGTCATTTATGAAATCCTTTCTCTTTCTGATTTAACACAGCAAACTTAGAATCATAATTAAATGTCATATAAATATACAATTTAATGTCATATGTAATGAAGGACAGACTAAATGCCACATTAAACAAAAACTGGCAAACAAAGAGCATAGTGATGGCATGTTGAGTACAAAATGACTGCAGGAAAATTTAGATAGTCATTTTTGATTCAACAAAACAGCCTCCAACTGAAAGAGATATAAAACTTAGATAAGATAGTTTGGATTTTCAAGGAGACTACCTATAATAACACAGTAATACCTATATACATTAGAAAAGTGCAAAACAAAGGTTATATGGAGCTAGAAGGGGAAAGTTTCATTTCAGATGGGTTTTCAACAGGCACAGAGTAAGGGAAGGAAACCAAAGGCATGTAAGACCTATAGGATCAGTGTGAATAATGACATGGAAGCAGGAAAGAACAAGACTTATTCAAAGAATGGAAAGTATTCCTGTTTGGCAAAAGCAAGGTGGTGGCAGATTATAGAGTGCCAAAAAATGACAGGCAAAAGATTTTAAACTTTACTAGATAAGCAAACTTATAATGGATCTCTTTTATAAAAAATATTTGATGAATCCTTCAAGAATCTGTGATTTCAGGGGTATACATACAACCTCCATAATTTCAGATTGCAAGCCCTCTACACAGAACAGATTACTATGGCTGATAAAAACTTCACTTAAGTGTTCAACCTTTTGGTGAAGAGCCTCTCCAAAACACTTGGGCAAGGTTCATCCTGTGATGACAAACATACTATCGGTAGCAATGTCCATACTCAGAGCTTTCCAGGTTGGTAGTACCGGTCAGAGCTTGTGTTTCACTGCATAAGTCTTCAACTACCTAGGGAAACTAACCTCCATATTACCAGGTTTCAAAGTAAGACTTTGGCAGTGGAATGAAAGCAATATTACAGTAAAATAATTCTCTCTAATATTCATTTATCTCTATCACATTAAAAGGTAAGGGTGTCAAATTAACAAGATTCAAAAATTATTACATATGTTTGTTATGTTCGAAATCCAATCTCTTACTTGTGTTATATTTGAAATGAAGATTTCTTTCGGTTCTTCTCCTGACGTATCTAGTACTTCAAACTCTTCACCAAAATCACAAAACAAACGTGACCAAATCCCAAACACATCTGCACTGACAAACTGCAAAATAAGACATAAATACAAGCTCATTCTCAAACAGCATTAGCTTATATTAACATTATGCTTTAGAGACTGCAAAATGGTTTTTTCATGACAACCGCAAGAGAAAATAGTACAAAACAGCATTCTCTATTTTAGAGGTGTGTACATATAGGTTTTGTTACTAAATCACGGGCACTGTCTCAAGACAATCTCAGAATTATGAGTTAAGGATTCCTTCTGGAACAAGCAAACCATAAATAACAAACTACATCCATTAGTTTAGGTGTCAAAACTCTTGGTACATCACTGGTTTTAGTACTTAAATATTTGTTGACTGTCTAATTCCTGATTTCATGGCTACCACACCAGTTTCCCAACAAAGTTAAATTTGGAACCATCTGCAAAACTTTTGTTATTAAAGGCTGCAGAGTATTATCAGACCAAAAATTATATAATAAAGCAACAATTACCAAAACTACTGTGGTGCTGGTTAAAAACACAAAGAGTAGAATTGACAGACCCAGGAATATAAGGCTACCATTTTGATTAAAAACTTTTGGGAAAACTGTAAAGTACTTTGGCTGAAATTAGTTTTAGACCAGAATCTTGTATCATATGTCACAATGAGCTCCAAGTGGATTAGACATAATGTAAAGGGCCACATAATTTTTTTTTAATTCATGAGAGAAAAATTTTATACAACTATGGCTAGTTGAGAACTTTTTTTTAATACCAAACAAGGAACAGAGATGATCATGAGAAAAAACAGACAACTTTAAATAAAATTTAAAAGCTCTTGAATGAACAAAAGCAATGCAGCTAAAATAAAACTGAATGGGAAGAAAATTCCATAAAAAGTTACTGATGAAAGGCTAATGTGAAGACATATTAGAAAATGACACAAACATAAGAGTAAGTACGGTTCCCTGGAACAAACAAAATGGTCAAAAAGTATCAATAGTTTCAAGAGAAGTACCAATGACCATTTGAAAATGCTGTAAAGAAGAGAAGAACATGCTAAAGTAATTCTGAGATTTCATGCAAACACCTACCAAAAATTTGTGAAGAAAGTAAAAGATGGAAAGTCAATATTAAAAGGGTTGTGGAAAGACAGGCACACTAAAATACTATTGGTGAACTGATTCAATTATTTTGTTGGTTCAATTATGTTGGAAAACAATTTGAAATTATGTGAAAGAAATCTACATTTTTTTGACCAACGATAACCACATCTGACAGAAAGATCCCATATATGCCAAAATATTTATAACAACATTTTTTGTGATGGCAAATAAGTTGAAAATCCATAAACTAGCTAAATGAACTATGGTATATTAATGTACTGGAATATCATTGCACAGTAAGAAATGTTAAGTACAAGGAATTTAGAGAAACATGGGAAGAATGTGCAACGATTACTAACTACAATAATGTACAGCCAACCCTCAACATTCACACATTTAATTTTCACAACTTTAAGCATTAGTGTGATTTTATTAGTAACCTCACTTTCATTTTTGTATTAGGCAAACATATGCATTTGTGGCTACGTGAAGTGGAGAAAAAAATGAGAGGTTCGACATGCACAAGTTTGTGCAGCATGAATTTAAATTCGCTTCACTGGTCTTATTCATCCTACCACTGTGCAATCATTGCATATTTTCATTGTTTGCCTTTAAACTCAACTTTTGTTTAAAAGGTTTCCAAAGCACAGTACAAGTCCTTTGGCCTCTAAGCCCAAGCATGCAAAGTCAGTGATACAGGCTAGTGAGAAAATAAAGATGTTAAGATAAACTTCATGCAGGAATGTCTGCAGCCACTATCAGCTATGAGTTTGGTGTTAACTAATCAATAACTTGCTACACAGTACAATGCCCTCCTCACACCACCATTTGACACAGTGGAAGACAAGATTTGGATTAAAAAATGTTTTAGTTTTAAGGATTTTATTTACTATACAGTGTTTATGGTACTGTACATTTCATGTGTTATGAAAAGTATATACTGTCTGAAATCAGTTATTTTTTTCATTTACTGTCTGAAATCAGTATTTTTTTTTAATTATTGAGATGTTAGTAGTTGTTTTGTAGCAACAAATGTCAGGAAGATCATATAACATGTTTAATTCTAGGAAAAAAACACTCCCAGGAAACATTCTACGTTTGAAGCCAGAAAACCACTCTCTACATCTCCAAAACCAATAATTTATGAGTTTTGGAAATCTATAAATCAAAGTCCTTTTGTTTTAATGACAGCATGACTATCAACAAGGCATGGAAACTCTGCCACCCCCCAAATTTCATATTTGTTTTTCATGTTAGTAACCTCTCGCACAACTAAATGAATAACCACAGGTTTCAATGGCAGAAATGTCTTTTTGCCTTTGTCTGACTACACACATTTAAATTGGGTAACATTACCTTAATAGGTGGGTGCTGTGCATGGCAAAAATCATTGATCTTCTTCTGCAAAGGAAGCCTGATTTCAGTCAATACCACACACTGTTGAGGAAGAAACATGATATTAACTGCTAGAAAGCTTACTATAATTCCTTAAGCAATATTTCTGTATAAGCATACAATTTCTGACTTTAGAGACATCCCCCCATATTTGATAAACGGAAAATACATCTTGGAAAAATTGTTTTTTTCCTACCTCTGTAAAGTCATCATGTCCAGAAGTGTGGAATATCAAACAGAAATACCAACCTGGTTTTATACTGGTTTTGAAGATAAAATAATTAGTCTCAGAGAGGTCAACTTTCCAAGTTCACATATTCATGGCTAGAATTTGAGTTTTCCTAGTTTAGCACTCTTTCTTCTAAAATAAGCTACTTAAATTTAAGTTTTCTCTCTCTGGGAAGAATCTTACTGTCTAACCTGCACTTTCAGAATCACAATATACTACTAATGATTCCAACATATCAATTCTACTTTTATACATACATTTTATTTTATACTACCTGTTAAGGACTATTAAGAGGTCCCCTGACATGTATGTTCATTTCTCTTGAAATAAACCTAGTTTTCATGTAAGCTTCATGAAGTTATTATTGCCTGCTGACATATCCTACACTTGTCGGATAAGCAATAACATGTAAATATCAGCACTAACACCAAACATTTATTACAAAGGATGTCTACTTGACCCCAAGATCATTTGTTCATCTAGAAACCAGATCCTTAGGTAAGGATGAATTATTAAACTTCATTAAACATGTATTTATTAAGCATCTACTATGGGCAAGGTGCTAAGAATACAATGAAAAAAACTGACAGTCCTTGTCCTCAAGGAGCTTATAGTCTATTAGGGAGCACAGTATACAGGTAAACACAATACAAGGTAAGGGGTAACAGGGAAGAGCCAGACAAAGTACTGTAGGATAATTCTACCTGATTGAAGTGGCACTTGACCTAAGTCTTGAAGGGAGGATGATAAGGAGGGAGCATATTCTAAGCATGGGAGACAATCTACACAAATCTACAGAGGGAGAAGGCATATGGAGTTTGGGAATATACATGGAGAGAAATAATGTGAAACAATGCAAAAAAGGTAGGGGGAGATACATACAACTATTCTAAGTTAGTGTATATCCATATATTTATTCAACAGGCTTTTATGTATGCATACTAATACAAAAATACAAGATTACAAAACAATAAGTCAAATATAATATTCTTTAGTTATTTCACATAGGCGAGATACAGGATCCTTGAGGGAAAGAACTGTCTTCTACTTTTCTATAAAATCCAAACAGTCATAATCCATAATTAATAGGAAGAATCTTTTAAATGAATATTGATAAATGTCACAAAGTATAGGCTGTAGTAAATGAAATAATTATTTTTCCAATTATTATGTAAAGAAGAACAAATAAAGCATTATTACAGAATATTCTTATGAGTTGACTTTCAAACTTTTGGTCTAGATTCCTCATCCTCTACTCCCTACTTACCCATAAAGTATTAGCTCGAAGTTACTTCACAGGAAGTTCCTAGACACTTCCCATAGTACTGCTGGTATATGTGGCTTACAGGATGAAATCCAAAGTAGATGCTTCAAGAAAAGCCTGAGCTGGCAACCTTTGGAGACAGGGCCCTGAGAATGCCCCTTCCCCCTGCCTGGGCACTGCTGGATATGTGAGGCTGGCTTCTTCCTTCACCCTCAGACTACGAAGAGAGTAATAACTACATCTTTTCCTCTGACGAAATGTGACCTTTTTAAAAAATTTTTTGAAAAGGTTGAAAAAAAAATTTTCCTATGCAAAAACTACTTGCTTTTTTGGTCCTCCTAGCTTCGAGAGATCTTTGAGGCTTTCAGAAATCTGTGATGTGGCCTAGAGTAATTGATTCTCTCCTATTTAAACTTTGGAAGTTGAAAAGGGGCACACCTCCCCACTTCCAAAAAGACTTAGTAGAAATGCTAGATCTTTAACAGCTAGGACCCTGGAAGAGAGAAGTTTTGTGGGAAATGCCAATGGTCAGTCTCTTGCGTCACCATCAACAAAGGAAGGACGAAGACTGGATGTTCAAAGCATGATGGACTGGACTATGGTTTGGCTACAATCTCCAACCTCTTGGGGGGCCAAAATGCAGCCTTTTGAGTCAAGCTTTTGGGGGGTGAGGGTGGCATGTGGGTGTGTGTGTGTCCGTGCGTATGCTGAAGCCATACTTTCCGTGACCATCTTAAAATGTACAGTATATAGAAATACCCTCTGAAAGATTAGAGATTAACCTCAGTCCATTGAGCATGCACAGGATTGGGGAAGCTTGGCCTCTGTCCTTAGGGACATCTGGTGATTCCTACAGCCTCTCCAGCCAATCTCTGCTTCCTAGTGGCAGTCACCCTCTCCCCCATCCCACCCCCCCACAATGGTTCAGTGTCAAATAACATTATTGGTGGAGCGGGGTGGGGGGGTGGGGAATTGTTATTTCCTTTGTTTTGTTGACTTTTGTATTAACTGTAGCATTGAAATCAAATTCAACCTCTTACATCTTGTGATGTCTTTGTATTAAAAAAAGAAAACGAAAACCTGAATTGTGTGCAGAAATGGCAAAAAAAAAAAAAAGAATTGCCATTTAAAAAGTTAAAATATTACTGCATGAGTTAAAGGATTTGGAAAAGTCCTAGCTTTTTAATAAAAAACACTAAAGGCTTAACTGAATTAATGTGATTTCCAAGTCATTTCAATTAAATAGATTTGACTATATGACTATTTAGACACTACTTCAAATCACATCAACATTAAATATAATTGTCTACCTGATAGCCACTTACCTGATACTGTTTTAGGAAGGAGAGGTCTATTGCTTCATCTAAAGGGACAGAAGATGATGTGACATGGACGTATGGATTCAGCTCTGCAATGTGATGAATTATAGCTTCAGCTCTGAAATAAAAATGACATGATTTGTCTACTAAATCTAAGCTGCATACATAGCTAAAAATCTTCTAACCAAATACTTCAATAATATCAATGAAATATGAACCCTCATGGGAACTTTTAATAAAAAAAGTCTAAAAGCATCAGAATTATAACAACAACTTGATAAATACCTAGTATCACTTAATGAGGTAGTATTGAGTAGTCACACAATCTCAAAGGATATGCTCATAGCTCTGTGAGACCTCTTTAGGTCACTGTTAAAATTAAATGGGAATTCCCTGTATAGGGTTGAATTTTGAGGTTCTAACTGGTATGATTACGATAAATGTTTCCCATATCCTTCAAAAATTCATTTATGTGAAAATGCCGAAAGTCAAACAAATTAACATTGGTAAAGTGAATCTAAATGATCAGTACTGTTAAGACTATAGCTAATTACGGATTAAACAGCTTCAGCCCTTCTGAATTCTGGATTATGGACTTGCAAACACACATAGTAGAGAAATCAAATAAGAAAATTTGTCCAGACCTGTTTCTCCTATTTACAACGTCATCTTCGCAGATAAAGAAGTTGGTTCCTAGATCCCATGCTTGGCATTGCTTTGCGTCATGAATTGTAAGTGCCTTCCAACAAAAAAAAAAAAGAAAAGAAAAGAAAAGAAAAGAAAAAAAAAATCAAGACTTTAAAAAAATATGTTTACACACCCTCTCACCATGTTGAGGGAAAATAATCTTAAACCAGTTATAAGCAATTTAATGAACAAGAACAAGGTTATAACAAAGAATTAGTTTGTCATGTACAATTATTCACATACCTTGATTCCAGCAAGAACAATATTCTTAGCTGAAATGGGAAGGAAAAGAATATATAAATATAAGTTATTATTAGCAACACTCAAGGGAAGTGGCTAACTCATCATCTACTTTCTAGAGAATTTACAAAAATTCTGGGAGGTATACATGGGACAATCAATTATCTGGTGGAACTTTTCTTTTTACTTTTAAGTTAAGCAAAATAAAAATTATGTTGAAGAAACACATTTAAAACTCTGAAAAGCACTTTGGGACCTTAGTGTCCCAAATAAACATTAAAATAGAACTTACCAATTTCTACACCAAGTCCACCCATGCCACTTAAGAAAACATGGGATCTGGCCATCTTCTGCATTGCTGAATCTCCAAGAACATACCTTTGTCGACTACAAAGTAAGAAACACATTTGGGGGGGGGGGGGAGAGAAAGCTTATCAAGAAAAGCATCCTTTCTTTAAACTTCTAATATTAAATTTAGTATTTCTGAAGAAAAAAACCTGTTTCTATCCTCAGCTGAAGATTAAAAGTTCCTATGAATCATTTCAACATGATTTAAAAGTCTTCTAATTTTTAAAACTAATAACCTAATTGAAAGAAATGTCAAAAAGGAACTTGATTGCATTAAATTAGTTATTAAAAGGAAAAACAGAACATTTACAACTTTAAAAATATTAGGTATACTATAACCAACAGATAAAAGAGTTTAGCTACAAAACTTGTGACAGTAAGAATACTGATGTTGTGCAGCGGCAAGAGCACTGGATTTGAGGTGAAGGAATCTGGGTTCAAATTCAGATTCTGTCATGTTTCCTGATCTGTAAAGATTAGGAAATCTAAATCTGGGCTCCCATAAACCTAGGCACCATTTTTTGAAGATTATGGCCTTATTTATTCATTCAATTCAATGTTTAAGTGCTTACTAATAAAGTTCTCAGTGCAGTGCTTAGGTGTTAAACCAGAGTCCCTGCCCTCAAGTAGCTTAAATCTTACTTAGTGGTAGGAAATACACTATGTCACATAAGAAAATACAAAGCATATATGAAATAATTTCAAGAAGGCAAGAGTTCCAACAAGGGGAAGGATCCTGAAAGGAGGTAGCATGTGAGCTGTGCTTTGAAGAAGTTAGTGAATTCCAAGCATGAGGGACAGATCACACAAAGGCATGGAGGCAGTAAACGGAAAGTAGTATGTAAGGAACAACTAACTGGAATAGAGAATAAATGAAGATGAATGATAGGAAATTAGACCAGAAGGAAGATGGAAGCCATATTGTGAAGGCTTTAAATGTCAAGCTTTAGATTCTATATGATTTAGGGGTCATCCTAGACACAAGAAGGAACCACTGAAGAACCTTGAACAGAGAAGTGACAATCAGAACAGAGTTCAAATAGTCAGATTAGAAACGTCAATTTGGGAGCTGTATAGAGGATGGAACAGATAGGGAAAAGAATGGAAGAATGGAGAACAAGTACGAGGATGTGAGAATCTATGGTCCAATCAAAACATACTTCTTGTGGTCCTCACATGTAACATTCTATTTCCCAGACCTCATGCCTGCAAAGCATTTACCTCCTGACTGCCATACCTTTTAGATTCCCTAACTTCCTTTCAAAGTACAGTTCAAATATCAATTTCTACAGGAGGAGGTCTTTCCTGATTCCTCTAGGGGCGAGTGCCTATCTCCCAAAATTACCTTGTATTTATAAACACACAACATAAATTTAAATGTTTATGTGTTTTCTCCCTAGATAGGATGTAAACTCTTTCAAGGGCTGACCTATTCCATTTTTTGTATCTGTATCCTTGGTACCTAGTACTATGTACATAATAGGTACTTAATAAATGCTTGTTGATTGATTGTTGTTCATGCAAGAGTGATAAGGGTCTGAAATAGGGTAGTGGCCCTGAGAGCAGATAGAAGAGGATGGATGTGAAAGACACTGTGAAGTAGACTCAATAAGACTTGGGCAACTGTTTGGCTACTGCAATGGTGGGGGAGAGGTAGAATGAAGAGGGAACAGAAAGAGAATAAGCATTTATATAGTGCTTATTATGTGCCAGGCACTGTGCTAAGCATTTCTACAAATATTATCTCATTTGATCTTTATAACAACTCTGTGAGGTAGGTTGTTATTATCCTCATTTTACAGGTGAGGAGGAAACTGAGGCAAAAAAGTTAAGTGACTTGCCCAGGGTCACACAGTTATTAAGTGTCTGAGGCCAGATTTGAACTGAGGTCTTCCTGACTCCAGGCCTAGTGCTCTATACTGAAATACAGAAGTTGAACTAGAATTTAAAAGAATCTCAGAGATCATCCAATTCAACATGTACCTGAACAATTCCCTTTATAACAGTTAATGAATCATTACCCAGTCTTTCCTTCAAGGTTTATACATTCTATAAAAGCCCCATTTCGCAAATATTATAGAGAACTAAGTAAAATTTAGTAAAAAAAAAAAAGCCATTCTTCAACTGATAAATGCTCAAGGGATATGGATATGAACAGGCAGTTTCCAGATGAAGTAATCAAAGCTATCTATGGTCATATTAAAAAATACTCTAAATCACTACTGACTAGAGAAATGCAAATTAAAACAACTCTGAGGCACCACTCCACACCTATCAGATTGGCTAACATGACAGAAAAGAAAAATGATAAATGCTGGACAGGATGTGGGAAAACTGAGACACTAATGCACTGTTGGTGGAGTTGTAAACTGAACCAACCTTTCTGGAGAACAATTTGGAACTAAGTCCAAATGGACTACAAAACCATGCATACCCTTTGACCCAGCAATATCACTACTAGGTCTGTGTCCCAAAGAGATAAAAAACAAAAATATATACAAAAAATATTTATAACAGCTCTTTTAGTTGTGGCAAAGAATTAGAAATTAAGAGGATACCCATCAATTGGGTATGACTGAACAAGCTGTGGTATATAACTGTGAAGGAATACTATTGTGCTATAAGAAATGATAAGCAGGACACTTTCAGAAAAACCTGTAAAGACCTACATGAACTAATGCAAAATGAAATGAGCAGAACCAGAACATTGTACACAGTAACAGCAATATTATATAATGATCATCTGTGAATGACTTAGCTATTCTCAGCAATACAATGATCCAAGACAATTCTGAAGGACTTAGGATGAAGAACCCTATCCATCTCCAGAATGCTATCTACCCAATGGATGGAGGCTGAATGAACACTGAAGCTTATTTTTTTACTTTTTTTTTTTGGTTTCTGTTTTCTTTCACAATATGACTAACATGAAAATATATTTTGCATGACTGCACAAGTATAACTTATATAAAATTTCTTGCTTTCTCAATGAGGGGAGGGACACAGAGAATTTGGAATTCAAAATTTCAATCAATGAATGCGGAAAATTATTAGTATTAAATAATTAATAAGAAAGATTTAGACATCCTAAATCCTTAACTTTGGCCCTTCTTATTAAATCTCAGTACCTTCCCCTGAGACTAACCCCAATTTATCGTGTGTCTATCTTGTCTGTGCAGTTGTTTACAAGCTCTAATACTGCCCTGAGAGGAAGGACTGGGTTTTCTTTTTTTTTTTTTTTTGCCTTTTTTTACAAAATTGTATTCCCAGTGCTTAGCAAATTGCCTGGCACAGCGTAGGTGCTGACCAAATGACTTAATTCTACTGAGGGAAAATCCAGTAGCAGCACATTTCACTTTTGGTTACCTTTAATTAATAGGAAAATTCCCCTTAAATCCTGCCTAAATCTGGATTTCTACTACTTCCACCCATTCTCTTAGATTTGCCCTTTGGGTTCAAGAAAAAGTATAATCCCTTAAACACATAATAGTGTTCAAATATTAGTAGACAGTTATGTTTCCTTGTAACCTTCTCTTCTCTAACAGTCTCCAAGTTCCTTCAACTGATGCTATGGCAAGATTTCAAGAACCTTTACAATTCTAGTTACTCTACTCAGAACACTTTTCTACCTTACTGGTGTTGTCATTAAAATGTGTTGGCCAGAACAGTACAGATGTAGACTGACTGGACAGAATACAATGGAACCACTACCTCCCCAGTCTGACATTATGTCTATTTTAATGTAGTTGAGCATTTTATTAGCTTTTTTTTGTCCATATACTGTTGACTCAAATTGAATGTTTAGTTCACTTAAAATATCCTGATTTTTCTTAGGCAAAGTTATGTCTACCCATGCAGAGATGATCTTGGACTTCTGAAGCTGATTTGAGCCATGTTTTGAAGTCATCTATTTACAAAAACTGAACAGTCACTCCTACTCCGAAGTATGAGACCTGTAGGTCCCATCAGGCATGATACTAAGCATTTTACATATTTTATCCCATTTTGATCTTCACAACAACCCTGGAAGATAGGTGCTATTGCTACCTTCACTTTACAGCTAAGGAAACTGAGGAAGACAGATTAAGTGACTTGTTCAGGGCCACAAGGTAAATAATTGGCTAAGGCTGTATTTGAAGTAAGGCCTTCCTGACTTCAACTCTAACAATTTATTCACTGTATTCTATCCATCACGTGCTCTGGGAACCACTTACCCCCACAATTCTACACAAGCACACCCTACTCCTCAGGAAGGAAAAGATCAAGCACTGAGGATAGTTGGTCATAATGTAACAGTACAGGATAGATTTTGTGGAGGACAGCTTGTTAGCCTCCTGGCACAACTGTCCCTAGTCTCAGCCTTTTCATATCATTGCTATAACCTGTTTTCTACAAGGGATGAATGAATGAAAAAGCATTTAAGCACTTACTATGTGCCAGACTCTAAAAGGGGCCTGGGGGATGGGGAGTGTTCATTTACAAAAAGCAAGACAGGCCTACCTTCAAGGAGTTTAGTAACAGATAAACATAGGGGAGTGGTACTTAAGGTGGGGAGTTTTGGTCCAGAGAGTTAATAGGATGATGAATTGATCTACTGGGCAGCCAAATGATTTACTCTTCTAAAGCAATGGTGTAATTGTTATGGGAAAACTTTTCCCATTTGTTGCAACAGAACTTTTGAAAATTGCCTTGAAGATCTTATTTTTGTTAACTAACCAATGATACAACTATTTGAAGAATTCCCAACCATTTCACAATTGAGGTTAACAGAGACCATCCACTGGGAGATCCCTCTCATCCCTAGCTTCACACTTTAAAACTTCCTTCTTTGTTTAAATCTGACAAGGTCCTTCTTGAAATGATCATTATCCTGATTTATGTCTTTGATCCAATCTCTTAGGTCTGGGAGCTTGCCCCCTTCATTATTGTTTGGAACTATGTTTCTCATTCTATACTCTCATTTATTCTAGAAGCTGGGGCCATTTCTATGTATTGTCAGTCTTTTATTTGCTTTTAAGCTCCCTCCCTTTCTGTGTTCCTCCATGACATACCTTCCCTTTAGTTAAGAGTCTAGCTAAAAGCCCAGATTTTTACAATCTAGCCAATAGCTCACAGACGCTCAGATTCCTTAAGAGTCTGGCCAATATGGCAGATCTTTAATAAACCTTGGCTTTGGCTGAAAGAAGGTTTGGGTCAAATTCATTTGGGCAGGACCGGTGTATCGTGATTTTGAGTTCCTGGCACCCCTAAACTTCTAGACCTCAACATAAGGATATACATATATGAGATAAAGCCAGAAAGAGGAGTTTTGGTTTTTTACCAAAGAGAGTGGGATCATAAATGGCTCAAGGGTTTTGAAATTAGGGTAATGGTTCTACAATTAGCTGAAAAAGGTGAGCTAATTTAAGTGAATGGTGGGTTCAACTTAGGTACATCAAGTTTGAAGTGTCATTGGTAAAAGAGAAATAAAAATTGATGCTGGAGAGGTCAGAAATGGAGATGAAAATATGGTAATTATCCAAATAGAAGTGATGGTTAAAGTCACAGGAGTGAATGAGATTACAACATCTAGCCCAAATAGAAAGCACTTAAATATGTAATTTAACTAAAGGGAAAGCATGTCATGGAGGAACACAGAAATGGGACAAAGAACCTTAGGCAAAGCCATTCATCAGAGAGCAGATGGAGAGAGGAAGAGCTTGCAAAGAGAAAGAAATTCATTGGAGGAGAATCAGGATATTGCAATATCATGGGAGCCAAAGAAGGAGAATTTCAAGGAGTGGGATAGTAAACAGCATTAAATGTTACAAAAAAGTCAAGGAGCTTGAAGACTGAATAAAGTTCAATGAATAGGTAATTAAGAGATCAGTGATAAACTCCAAGAAGTAGCTTCAGCTGAGTAGCAGTTGGGTTCAAATGTTGTCTATTCTACTTAAGACCCATGATACTTTGCTTCTCTAGGTCTTAGTTTCCTTATCAGCAAAATGCGATGGCTGGTCTTTTGAGGGCAGGTCCAGGTTTAAATCTATGATCCAACAAGAAGAGAGAAAAAAAGATAACTAAGGGAGTAGCACAGTCAAAAGAAGGTTTCTGTTTTTTAGGACAAGGGTCACCTGAACAGTTTGAAAAGAAAGCGAGGGAGCTTAAAAGCAAGTAAAAGACTGAAGATACATAGAAATGGCCCCAGCTTCTAGAATAAATGAGAGTATAGAATGAAGAACATAGTTCCAAACTCATGGTTGGGGATTAGCAGTTAGAAGATTTTAGAGGGAATGGAATGAAATGGCTGATCTGAGAGTCTAGTCAGTGGAGGGGAACCTGTGGCCTCCATGTGGCAGCAGGATCCCCACCCCAGGTCTAGGTTGAGTAAAGAAACAAGTGAAGTTAGAACAGAATGATGGGACTAGGGGGATAAAAAATGTTTTGGACCTCAGGGCATTCAGTCTAGGTGAAGAAGACTAAAACCTACAAGATAACACTGTTAAACACAAGATAGTATCATAGAAGTTAAATTGCATAGTTCAGTGCTTATAAGATTATAGAGGAAAGGAAAATCAAGGAAAGCTGGACTACACATAAAAGGCTTCTTGGTTTTGATACTTATCTTCCAAAGGAGGAAAAAACCTGAAAAATCTTCCAACTGTTAAAATATTCACTGTTTTACAGGTATATCAATGTTAAAACTGGAAACGTGTTTCATCTGCATTGGGCAACATTATTAACGTTACTTAGGTCACTTTGTCATATTTAAGAAAAAAAAAAAAGAATTAGAAAAATGAAGATAGTTTAAAAAAAGTGACACCTCTGCCAGCTAAATCACCTGTTCTTCAAATAACTTATACATTGTCTATCTGGGAATATTTATTTCCTTTAATGAACTGATCTGTTATGTTTATGATATGATAGCTGATCACCTCGTCAATTAAAGCTGATGGATTTCCTATAACTATCCTTCAGAATACTACAAAGTGGGGATTTGATCCAAACACAGGTCATATGATATGACACTCCTCAAATCTGGCTTATATAAAATCTGAGTGTAGCCTAGAAATTTATATCTATGTAAGTAATTTTTTTCCAAACAGATTTCATTTTAAGAAGTGACCAAGATTCAAGAGCAGTATTTTTCAGAGAGTAGTTTAACTATCAAATGAGATTTCAAGTATATTTATTAAATTTTTAAATGTATGCCAATAAAGTAATGCTCCAATTCTAATTCGAGGGAGAATTCTTCTGAACATCTGCAAAATTCTTCAGAGGTCTAACAGTAACCTCAGATTATGTCAGTGTTAAGAAATAAGCACTGTAATAACAAATGCTGAAATGCAAACCCCAAACACTAGTTTTCTATGGGCTCTTACCTGTATAAAGCATCATCAATTTCCATTGAGTCAGTTGACATACTGGGGGGATATTTGTTTCTACTGCAACTGCAAAGAAAAGATAACAATCACAAGGGTAAGTAATAGATAATCAGTTAATAAACACATTAAATTCCTACTATGGTCTAGGAACTGTAGGATGGGGATTATGATTTCACTCATAGGCAGAAATTTTGGATAAGGAAACTCTACTAAAGAGGGTGGCCATCTCTCCAACTTATAGTCTTAATGAACTGCATAAGGTACTGAGAGATTAAATGACTTGTGCAGGGTCATAAAGTTAGTACCTGTCAGAGGAAGGTGAGAGGTGGCATGATATAGTAGCTAGAAAGTCAAGGTTGGAGGCAAGAAGAACTGAGTTCAAGGCCCACCTCTGATATTATATGTAAGTTTAAAAATTTTAATTTTTTTAAATCTAAAAAAAACCCTTTAAATATATATATATATATTTATTTATTTTCACAAATGCATTTTTATTTCTGCTTAAGTATGGTATGAATGCTTCATTTTGATAAAGTATGACCTTGGGTTCTCAAAAGCTAAGTCAGCAAGACAGAAACAAGACTGTCAAACCCTACTAAGCTCAAAACCTGGTTAACAGTTCCAGCAAGGGAACTTGTTTTCTGGGGAACTGACCAGGTAAACTGAGAAAGACTTAATCTCTGATTTGCTACTTTTCAAAGAACATCTAATAGAGTAAATGCAATCTGGGTTGATGGATACCAATGATATATATTCTTAGCCTATTGAAGAATTAGTCCTTTTTCACTGAGGGAACAACTAATATTGCCTACAAGATGATAAAATAGGTCTTAAAAATTATAAAACAGGATTAACTACTAGTTTTTAAAAAAAGTATAAGCAATTATGCAAGTACATTCCAGGTTTTCAGACAGTCATGATTAAATCAAGGTGTCTATAAGTCTGTGTCATTAAAATATAATATTGCACTTGATGAAAATCAGAAAACTCTTGGATTAACTCATGGATTTTTGGTGAAACCAAAGATTGTCATTCTCCACAAATTTCCTCCCTGAAATGAACTTATAATCTCTTCAACTTCGTAGTAAAATAAAAACTCAAAGAAAGGAACACACTAGACACACTAGACTTCCCTGACACTTTGCTGGCTAGTACCCTTTAAATTCTTCCTATCCTTCAAAAAGTGAGGACTAATGGGCAAAGTTTAAAGACGGAAATGAGGAAAAAGTATGTTCTAAATAGTTCTTTCTTTGAATGGCTTTAATTTTTCCATCTATAGAAAAATTTACCTCACAAAACTATTTCAAACATTTGTGATTAAACTGACACAGTTTACCAACTACTCTATAATTTGATTTTAAAAATTTCTCCAGCCAAAAAAGTCACCACCTTGAACCAACTTTACGTTGAGCTTTTCTAAACTGAGCTAGGTCAGTCCTCCAAGAACAGTGTCATGAACTTGATACTCATAGGGAGTTGGCCTGAGAACTATAACTGAGTGCCCCCAAAACAACATGGATTTATCACAGAGCTGGGTGGCACTGTGAATGCAGTGTTGGGTTTGGAGTCTGAAAACCCTGAGTTTAAATTTTACTTAGCTGTGTGACCCTGGCTGGGCAAGTCACTTAACTTCTGAGTCAGTTTTCTCATTTATAAAATGGGGATAATAAAAGCACTTACCACACAGAGTTGTCCTGTGGATAAATGAGTTAACATGTGTAAAATGCCTTGCAAACCTTAAAACATTATGTAAATGCTAGTTATCTGTAGTAGCAGACAATGAGGACTACTACTACAACTAATACAATAACTCATCCTCTACAATTGACTTTTGCATGGCTCACAACAAGATTAGGAAGAGGGACTGGGTTTGTAATTTCTTTCTTTCTTTCTTTTTTTTTTTGCTTTTTGGTAAGGCAATCAGGGTTAAATGACTTGCCCAGGGTCACACAGCAACTGTCAAGTGTCTGAGACCGGATTTGAACTCAGGTCCTCCTGACTGCAGGGCCGGCGCTCTATCCACTGCATCACCAGTTGCCCCTGTAATTTCAGTGCTACATGGAGCTCCCCAGTAAGGTAAGTCCACTGCAGGTCACCACCTTCTCAGCAAGTTACAGAGAGCTGCCCAGGGCAGTGGTGTCAAAATCAAACAGAAAACGGAGGAGGTAGAGAGAAAGGTGCCACTAACTGTACATGAGAATCTCAGCCAGTGCATATCAACTTAGGAAATCACATATAAACATTATCTATATTCTACTGTATTTTTATTTATTTTGTTAAATATTTCCCAATTACATTTTAATTTGGTAGTGTTTGACACCTCTGGCTTAGAACACTGGGAGGCTAAGTGACTTGCTGAAGGTCAATGTTCCATTCTCTATGGGATCATTCTGGCAAAGTGTCAACTACATAAGAGTGTCAAATATATAAGATTTTGAATATTCTCAGTTTAGCCATTTAGGATACATCACCCTCTTCATCATTCACTCCTGCCCCTATCTGTTTTGCTTAAGGAGGAACTCTTCCTTCCCAAGTGAAAAAGATTCCATTATACTCTCAAACCAAACTTATCACTTAATTCATCAGATCTTTTAATAAGGGATTTGTACGACAAGAATCTTCACAGAAAGAGGACAGAATCTAAGATGCACAAAAGGAGGGATGTATATATGATAGAGCGATGGTTTCCAGACTGGAAGCAGGAGTCTCTTCCAGCTCGCAGGCGGGTTGGCCCTCGCGGGGCTCTCCTTCTAGCCCCAACAGTAGCCGAGGGATGTTAGAGACGGATCCATTCCTGTTGTCACTAGGCCTCCAGGCACTCATGCCTGAGGCAGCACTTTTTAACAGAGCACCCATTTTACGGAGTGGCGGAAGGGACGAAAGGGCGCCTGGGGGTTGGGGCTCTACCGCGGGAGAGGAGGATCAGCCCGGGCATGGAGGCCCGCGCCCTGGGGGCCAGGGGTGGTGCCCCCACCGGGATCAGGTGCGCATCCCGGGAGGTCGCGTAGGTGCACTTTTTCCTCAACCGACTTCGAGGTCCGTGAGCCAGGGGCTGCCCCGCCCCCCTCTGCCCAGCCGGGCTCTCCCCCCGGCCCAGGCCGGCGCCTCTTCCGGCCTCCGCGTGTGAGGAGTGGCGAGCCCGGAGCGCTGCCGCCGCTTCCCAGCTACCATCCACTCATGCTCGTCTCCCGCCCGCCTTACCTGCTGCTCTCCCCCGGATCTGCAAAGGCCGCTGAGGCTACCGCCTCGCCTCCCCTCGGCGGTAGAAGAGAGTCAGCTTCGTCCATCTCTGCTGTAGCCGCCGTAGCTGCCGCTGCCGCTGTCGCTGTCGCCGCCGCCCAAGGGGAGGCAGGGAACGGGGAGGAGCCTGAGGGATAACGGGGGCGGGGACAAGTGATGTCGCGCTATTTCCGGCTCCCAGCAAACCCTACTTCCTCTGCGTGGTCCTGCACGTTGGGGGGAGGTGCCTTTCCTCTTCCTCTGTTGGGATGGTCAGTGGGTAAGTTGAGATGGGGTGTGTGTTCGGAGGGGGACACTTCCCTTCCAAATTCAGATCAAATAAAGTCAACAAGCATTTATTAAACACCTATAATGACAGTTAAAAGACAGTCTTACTATCAAGGAGCTCGCAGTCCGATGGGGGAGACAACTACGTACAAACGAGTCATATATAAGGTAAATTGGAAATAACAGGGAGAACGCACAAGAAAGTTCCAGAAAGGCCTCCTGAAGATGATGGGATTTTTGCTGGGACTTTTAAGAAAGTGAGGAAATGGATATGAGTAAGAACATTTCAGGATTAGGGGACAGCCAGTGAAAATGCCCAATATTTTCAGCAGCTGCTCTGCTACCTAAATTCTTTTTTTTTTTTTTCCTTTTTTGGTGAGGCAGTCAGGGTTAAGTGACTTGTCCAGGGTCACGCAGCTAGTGAGTGTTATGTGTCTGAGGTCAAATTTGAACTCAGGTCCTCCTGATTCCAAGGCCAGAACTCTATTCCCTGTGCCACCTAGCTGCCCCACTACTACTTAAATTCTTAAGAGTGGCTTAGAGACACTGAGAAGTTAAGTGACTTGCCCAGAGTCAGGATTCAAACCTAGAGTATATTCCAAGATATCTGTGCTCTTGGAATGTTATTGGTGACTCTGTGAAATCATTGGTTGATTACTTATGGTCAGTCTTGGCAAAGCAATAGATAGCTCTCCTGTGACAAAACATAGTTGTTGCCCAGGAAAGATGTGTAACATTCCGGGATTAACTGTTTACTAGTCACATTGGTAAGTATGCCTGGATTATGCTGGAATCACTGTATTTCTTTTTGGAATCCATTGCCTCCAGTTAACATTTTTTCTAGGCCGTACAAAGCATATCAGCCCTTAAAGCATTAAGTGCCATCTGTGTGCCCAGTTTTATGCTAGACTCTAGTGATAAAATAAAAGTGAATTAGTCACTGCCTTGGGAGAGAAAGTGCAAGGAAACACAAAATGTACAGATATAAGAATATACATAACATATAAAAAAAGTATGCAATATAGTTTTGGGAGGAAAGACACTAGCAGCTTGGGAGGGAGGAGGGTTGTTAATAGAGGTTTTATATAGAAGGTACCTTGAATTGAGTTTTGAGGGAAAATCAGGGTTCCAAGAGGGAAGCTGTCTATAGTTAATGCTTAGTATCGTGGTGAAACTATTCCAACTCTACTAGTTCTTGTGTTACTCTCTTCCCTAAGTATCTTCCTCTTAGAGTACTTTGTAGGAAATCCCTTTAAAAACACATGAAAGACAAGTGTGTTACTTTGAAGGAGCACCAAAAAAGGAGGGGGAAAGAAGGAGATTCTATGCTCTTTCTGAACCAAAGAAACTGAAGTTTAGGGGCCTATGGAAGGATAGGGAAAGTGATGGTAGAAAAAGGTAGTAGATGGTAGTAAACTGCGCCTGGAGTCGTAAGAAAAATGGAGTCATCAGTTTACAAGTATTTCTTAATCACAGTATGCCAGGAACTTAGCTAGGTGGCAGGGATACAAATACAAAAATAAAACAGTTCCTGCCTTCTAGTGCATGTTTAAGCATATATAAAATAAATAGAAGACAACATTAGCTGCTAGGTTAGGAGTATCAGGAAAGGCTTCGTTGTAGATGATGGCTCCTGAGCTGAGTTCTGAAGGAAACTAGAGATTCTCAGAAGTAGAGGTGAAGAGCAAGTACATTCTGGTTATGGGGAGTAAGAGGGGGCAGCCAGTACAAAGGCACAGGGATTAGAGACACAAGACAGAAGATAGAAGAACAGCAAGTAGGCGAGTATGGTTGTACCATAGAATGGATGAAGGGGAGTAATATTAAATAAGGTTGGATTGTAAAGGGCTTTAAATGCTAAATTTAGGAGATTATATTTTATCCTAGGAGCAATAGGGAACCACTGGACTTTATTGAGTAGGGGGTGTGACATGGTCAGACTTGTGCTTTTGGAAAATTAGTTTGGCATCAAATGTGGAGGATGTGTTAGAGTGTGTATAGACTTCAAGCAGGGAGGCCTATTTTGAGGCAGTAGCTTCATAATTTTAGGGGGCATATAGGTAGTACAGTGGTTGGAATGGTGGACCTGGAGTCAGGAAGACCTAAATTCAAATCTGGCCTCAAACACTTATTAGCTATGTGACCCTGGGCAGGTCACTTAACTTTGTTTGTCTCAGTTTCCTCATCTGTAAAATGAGCTGGAGAAGGAAATGGTAAACCACTCTAGTATCTTTGCCAAGAAAACTACAAGTGGGGTCCCAAAGAGTAAGATATGACTGAAACAACTGAACAACAACAAAGCCTCATAATTTATGTAGGCTCTGAGGCTCACTCTCTTGACCACAATTGTATTTGCATTGGCAAGTTGGGTCCCCAGAGATTGATGACATTTTTCCCTCAGGTTTCAAGGAGTAAACCTGACCTGAAGGGTTTGTATGCTTCTTCTAATGCTGTTGTCCTGAGTTCTTGTTCTAGAATGTTCCCCCCAGTTTCAATCATCAGTGATTGCTGTGCCAATATCATTTGCCAGTGCCAATTGGTATATTTCCAGTATAATTAGTCAATTATAATAGCTCTTCAATATCCTTTCCCACAGGATATTTACTTACAAAATATAGGAAAAATAGAAGTATGACCATGCCTTCCAAACAGAGGTACACTCTCCCCTCTGTGGTCTCAGTCCTTGGGGAGAGTGGACTTAAACTTTAAGTGGGAGGAGCTACAAACATTCTGTCTCCCAAGTTCATTTCAGTATGTGGACAGCATAGACAAATGATAAGTCCTTTCCTTTCTTTCAGGAAATGGTGTCTTGAATGCTGGATTGGTTGACTGCCGGACTGGGCCATGCAGCTAGCTCCTCATTAGGTTTAGCTGTTGTTGCTGCTGCTGCCACAGCAGACTCAGGCTCTGCTACAGGCTACAGTGCCTGGACCTTAAGTGGTTTCTCTGACCTTGCAAAGCTTAAAAGATCATGATCTGGTAGGTTTTCTCCCTCATATCCATTCACCTAAGATCAGGAAAGAACAAAGACACAAAGGAACAGAGGCACCTTGTGTTCACAGCCAAGCATCAGCCCTGCCTCTCTCTCCATTTGGAAACTAAAGGTAATTAATTCTTGCCTCATTCACTAAAAGGGGAAGTGAGGCTGACTTATTCCATTGAAACTTTTTGTATGCACATTCAATTCTAGCTCCACAACCAATTAAACTTTTCATTAGCATATTATTGGATTTCATGGAGTAAGTGGAAAGGAAGCACTTACAGATTACCTTAGCATGCTATAAAGTGGAGGACAGTACCTTCCATACATGCCATTACACATTTCTGAAGCTAGCATCCCAAGCATCTAGGTGGGTTAGCACCAGGCAGAACAGATTGTGTATACTCAAAAGATTGGACCTCTATTTATTAGTCCCCTGTTACAAGGCTATCTTAGTAGTCCAGCCTAGAAGTAATAAGGCCCTGAACATGTCACAGACATGTGAATAGATGGAATATGAATTGTAGAGATAGAATCAATTAGACTTGACAACTGATTAGATATATTGAGTAAGGGAGAATGAGAAGACCCAGAGGTTATGACCTTAAGTGACTGGAAAGATAGTGCTACTCTTGATAGAAATAGGGAAATGTGAAAGAAATATTTATTTGAGGAAAGATAATGAGTTCTTTTTTGAACATGTAGAGTATGAAGTGCCCATGAGAGAGCCAGTTCAAAATATCCTGTAGGTAGTTGGTAATAGAGGACTAGAGCCCAGGACAGGGACCAAAACTGCATATATAGGTTTAGGAGTCATCTATATAGAGATAATAATTAAGTTCATGGAAACTAATGAGTTCATTAAGTGAGAAAGTAGAGATAGAAGAGAAGAATGTCCAGGAAAGAACCTTGGGGTATACCCACAATTGGGAGGCAGGATATCCACCAAAGGAGCTTGAGAAGGAACAGTCAGAGAGCTAGGAGAAGAATCAATAGTGAACAGTGTCAGGAAAACCCAAAAGAGATAGTCTCTAGGAAGAGAAGTGGTCAACAGTGTTAAATGCTGAAGAAAGGTCCAGAAGGATAAGGATGGAGAAAAGACCATTCAGTTTGGCAATTAAGCGCTTACTGGTAATTTTGGAGAGAGCAATTTCAGTTGAGTCATGAGATGGGAAGCCAGATTGCAAAATGGTGGTTTGATGATGCAGGGATGCTGAGTTGTCACAGTATGTAGTTACCATTTCCGAGGCTTAAGTTCATAGTATCACTGAGACTCTAGTTTCCATGATTCTGTAGTTAGGCAAAGATTCTCAGGTCCTCCTGATGAATCTGTTTTGCATCCAGATAATCTCATGAATTTTCATGTTATCTCTTTGAGAATTTGCTTTACGTATCACCAAATTATATTCTAGATAAGTGTACATGGAGTTGTTGGCAGATGTTGAGAGCAATGGGGAAACAGTAAAAATTTCTTTCCTCTACTTCCTTTTTCTTTCTTTCTTTTTTTTTTTTTGGTGAGGCAATTGGGGTTAAGTGACTTGCCCAAGGTCACACAGCTAGTACGTGTCAAGTGTTTAGTCTGAGGCCAGATTTGAACTCAGGTCCTCCTGACTTCAGGGCCGGTGCTCTATCCACTGTGCCACTCAGCTGCCCTTCCACTTTCAATAGAGTAGAAAAGTAAAGATCGACTCTCACTAATATTTGGCTTTTCTGGATTCTTTGTACGAAGGTAGTCCCTAGGCATGAGTGGGGAACCTGTGGACTCAAGGCCACATGTGGCCTTTTAGGTCCTCAAGTGCAGCCCTTTGATTGAATCTGTTGAGTTTGAGGAGTGCTGCAACCCTAAAATCACAAC